CTCCTTGTTGCGATGGTGATTTCTACTACGATGATGATGGTGATTGCTCTTTCCTCTACCTCTTGACGAAATTCTGGTACTGCCTTGGACGTTGTTCATCTCATCCTTCGATGAAAAGATTACAGTGTCATCTCCTTCTTCCTCGGATTTTTGCCCGCCTATTGTGAGTGTATGGTCGAAGCTACTTGCCACGTGATTCTCACCACCAACTCCGACATTGGCACTGGTCTGCACTAACGCCGCTGAGGACGAGGCTTCTGCTTTTTTCGTTGCCTCCGCCTTGACAGTGTCAGAAGTGGACCTTCTGCTAGTTGTAGCACTACTACTGCGCTTTTTATCGAAGTCCGCTTGACTGATACAGTTCACTATGGATGCTGAGTTTTCTACTGTGGAGTCCACTACTTGACCTTGAGGACACTCTCCGCTACACGCGACCGCCCCATCATAAGGACAGTCCTTCCCTTCTGCCGGCAGTCCACCGCCGAAGCAGATACAACGTCGGAGCTCCTCCTCTTGGCTCTCCTTAGATGTAGTTGATGTTCCTTCTTGATTTTGTAGAAGGACTGCTCCTGGAAGAGCTGCGCTAGACGAGGCGGAAGCTGAGCTAGAGCTTGAGCCTGTTGGACCAATACTGCTAACCTGTTGCGGCCTTGCAGTCTCGCTCTTCCTTTGATCTAGTACTCCTTGCTCTTTTTTCGCCGAGGTGTCAAGAAAGCCCATAAGAGTGTCGAAAAAGGTATGACTACTACTTCCACCAATCGCACTCATACTAGGACTGCGTTGACTGCTCGAAGCCGAAACTTCCCCATTCTTGTCCTGACCCTGAGACGGTGTTCCAGCTACTTGTTGGTCGCCAGGTAGAGTACTCGCGATTACCAGATTCGCTATCAACGGAACCCAAGCCAAGGACACTGCAGCTGTAGCACTACCGACTAGTTTCGCTGTGAGTGCACCTCCGCTTTTGGGCGCGCATCTTCGCTCGCGCTTTGCACGGCCTCCGTGGGCCTCGGAGTTCTTCGCGATTTTACGACCCATCATTGTCTTTGCCGCCCGCTCTCGCATAAGCGAGCGAGTGACAACTCCAAACCTCCGTTGCCCGTGCCTCTCTGTCTACGGAGGAAAGCGCTCACTTCCCCAGTATCGGAGGTGGGAGATAGCGCCAGATTCCACGAATAGTCATTCCCTTTTTGTTTCTAGGAAAGTATGTTGATCATCACAAAAAGTTTAGAACTACGGATAAGTAGCTATACTGAATCAAGCGCATTTTTCACCCTCCAGAGAGTTTTCGCTCTTCTTTCACTATTCTAACAAACGTCTTTAAGGACGGTTTCTTTTTGACTATAGTATAGGTGTCTCTCATGACCCTCAGTACCGATCCGTAGTAGCATACATATTCTTTTCCACAGCCATTTTAACGTTTCATCTCTTCGTGACTTCAAAATCAACCTTCTACAAACGAACCGCTTTCCAGGTTGAACAGCCTGAAGATGCTCAGGCTGGAAATATTCTTCGCAAAAATTAAGTACTCACAAAAATAATGTGAATCTTTGATTCATCCTTCAGATCCTTCATAGAAAAAAACTTCTGAAGTCAACTAGTCCTTCCTTTGCAAATGCGTTTGCCACCTTTTCAAAGGATTCGTCAGTCTCTGGTTGCAACACTAGAGCCATTGGCTTTGCTTCACCAAGCACAGGACTAGTGAAATCTTTCTCCTTTCCTAAAAAATCCCCTTCGTTGCCACCATGTGAGGGCAAACTCTGCAGATGTTGCTGGATCTGGTCGACGACTCTACGCGAAACGCCACGTCGTCTGGCAGTTCGCAAGGCGCTTGCAATAGAGGCTTTTCCACGATGGTGAGGATTCAGAGCTGATAATGCTGCGCGGTCGTGCTTCTTAAACGCGATTGCGTCCGACTCCAAATCACCATTCGCGCCAATTCCTCCAAAAGACGATGATCCCAGTCCTAGTTTATACCTCACACTGCTCTGCACAGGGATAGAAAACTTCAATTCGACTTCGTCCGGACCTAGCTCATCTTCGTCGAGCGTCAGCTGGAGTCCTGGATGGTTCTCGCGTCGAAGAAGATGCAGCATACACGGATTCGGCAGTGTTACTAGATCATTGAGGGCTGGAACCTCTATCCGGCCAGCACTGTCCTTCGCTGCAGTCGCATACTCGCGTGGTGTCACTGCCAGCAGGACGTTGGTAGGCCTCTCTGCACGACCGGCAGCTAGTCCCTTCCCCAAAGGGCCTTGCTGCTTCCCAATCAGCATGAACTCTTCACCCGTGATTACATGACGAACCCGTAGACCAGGCAAAACTCCATCGTCCGGTGTCTGTCGAGGATCGAATGCAGCTAGTTTTGGGTACAATTTTCGAAGAGCATTGTTCTCAGCTGAACCTAAGAGCTCCTTCGCTTTCGCTTCCATCCGGATTTTCTCCCGTGACAGTAAATGCTTTTCAGGTCCAACAAGATAACGCTTAATGCATTTCTGTCTTCGTTGTGCTAGTATCGGAGCAGAGGCTTCGGATTCCGACGTTGGCATTGATCTCGAGGCATTACTCAGTGTCGTGTTGGTCATTAACACTGCATTCTTCCCGTGTGTTATCAAATGTTCACCATCAGCCTCCATGCCTGACTCCTGAATCCTCTGCTCCGCAGCTTTCACTGCGTCTTCCTGAAGCTGCTGGATTACTGGACCCAACGTGGTTGGTTTCGAAGCATTCATTTTACCACCAGTGCTGGAGAACAGCTTGGGTTTCAAGGTGTCCACCATTTGCGGCATGTTGTGCGATAAGGCATACTTCATCGCCTGGAGAATCTCATTGGCTCGCAGATCGATCCAGCCACGTGAAGATGGATAGTTGTCTCGCTGTCGTTGCGTGCGGACTGCCACGAGCTTAGATTTGGTCTTCGGAAACCATTTCCTAAAGTCAATGGTCAGTGGGGATAGTGTGGGTTGCTCCCCTTCTAGCGACGAAGAACTTTTCGTCGCGTCTGTCGCTCCTAGATGAGTCGTCGTATTTCTACTCCTTCCTCGGCCACGCAAACGTGAAAACAGGCCGAAGGACGGACGTCGATGTGGCTTCGCTGCTTGTCGCTCATAATTTTCTGAGGACAGCACGTCTTGCTCGTTTGCATTGTCTTTGTTTACCCCCGTAGCCGTACCCAGGGATTGCATAGAAGACGAAGCACCTCCAGCTTTCTGATCCGCAGTATCGCCGGAATGTCTTGCCAAGAATTGCCGTAGCTCCAAAGTGTCTTGCGCTGTCAAATCTGAACTAGTCCCTTCGCCTGTTCGAATGTAGTCGTTCCCAGGCTCAAGCTCAATCCCGTACCGCTGTAAGACTTTTAGCGAAACTTCAGGCAAATACGTGTTCGGATTGGACCGCAAGTAGGAATTGTAGTGCTTGTCGAGTTCGGGGAAGATGCGCTCTGGGACTTGTTCATGCCCTGTGAAGAGCGAGTCGTCATCTCCTGAGGTCGTACCCCCAGTTGCGGCACCCGCATCGGGTACTCCTGGAGCAGCACGAGCCAAACCTTTATGAGCGTCGACAACTGGTATGTTTGTAGGATGGTCCGAAAATGGAGAGGCAGCTGCCATTGGAGGATGTTGTTGAGCTTGAGGTTCTGGCTTAGCATCGCTTGTCGCTTCCGCTGTAGAAGAAGCTGCAGACTCACCTGGTGTGGCCGCCGGATCGCCACTCGCACCACCTGCTCCAGATGAATCAGTACTAGGCACACTTTCTCCAGGAGCTGCTCCCGGTGAAGCTTCCGATCTGGAGGACTCCTTTCCTTGTTCGTCAAAAAAAGTGCTAGTTGTAGTACTTCTCTTGACCGCAGCAGAAGCGGATCTTCCCGAAGAAGGTACAGAAGAAGGACCGGGAACTTCAAGAAAAAACCGAGCAGGATCAAAAATATGAGGAAGTTGCGGTGCAAAAGTTTCGCGAGGCAAAGTACTACGTTCAGCGGCTGCAGTACCAGCATCGGTGCCAACGGCAGCTGCGGTACCAGCAGCGCCAACGCCAACGCCTGCACCTGGTGAAGAACCAACAGGAACCGCAGCAGTTCCAGAGGTTCCATCAGGAGCTGCATTGACATCTTGATCTCCAGAATCTACATGATCTGCAGAAGAAACTACTTCTCCCATGCCATACGGCCTCGAAAAAGACACCGGCAACCTACCATTTTTCTCGGGTATGTCCTTGAAATCCCGTTCGAACATGTCATGTTCCAAGGTCGAATCTTCGCTGTTCAGGTAGAAATCTTGTAAAACCGGTAGTTGTGCAACGCGAATGCGCACTATGCGATTCTGATTGAACTCTGGTCGGTACTTCTGAGCCTTGATCAAGACTGGAGTCTGCGGTCCTACTGATTCAAAGACTTGTCCGGCAGTGTACTTGAGGAGGAGTTGGGGGTCGCTGAGCGAAGGACCCAAAGCCAAGTTGGCTGGGAAATGGAGGAGAGGACCGTGGGTAGCTGCCATTATTCTTTCGTTCTTGATAATAGATCAACTTTAGTATACGCTGACGAGAGCGTAACGAGAGTGATGGAAAGAACGCCTCGTCATTGTTCTAGTCGTTGTCACTTTCGTAGAAATAGCTAAAATCTTTACATACATAAAGCACGAAATCAGGAGAGAATACACATCAGAGAAAAGGAGTGCAGATGAGGGAGACAGGGACACAACATTGGATGTCACTTAGCGGCGACTGCTCCACGACCTCACGGATACAGATGCTAAAATGTAGAATGTCTACGGAAGCTCCAAAGAGTCGGACCGATTGAACTTGTGTGAGACAGAACCCGGGTTTCAAAATTATGACAACTGCACATGCCCGATTTTGCTTCTGCCACCGAAGAAGAAGTACATGACTACCTAGTAGAAAAGTTATCGTATGGTATATCTACCTCAGAACAATTTACCGACGCATGCATGGTGCGCTATTTCGAATCCGGTTGCTGATAATGCAGCTTTCCCCGGTTGTCTGCACGCGGCCACGTGATCAGATGCTACGGATCGCCTTCACTCTCCGTGCCAGTTATGCACATGTAGAATGAGGGTCGTCACCCGTCGTTTTTATATCTCTAACAACATTCGCGAAGATTTCCCGGACCTTTTCTAGCTCTGCATGGCAGGCTTCGGCTTTTTTCTGATCTTCATCTGGCATGATTGCATCAACATCATAATAATTAGGAAATTTTTCGAAATCAATGAAGTACTGTTCAAACTCTTTTTTTCGTAAGGAATATCGTGAAGTTCGACGGGGTACCGCATCCGGATGATAAACGCCAAGCCGCGTGCTGCCCTCATTGCCAACTGCTGGATCCACGAAGTGCTGGATCAGGACCGACCGCGGAAAGACAAAGATTCCGCGGATGCCTGATTCATTGAGTGGAACATCATCTTTCACGTCGCACGGCTGTCCTTGCTGTCGGCGCAACATGTAAACCACAAGTACATCGATTGGGTCTTCTGTCGAAAAAGGAATGATTCCAGTGGCTTGTGTGTTCCGCTTTCCGACGTAAACATCGCAACCGCTACCTCCCGCGACAGGAGTGGGTTTTCCCATACGGTGGAGCACCTTCACCCCGTCTCCAACAATAGTATTGTAAGTCCACGCATCGCGTCGTGGTACCTCTACGTTCATCTGCAGCGGACCGTACACATGTTTCATGACAACGCGGAGGCACATCTGGCTTAGACGGTGTGCCCCGCCGGTAGATGCGAGATCCCGCCACCAGTCCGGGGCGGCTCGCTTCTCCGCATGTTCGAACCATGTTTTCAGCTGCAATGCTAAGTCGAGAGGCGATCTCACTGCCTGTGATTCTCTGAATGTGATACTCGTCCTTTGAGGCTTCCTGCTTTTTCCCCTTCCTATCTGCGTTGGACTAGTACATTGAGACTCTGGCTTTTCCAGTGCCAGTTGCACAGATTGGATCATGGTAGCTGCTTCTTCCCGAGATGTCACCGCACGTCGATAACGCTCCGAAAAATCTCGCACGAAGAACAAGCTCTGCGGCACATTAACACCGACGATGCCAGCGCCATGGGCACCACGCTTCCTCATGAGGAACTTGTGGAACGAGTCTTGTGGCGCCAGCTTCGATGGTTGTGTAGAATTCGGCGCAGACCCCGTCTCTGGTACATTTTCTCGGTGCAAATTCGCACTCGACGTCTGCGTAGAAAACACCAGTAGGGTCGCCCACTGCTCGGTCTGTTGACCTCTGCCATCAGAATCCACCGTGTAAAGCATGGTCGTGCGCGACATACGTGGAGCCATTGTGAAACGCATCTCGGGTGCAACTTTCTTCATCGTCTTAACAAAAAGGTCGATCCCCTGTAGAGATATCGCGTGCGTGATGCGGTATCGTGCTTGCTTGCGGCTCAGTGCCAAAGCTTCAGGGCAGTGCAGAGTGGCAACTCTCTTGCGAAGCCGCGGAGCGTAGCCACAAAAATCAGCGAAACCCACGAAGCCTCTGCCCTTATAGTAGCCGCTGGGCGTCGACGGTATCCATGGTGGCCGCGCTGTGCTGCTGTAGTGGATCCACTCGCTGGCACTTTTGATTCCTTGTTCACGTACATACGCACGCGCCTCTTCGAAATTCAAAAAAGCCTTCTTCCTTCTGCCAGATCCAATCCAAGCTGCCAGTTCTTGCTGTGGTAAAGGAATGCGAAGGGAGTGCGCTCTGGCCTCTCCACTGGCAAGTGTCGAACCTTTCTTGCACTCGGGTCTTGCCGCTGGCAGCGCCGGGCTCGTCACGAATCCTCGGCGCATCCGGCATCGACCACCTCTACCCAGCGCATCCGTGCAAGTACGGTGCATTGGAAGAGAATCCTCTAGTACTTCATTGAGCTTACTATAGTCGCGGACATTGCAATTGTCCGTCAACAGTTCTATGCCTCGCGTGGTCTACAAAGCCTCTCATTATAAGCTGAAGAGTATTTTTTCCTACAAATGATTTTCATTTTGTTCATCTCTATTTGTCCTACTTAAGCAACGCAGAGACAAGAACAGTTCACTTTTGTATGCTGGCGTTGAAAATTCCACACAGTTTTTCCTTGCTTCCATAGGTGAAATACATGATGCAGATGCTTTTAGTGGTTTTCGACTCTCAGTCACACTTGCTGGTGCATTGCAGGAAGAAGCGAAAACACCAACTACAATGGCACAATGTTGGCCCCCGCACGGACACGTGCACGTCCTTTTTCATGTGTCAATCACAATCAAAATCGGGTATTAGAATAGGATACTGGAATTGTCAAGAAAGAAATTTCGTTTGCAGAAGAGCAAGAGAGTGACCCTCCTCGTCCTTCTAGATCTAAGCATACATAGGCATAAGTTTCGAGGAGTTCTCCTTGGATAAACAAAGAAATGGATTAACAACTTTGCGTTTCTTCTACCCCTTCCATTCACAATAACAATACTCACATAACCTATCGCCTATTGATTTAGATTCTCTTTGTCCTGATGCAGACTTCTGAAGATTATATTATCGAACTTAGACAGAGACTGTTACAATGCATCAACATGACGATATTAGATGTATTTCCATCTTACAGGATAAAATAGATACAATCGATCGAATTCCAATTACTGGCTACAGAGATAAACGTTAGAAGGAGCACGATGTTGACTACAACGAGACGAATATGGCTCAACACCCGGCGTACCATCTCGTTCTATTGCAGGATGAATTGAGTACTTATAATCACATTTGAAGAAGTCATCAGCAATTCTCAGCCTACCAATGTCCGGGGGAGACTGTTGCTGTACTTTAGGTGAAGACTTTGACTTGCTGCCAAAAATGATTAAAATTCAAAATGGTGAATCCTGTAGAACTGGTAGTTGTGCAACGCGGATTCTGACGGTACGACTCTGGCGGAACTCTGGCCTGTACTTTTGAGCCTTGATCAAGAGCAAGACTGGAGTCTGCGGTGTTACTGATTCAAAGACTTGTCCGGTAGTGTACTTGAGGAGGAGTTGGGGGTCGCTGAGCGAAGGACCCAGAGCCAAGTTGGCTTGGAAATGGAGGAGAGGACTGTGGTTTCGTGCTTGTTAGTACTCAAACCAAAATCTTTGCAGGCGATGTATGAGATCCGCTCTAGTCTTTCCCGAAAGACCTAGTTGTTGGAATCATCGATGCTTTGCTGGTATTGGTATGAACGGCCATCATAACGGGATAAAATGATCATCACGAGGAGCGCAGGAGAAAGTACACATCAGAGGAAAGTAGGCTTAGAGATGTGAAGCAAACGCGCCAGATTATCGGATGTCATTGATGGGGAAGACCGACGACTGCTCCACGACTTTCAATACACAGATCCTAAAGTCCGCAATTTCTACAGAAACTTCAGTTAGTCGGACCGATTGAATTTGTTTGAAGCAGGGTTGCAGTCTCGAAATGATGACACCTGCACATAACGACATTACTTGACAGAGTATCTATAAGTACCAAAGGGACAAGATCTTTGCATCTGTTCAGGGCATTCTGACGCCTCGTAATGCACCGGAGGCAGTTCGCGACAGAAAAACAGCGTGGTTGCTGATGAAGTGGAGTGTCGCAGTCCGCCTACGATCCGCTCAGGAGTCTCATGGTGGAGATCGGTTTTACTGCTCCCAACAATCATCGATAGCAACGAGTCTAGCAGCTTACTCATTCTCCTTGTCCTTTGCATCTACCATTACGTTATCAAAAACTTGCCGTACCTTTTCTAATTCTGCGTGACAGATTACGGATTCTTTCTGAACTATATTTTTCATGGCTTCAACGGAATAGTTGTTGTGGAACTTTTCGAAATCGATAAAATATTTGTCGAGCTCGCTTTTGCGTGACGCACATCGTGAAGTGCGCGGCTTCGCATCAGGATGATAGACGCCCAAGCGAATGCTACCTTCGTTTCTAACTGCTGGGTCCACAAAATGCTGCATCAAAACTGCACGAGGTAGGACAAAGATTCCGCGGAGTCCTGATTCACTCAGAAGCACATCGTCTCTCACGTCGCAAGGCTGTCGTCGCTGTCGGCGCAACACGTAAACAACAAATATGTCGAGCGGGTCGTCTGTCGAAAATGGAATTATTCCAGTTGCCTGCGTGCTCCTTTTTCCTATGTAGACCTCGTAGCAATTCCCCCCTGCGACAGGAGTAGGCTTTGCAAGACGATGCAGCACCTTCACCCCATCTCCGACAATTGCGTTATACGTCCACGCGTCGCGCCTCGGAACTTGCACGCGCATCTGCAAGGGACCGTACACATGCTTCATCACAACCCGGAGGCACATCTGGCTAAGGAACTGTGCTCCACCCGTCGAAGCGAGATCTCGCCACCAGTCCGGTGCAGTTCGCTTTTCTGCATCCTCAAACCACTTTCTCAGCTGCGACGCTAACGCCAGAGGTGAACTCACTGCTTGTGCTGCTCTGAAGGAAACGCTTTTGTTCTGATGCTTTTTACTTTGTTTAGTTGCTGGTGCCATAGCCTCTGCTCTTTCCAACGTCCCGCGCGTGTCATGGGAAATGACAGCGGCTTCTTGCTCAACAGTGCCGTTTAACGCGCAAGGGAACTTTGCTTCATCCTGGCAAATTCTATGCTGCTCTGGAGTGTCCCTTATTTCAGTCTGCTCCGCAAAGTCCCTCACAAAGAACAATCTTTGAGGTACGCACACAGCAACGATGCCTGCGCCGTACGCTTTCCGCTTCATGAAGAATTTGTAGAGTGGATGCACAGGAGCTTCCCGCGATGTTCGTGTCGCATTTGCTGCAAAAGCGTCTTCAGATATGTCTTCTGGTCGCAGATTAGCAGCCCTCTGCGTAGAGTATACCAACAGGGTAGCCCATTTTTCTGAGCCGGGATGGCCCGCGTCCGAGTCGAGCGTGTATAGCATTGTCGTGCGTGACATACGTGGAGCCATGGTGAAACGAATCTCAGGTGCAACTTTTTTTATTGTCTCGATAAAGAGCTCGATCCCTTGCAAAGATATCGCGTGGGTGATGCGGTAGCGTGCTTGCCTGCGGCTCAGTTCGGCAGTTTCAGGGCATTGCTGGGCGTATATTCTCTTTGGAGTACGCGGTCCATAGCCGCAAAAGTCCGCAAAACTCACGAAACCCTTCTCCTTGTAGTGGTAGCTGGGTGTGGCCGGTATCCATGCCGGCCGCGCGGTTCGGCTATAATGTGCCCACTCCCTAGCGCTTTTAATGCCCTGCGTGCGAACATAGGATCGGGCAAGTTCAAAATTCACAAAAGGCTTTTTCTTTCTTCCACATCGAAATCGAGAAGCAGCATCATGATGTTGTTCTATCGCACCACCAGATTGCGCCCCAGCTGCCGCTGATCCACTGCCCAGTTCTGATACTTCCTCACTTGCGAATTTCGTCGCTGCTGGCGCGGACCCCGTGGCGAATCCTCGGTGCATCCAGCATTGGCCTCCTCTACCGAGAGCAGCCGTGCAAGCACGGTACATTGAGAGGATTCCTTTATGATGTCATAGTCCTGGTCGATTTCGCAGTTATCAGTCAATAATAATCTGTCTCAAGTGGCCCACTAAACATCTCGTCATCAAGCAAAATAACTACAGTATATTACATACAGTTACAGTACATCTTTTCATTTTCATTTTGTTTATCGCTTTATAACACTCAGCACCTCTTTCTTTCCCCGGAGAGTACGCTTTTTTCTCTTGTCGGTAAAAATTCCTCATACTTTTTCCTGGGGTAGGTGGAAGACATTGACCAGCTTTTTGCATTTTTCTCCTCTCAATCACAGCAGTCCGACTGCCTTGCTGCTGGATTCGGGAGAAGCGGAAACAGCAACTACAATGGCACAATGTTGGCCCCCCCACGGACTGTCCGTCCTCTATCATGTTTCACCCAGAAAAATCAAAATCGGTGGATATTAGGATAGGATTCTGGATGAATTGTCAAGAAAGAAATTTCATTTGCAGAAGAGCAACAGAGTGACCCTCCTCGTCCTTCTAGATCTAAGCATCAATAGGCATACGTCTCGAGGAGTTCTCCTTGGATAAACACGGAAATGGATTAACAACTTTGCGTTTCTTCTACCCCTTCTATTCACATCAATAAATAACAATATTCACATAACCTATCGCCAATTGATTTAGATTCTTTTTGTCCTGATGAAGACTTCTGAAGATTATATTATCGAACTGAGACAGTTACAATGCATCAACATGACGATATTAGATATATTTCCATCTTACAGCATAAAATAGATAAGTACAATCGATCGAATTCCGATTACTGGCTCCAGAGATGAACGTTAGAAGCACTATGTTGACTACAGCGAGATGAAGATGGCTCAACACCAGGTATACCATCTCGTTCTAGTGCAGGATGATTACATTTGACGTTGAATATAAGTAATTACATTTGAAGAAGTCATCAGCAATTCTCAGCCTACCAATGTCCGGGTGAGACTGTTGCTGTAGTTTAGGTGCAGACTTTCACTTGCTGCCAAAAATGATTAAAATTCAAAATGGGAAATCCTGTAGAACTGGTAGTTGTGCAACACGGATTCTGACTGTGCGGCTCTGATTGAACTCTGGTCGGTACTTCTGAGCCTTGATTAAGACTGGAGTTTGCGGTGCTACTGATTCAAAGACTTGTCCGGCAGTGTACTTGAGGAGGAGTTGGGGGTCGCTGAGCGAAGGACCCAAAGCCAAGTTGGCTGGGAAATGGAGGAGAGGACCGTGGGTAGCTGCCATTTTTATTTCGTTTTTGTCACAGTAGCCAAAGTTACGGCGTAACGGTTCTACCTACTGTCCCTCTAAAATGCTGATATGGTCCGCTATACTGATGTTGAAACGCAAACGCAATTCGGTAAAATTCATTGGTAATAACCTTGGCAGTATTCGTCTTGATAAAGAACTCAAGACAAAGGAAAATGTGCAGGGTTTGACATGGAGAGCAAAAGGACGCGATCACTGGACGGCATGATTAGTGAGAAGAGAGGTTCACAAACTTGGACATACAGATGCTAAGCCTAACCTACACAATGTCGAAACCGTTCGAATCTGAGACAAAAGGAAGTCTTCGCAACTCTGCCTCAAAGAAACTGCCGCTCGAACAGTCGTACCGATAGGTAGTCAATACCGAGGTGAAACCGGGGCATTCACTCAGGAATGAAGCGGAGCGGCCGCATCCGCATGCGAACTTCTAAAAAATGATCTTAATCTCATGCAGCAAATCGGTTTTATTCCCAGCAGTCACGCGGGCATCGATTAGGTCAGAAATTGTTCTTCTGCTGTGATTCTTTATTAACGCTCTCAAAAACTTGCCGTACCTTCTCTAATTCTGCATGATAGGTTCTGCGTTTGCCTTCGTCTTGATCAGTAGGAGAAGCAGGAAATTTTTCAAAATCGATAAAGTATTTATCAAACTCTGTCTTTCGCAAACGGCATTGTAATGTTCGGGGCTTCGCATCTGGGTGATACACCCCTAAGCGGAGGCTGCCTCGGTTGCCAATAGCAGGGTTCACGAAGTACTGAATCAGCACTGAGCGGGGAAATACAAAGATCCCGCTGATTCCTGAGTCCCTGAGCGGAACGTCCTCTTTTACGTCACAAGGCTTCCGTCGCTGTCGGCGCAACATGTACACCACGAGCGCGTCAATAGGATCTTCTGTTGAATATGGAATTATTCCAGTGGCTTGGGTATTGCGCTTTGCTAGATAAACCTCGCAACCGTCCCCATTGCAACTCGGAATGGGGTTTGCCAAGCGATGTAACACCTTCACTCCGCTCCCAACGATTGCGTTGTACGTCCACGCATCGTGTCGCGGTGCCTCCACGCACATCTGCAGCGGAGCGTAGACATGCTTCATCACAACACGAAAGCAGATTTGACTGAGAAGATGCGCCCCACCGGGGGATGCAAAATCTCGCCACCAATCACTCAGTGTTCGCTTTTCTGCATGGTTGAACCACGTTTTCAACTGCAATGCCAAGTCAATCGGTGAATCCACTGCCTCTGAGGATTTGAATGAAATGGTCGCTCTGCTTGGATGCTTCTTCTTTTTTTCACTTCCTATCGACTGGGGTGTGCTACCTGGAGACTCTGGCTTTTCTGGAGTGAGGTGCGCAGGATGGGGCGCGGTGGCTGCTTGTTTCTGCCGACTGGCTCCACGCGCAAGGCACTCGGAAAAGTCTCGAACGAAGAACAAGCTCTGCGGCACGTGAACACCCACTACGCCAGCCCCGCAAGCAGCGCGCTTCACCCGGAATGTGATAACCGACTCTGAAGCAAGTTTCGAATTCGATGAGTGTGCGAGGGTTTTGGAAAAAGCGTCACAAGGTACGCCTCGCGGTCGCAGATTCGCAAAAGCACTCTGGGTGCCATAGACTAGCAGAGTCGCCCACTGGTGCTGCGCTTCCGGATCGCTCTCATCCGAATCGAGTGTGTATAGCAGGGTCGTGCGCGACAGCCGTGGAGCCATCTTGAAACGTATCCGAGGTGCAGCTTCCTTGATTTTTGCAATGAAGAGGTCGATGCCTTGCAAGGATGTCGCGTTGCTGATACGGTAGCGTGCTTGCGTGCGGCTCAGTGCTAAAGCTTCAGGGCACTGCTGCTTGCGTATCCTCTTCGGGACCCGCAGGCTATAACCACAAAAATCAGCGTAACTCACGAAGCCTTTTCCCTTGTAGTACTCACTAGGTGTTGACGGTATCCACGCAGGTCTCGCTGTGCGGCTGTAATGGATCCACTCCCTAACGCTTTTGATGCCCCGTAGACGAACATACGAACGCGCGAGCTCGAAATTCACAAACGGCTTTTTCCGTCTGCCACATGGAAATCGAAAAGCGGTATCATGGTGTTGTTCTGTCGCTCCAGCCCCAGCTGCCCCTGATCCACTGCCCAGTTCTGATACTCCCTCGCTTATGAATTTCGCTGCTCCTGGCGCAGAGCCCGTCGCGAATCCTCGGTAAATCCGACATTGCCCTCCTCTACAAAGCGCAGCCGTGCAAGCACGGTGCATCGACTGAGAGGAATTCCTTTACTCCATGCAGTTTAATATGATGTCATAGTCGTTAAGCAACACGTTACTGGTACATTACCCTAAACATTTCCATTTTTTTCATCGCTATGTAACACTCAGCACCTCTCTCTGTCCCAAAAGGTGTGAAGACGACACACAGTTCACCATTTTCTGCTCTCGGTAATTCTAATTCCACACACTTTTTCCTTAGGTGAAAGACATTGACCAGCTTTTTGCATTTTTCTCCTCTCAATCACAGCAGTCCGACTGCCTTGCTGGTGCATTCGGAAGAAGCGAAAACACCAACTACAATGGCACAATGTTGGCCACCGCACGGACACGTGCACGTCCTTTTTCATGTTTCAATCAGAATCAAAATCGGATATTAGAATAGGATACTGGAATTGTCAAGAAAGAATTTTCATTTGCAGAAGAGAGTAACCCTCCTCCTTCTAGGCATAGGCATACGTCTCGAGGAGTTCTCCTTGGATAAACAAAATGAATTCACATTTTTCTTCATCTAACTCTATTCACAATATTCACATCGGCTATCCCCCATTGATCTAGATTTTTTGTATTTGTTTTTTTCTGAAGATAGATTATATCGAAGTTAGACAGTTACAATAACAAGTTAGCGTTAGTTGTTTCTTTAATACAATAACAATGCATGAACTACATGGTGGTGATACTAGAAGATTTATCTGCATGACCTTACAGGATAAAACAGTACTCGGTACAATCGACGGCCGAATTCCAATTACTGGTTACGAAGATGAACGTTAGAAGCACTATGACTAAAGCGAGATGAAGATGGCTCAACATCAAGTTCTTTACCATCTCGCTCTGCTGCAGGATGAATCTAATTACATTTAAATTCAACAGCAAGTCGCAGCCTACCGATGTCGTGAGGTGACTGTTGCTGCTTAGGTGCAGATTGTGACTTGGACTTACATCATGTTTCTAAAAATAATTCAAATTCACAATGGTGAATAGTTGCATCTTACTTTACCTCTTGCACGGCTAGGGAAACCTTCTAGAAAACGACTTCTCATTGTGATCCTTCCATTTGATTCTGCATCAGATTTCATCTACTCGATGTACAGTTGTTGTGCAGGTCCCGCACGTTGCACTATTTCTAGTACTGCTCCTCGTACTAGCATTTCCTCGTTTAGTGCTCTTTGATGTCTTCATCTTCTTCCCATCGTTTTTTCTCCTCCACTCCACCAAAACCAACACGAACCAATCCACCACCGTCAATCATTTCCTCTTCATCTTTCTCCATTCCTCCTCAACATTCTCCATTCCTCCTCTTTCTCCACCAGCATCTCTCTTCTTCCTTTAGACTTCTACTCCAGCTGGAAGCAATCCTCAAATTTCATTTTGGCGTGTTTGCTCTCGTGATGCTGTTTTGCTTCCACCATCTTCGCTGTGTTTGGGAATTCCGTTCCGCAAATCTGACAGCTTATCTTGTTTGGGTTAGAAGTAGAGGCCACGACCCAAATCTCCTCCATCTTGAGAAGCAAGAGCCCTCTTCTTGGGCCTGTTTTATTTCCTTATTGAATCTAGTATGGACGAGTCTGTTTTCGAAAGGTGGATCACAAAAATAGTGCCTCTGTTACAGGCTCCAAGAAGCTTCTCAAAATGGATTGATTAGGGTATATTAAGGCCTTAATCGAAGCTTTAGCAGCTTTTTCCGCTACCCTAGGATCGCGGACGATGCCAGCCTTCTCATCTGCCTTCTTCTGGGCTTTATTGATGTCCTTCTTGCTCTTCGCCATTTTTGAAAAATTCAAAAAAGGATGATGAAAACGAGATTAGTTTTATGAATATGAAGCCTCGTCCTTTCCTGTTTCTTTCCTATTTTGTTTTGATGTCTGCTTTTGTGATTGGATTTCCGTTGCAGACACAATCATGCATAGATTTGGATTTGAATCTAGATGTGGTTGATTCAGACAAAGCGTGCTTACCTCTAGAGCATCGTTCTCAGATGATCACTCTCGCAGTGAAATGTTCTGGAATTATCTTTTGTTAGACTTAGAAGAGCTTCATGATGTAGTTCATCACATTTCTCTTGGTGGACGTGCTCCGACACATCAATGGTGTTTCGTTATTTTTGCAAACTCAGTATCTTGAGTGGAGTGACTTGGACTCGGATTGATTCATTCTGCATGTGTCTGGAGAACAAGATAAAGACAATTAGATGTCAAGTAGTAGATCCGTAAGCAGAGGATCATGTTAAAGTATAATTCTCATTCGACCTGCACAGATCATCCAGAAACAAGTCATCAACGCCCGGCTGGGTTCCACACCATGCCAGGCTCCTGCCACCAGCGCTCTTTTTTTTTTTCCTTTTATTTTTCATATGTTTTCAGCATGACCTACGCTACACGCGTTACCACATTCTCTGGTAGCTCAAGCTCATTTTTTGGAGGTCCCTCAGCACAACAGTTCGTACTTCTCGTGCCCCTACAACCTAGACCGCTGAAGCCCTCTGACAACAACGACTCGTCCCCAATAGTAATTTTTACAGCCTTCTGCACTTGAGTGAAGTCTTACCATCCTCTATGAAAGTCGTCATATGCATGCCAAACTCTGTTATCTAAGCACGTATGTGCTAGCTAATCCAACTCAGTCACAAAGCGTGTGATTAGACTAGGTAGTGACAGCGGGTTAGACGATGGAAAAACTGCTACAAGCGCAGATGTAATGGCTAGGCTAACACAAGCAAACAAACGTTATGCACTAGCTACGGCTTCCCATGCGCTACTACAGACGCAACCAACGAAATATACATATCGTTGTGCATCAAGAGCTTTATGCTTATTCTTCAAAAACATCTCCTGTGCCAATAAGAAAAATTTACTCTTTCTTACGTCAGGAAATGAAGGCGGCGCTCCCCAAAGCTTGGGCTTGCGCTATCAAAGCTGGCTCGTACTTGTACTTCTTCCTGAAAAAATAACGAAGGCGCTCCTCAAAAAATGAATCTTCCTGAGGCCAGGCATAATTCCTGAAGTCGTGAAGTATACCTACTTTTTCTGCTCGGTCGTGCTATAATTTCGAGAGAAGTCTTGAGCTAGAATCAGCTAGAATCGTGCCCGATGAAAATGCTTATGATTCTAGAATTTCTGATAAAAGTTCTGGGCGAACATCTGGCAGTTGTTGCGCGTCAAGTCGTAGCTGCCGTCCAACGTCTCCATCCAATTGAGGACGTCCCGGAGCGTCACTTTACGCGACAGCGAGCGCTCAGACAAGGCGTTTTTGACGTAGACAATGTGACAGGAGGACTCGGCCGCACGATCCACGTCGGACTCGCTACGGTAGGGACCAATCAGCTCAAGTCCGCTGCGGTTGTCGTGCGACCTCCTGTTTGCCATTTCGGCCAAGTAGTAGCCATCGTCAGTCTCAATGCACACGTAGGAATGGGTGATGCTGTGTCCCGTAGCCGCTTTTGTGAGAATACTCCCGATAGCGTTCACAACGGGCACACCCATGAAATAGTAGCGGTTCTCGTAGCCGCGAACGACCAAGTCCAATTCTCCTCGTTCCAAGTTGGTGGCAACCCGTGCTGCGAGACAAGTGGTGATAAGCATCAGAAAACGCATCATATATCCTTTCTTGAAGAAAGAACATCCACTCAATCGTCCCACCATCTTTGTGTTCTTTTATTACTTTGCATATGTAAATCCTGTATACAAATCAACCTAGTTGTAGAAAACGAAGCCTCGCCCTTTCCTGTTTCTTTCCTATTTTGTTTTGATGTCTGCTTTTGTGATTGGATTTCCATTGCAGACACAATGCATAGATTTGGATTTGAGTCTAGATGTGGTTGATTCAGACAAAACGTGCTTACCCTTACCTCTAGCGCATCGTTCTCAGATGATCATTCTCGCAGTGAAATGTTCTGGAATTATTTTTTGTTAGACTTAGAAGAGCTTCATGATGTAGTTCATCACATTTCTCTTGGTGGACGTGCATCGACACATCAATGGTGTTTAGTTATTTTTGCAAACTCAGTATCTTCTCTTGAGTGGAGTGACTTGGACTCGGATTGATTCATTCTTCATGTGTCTGGAGAACAAGATAAAGACAATTAGATGTCAATGGTTCTCCGAAAGCGGCTGTTATTCGTCTCAAGTAGCACCCGATCCTGAAACATCTTGATCCTATTTTCCTGTTTCAGTTGCGGTTCTAATTCGGTGTCTGTTCAGGTTTTCTTGGAAATAACGGCTGAGACCACATGTTTTCAGCTGTTCAGCGTGGTAAAAGAATGCGATTATAACATCATCATCGTCAGTATTGAATCAGCCAGTGTCTTCATGTGAGTGCCCCTGACATGACCCTTCGTGGTCACCGTCGAGACAAAATGGCAGCCGACGCAAAGGTCAACTCCCACAACAACTGCCCAGCCATCTTCATGAGTATCTATGTATAACTACACAACAACAACTACACTAAAACTATAACTTTCACTTTAGCTCTTCACCGCTAATCGCTGGACATAACTACACAAGTACACTAAAATTATCACATTAGTTCTTCACCGGTACTCGCTGGACGGTTTTCCACACGGGAACCGCGACTCTGTCCGTCGTTTCTGCCTCTTTTCTTCGCAATTCTAACCTCGCTGCGCGCATCTTGTAGAGCAAAAAGAGAGCAAAGATCAGAGCAACGGACACGATAATGCTCAAGACGATGACACCCACCGTGATCAAAATCTGTACAATCACGTCCGCCGCGTCCTCGCTGGCAGCCGCAGCATAGGATGAAAAGGCGAAAGGGAAAATGGAGGATGAACAAGACGTTGGGATCTCAACGTCGACGTAACAGCTCCGAAGCTGATCAGCTCCTTGTGCGCGGTTTTTGAACTACACGGCAGTCTGAACTACAAAAAGAAACAAATTGTTGTTGTTCGTCTTCGTCGTCTACGAAAAGTAGTTACCCATGATCACCTCCATAAAGCAAGCACATCCTGGTTCGCAGCATTGGCGGTCGTATTGGCAACGGGGGGTCGCACAAGTGCAGGATCGATGGTGATCTGTTGGTCTATGGGTGTTTTAGTAGACCCCATATCACCCGGACAATACGAAGTCACTTCAGCATTCGCACACCAGCTCCGCTCTCCAAGGATGTTCAAATTTAGGTCCTCTGGAAGAGGGTCGATGCCTTTTCGTTAGAGGCGGATAGTGAAGATAAGATGGCTATTGTCAAAAACAGCCCTGTGGTCCTTTGATCAAATTCTTCGTTGTACTTATAGCCATAATGTTGCCCACTCGTATGCCCGCATCTCTCGACATCCTTGTAACCGTGAGTACAACGTACTGGAACCTGACCTGGTGGCGAACAGACAAGCGGGCTTGTCCAGGTGAAGGTCGGATCTAAAAGAGCAAGATCGGTGTCGAGGGATCGACATGAGCATAGCTGACTACACCGAGATGGAGGAGACACCAGCTGCGAAGCGTTGGCGGCTGTGTAGGATCATTGATTTTTGTTGCCGTCATCCAGTAGCAATTATTTCTACAAGTCTAAAACAAGAAAAAAGTATCTCAAAATTTTCATGACTAGTGGAAATGCATCTCAATTCAGCGGAAGCTTCCCAGTGCATAGGACTGGGCTATTTCTAGAGGGGGCATCAGGTTAACCCCTCAGCAACTCAGAGGGGCAACCTTTGATTAGATTCCACAAGAATCGGCCAAGGAGCGCCCTCCCCAACTGCCAGATCGTTGGCGCTCGCCTCCACCACCCGCAATAACTCCATCTCAAGCTCCTAAAAAAACACTCATCACCCCAGAGCCCCAACAGAAAATGGCGTAGCAGACACCCATGCCCGCGGCGGCGGCGAACCTCAGGGCTATAAGCAGTCTCACAGCTTTGAGGTCCGCGGCGGATCTCAGGAATCTCAAAGGCCCTTGTGAAGAACCAGTCTCAAGCATTTTTGAGTCCACAACACTCAGAAAAGCCTCATGTCCGCCGCGGACCTCAGGACTCTGAGACTGCTCAGAATCCTGAGGCCCGCGGCGGACCTCAGGGGTTTTTCCTGTCCTCAGACAGGCCCAGTAGGGTCGACTCGGTCTGTCCGAGGACAGGGAAAACCCCTGAGGTCCGCCGCGGACCTCAGGATTTTGAGCAGTCTCAGAATCCTGAGGTCCGCGGCGGACATGAGGCATTTTTGAGTCCCATGACTCAAAAACGCCTGAGACTGGTTCCTCACAGAGGGCCACGTTGAGATTTCTGAGGTCCGCGGCGGACATGAGGCATTTTTGAGTCCCATGGAGGCATTTTTGAGTCCCAAAAATGCCTGAGACGGGTTCTCCACAGGGGCCTTTGAGATTTCTGGGGTCCGCGGCGGACCTCAGGACTCAGCAGTCTAAGAGCCCTGAAGCCCGCGGCGGGTATGAGACTTTTTCAGTCCCGTGGTCTCAGAAACGCCGGAGACTGGTTTCGCGGAGGAGAGTCCAGGAACAGCCCTTCGAGTGCCTTTTTCTATTACTATCGCAGTCTCAACGAGTTCTAAGCTAGGGAGCAAAGTCCTCCAGTTAGTCCTACTGAGAAACTTCCGCTGTCTCAGATGAAGTAGAAACGCAAGTCATGAAAATTTTCTCAAACCAACAAAGTCATTCTTGGTGCACTCCACAACTACAAGTAGGTATTACCTCCATACGCCCCGCATCTCTCCCCGATGATGTTGTGGTACACAAGACCACCTAGACAACACGTATACTCGAGTTGTGTTTCACCCTGGAGCATTCGGGTATTCCCCGTGAGCACTGCTTCTCCTACAGAGCAGGCACATGGTTCCCACTGTCCCCCTGCCCAACAGTCTGTTGTGTCGATCAGGATACCAGGACTGCTACAGCGTCCTTCTTGCTTGCAATCGTTAGTAGCGGAGGTCGAAGTGGTGCTCAGGCTCAGCAGGATGTGGGTGCACGTGCATAAGGCACCGACGAGTCGGAACCTTCGTCTTCGAAATTTCCAGGTCATGGCTGCTGACCTAGAGGTGCTTCTTCATGCTACATTCTTACATCAGCTCTATGAGAAAGAGAAACATTTTCAGGGATCTTACAGTCCCCGAATGGAGAATCGGGAGCCTTGCCTAGGAGCCTGAGGACCGGTCTATTTTGATACCTGCATCGCTACTGTTTTACTTAGCATTACGCAAAAGCTTCACGTTTTTGAGAGGGTTTCCAAGAGTAAAAGCCGGCTTGAACTAGACAGGGTGAGAAGTGGAAACGATTTGCATTATCATTCTCGCCCTTTTGTTCTTCTCAGTTTGGGAGGAGGGTAAGTCCCGTCTATTCTACCGTTTACGCAGCTTCTGCTCTCACCACTCTTGACAGTTTCCACGATGGAAAACTCGAAGGTCTCGGTCACTTTGAAGATTTCGCATTTTCCAACGACGTCATGGTATTTTCAAAGAATGTGTCCAAAGCCAGTCATAGACCTAGCGGGCTGGCTAAATCTAATCAATGTAATATGCCTGTTTGGCATTTCTTGGAAAGTACGCGGAGCGCAGAAAATAAAGTCCAATAAAGAACTACGAGCTCCAACGCAAAGCAGTAGTGGTAGTTTTAGCAGATGTGAAGGCTAAAAAAGATAATGCAAGAAGAGTTAGAAGTGTTGATGTGATTCTAATCTCTGGGAAAAACAGAGAGGAAAAATGATTTCAGTGACGTTGCTGTTTTAAAAAAGCAGCACGATCCTGCTTCTATTCGGATTCGACAGAGTGTACTTGACCACTACCCCTCAAGGAGTGTCTTCCTCGAAAGTACAGCCCTACGAGGCCACCAATCCCGCCAAGAATGGCGATTACTACGGGGACTGTTGGAACCGAGACTGTTGACGCGTTCTCTTTCTATATTATAGCGCTGCTGTGGTGTCCTGCTCTCTCTGCGGGCCTCAGTAGTTTCTCCAGCAGTTACGAACAGGCAACAAAGCGCTTAGGTTCCTGCTTCCACACTCAATTTTCACGGATGTACCCTGCGGAGGATGTCTCGTCGTCCGATTTTGATGTCGGAGTTGCCTGCTCCTGAACACCAGAAATAGGAATGGTCACAGAAGCAGTCGTAGTAGGCACAGCAGCTAAGGTTGACACTACTGTGGTGAAATTCTAAGAGGCTGATGACGTTCCCGCAACAGCTGTAGTGATTCCTGAGGTCACAGCTGCAGCAATAGACGTAGTCAACAAGGTCGGAGAACCACCTGTGGTCGCTGAAACCATGTCATCCTTTGCTGAGGTGATGGTAGAAGCATAAGTGGATGAGATCTCAAACTGTCCGGTCATTGGTACGGCAGCTAGTAATGCACGGCTCTGACGCATAGCAAGTATGCCAGACCAGGACATCGCCATGACAGTGGCCACACCGTTCTCACCGTTAACGGATGTGCGGTTCGCCAACGTCGAAAAGGGCTTCCCAGTGCCAACAACGGGCCCACAACAAGACTCATGTAAAGCGGTGGCAATAGCAGTCTTCACAGTGGTCTTCTCAGTTGCGGTCATGGTCATAGGAAGGTCGATGACATCAGTGGTGTGCTTGGGCGGGCTAGTTCCTGAAGACCCTGACGCACTGGGTTTTAGTGTCGTCGCCGAGCCGGGACTAACAGTCGCTGAAGGAAGTGTCGTCGGAGATGGAGTCGTCGCCGTACTAGACGTCGTGCCATTAGCTGTGACATTCGCTGTAGTACGTCCAAGCCGCCTTACCGATGGCGTTGCAGCTCCCGCTGTTTTCGCAAGAACTACTGAAGTCGACGGCAGTGACAGCTGCGAGGACGTGAACGAGGGCCAGGGATTTTGAGAAATGCTCGAGTGGTGTCCGCATTATCACTGCAAGCGAGCAGATGTTTAGGAACGTACTGAAGATATTCTGAATGTTGCCACTGCTATGACCGCAGCTGGCGCCAAAAGAAAGTACTGGGAAAATTCCCGAGAACTTTTCGTTAGGACATTTTTCCAGCTGAGCTCAGTTCTCTTCGGACAAAAAAAAGGCTACATGGGGGTCAGCAAAAGAAGTACCATTCTTTGCATGCAATTCTTTCGCGTTTTGCATTCACAACGTATTCAGTCTGGTTCTGTAGTCTCAATCCATGCAATTTTACCTTCTGATGCCCATTTTGCTGACCATTTTGCACTTCTTTTGGAATGACCTTTGCATGCCGTTCTATGACCCATGGAAGCGCCAAATCCTGACTCAGTTTGGCACCCGCGGTTCAGCTACGGCAACTCGAGTGCACCTCCTTGTCTGAAGCAAGAAGCATGATGGTACTTAGAAAGTTTTTCCAGGAGACAGCCCTGATTCTTTGGTCAAAAAATGATGTCTCAGTTTCTTATCGTTGATCGTTCTCCGACAATTTTAGTACTTAGTAGTACACGATGAATTTTGATGAACATTCACGTTCGTCTCAATGACACAAAGTCTTACGGAATTACGTCTTCAAGTATCGATTTCATATTTGTTTACTCTAGAGTGATTTAGTTATATTCTCTTCAGTAGTTACAACACACTTTACATCTCTAAACGTTTACAAAAGCTCTAAAATAACCTGAACAAGTTTCGTTGCAAAGGTGGATACTACAACGAAATATAGACAAAAAAAGTTTACATGGTTTGTGAAAATCAACATGGAGTATTTACATTTTTTTATGGTACACGAACATGTTCCAAAAAAAGAATAGAATATGCTATGTCAGCACCAGACCTGATTTGTTACAGGCATATGGTATGTCCAATTCTATGATGTTAATAAGATCAAACAAATGTAATTCAAGATACTAACTTAGTTGTGCGATCGATATTGCTTCTTCATGGTATGATCTAAATGATCTATGGATGTGTTTACCACAAACCGCGAAACTAGGTAGTACTCTTTCCAATGATGTTAAAGCATCGCTATTAACATCATTCACTTCACAAACGCCTGTGGTCGTTGTGTGAGCCATCCTGCGACGAGTTCCTGGAGCCAGTGGTTCTTCAATAGCGTTGCATCGTAGTAGATGGAGACGAGGCCCTTCTCATAGACCTTTTGTGGTCGCTTCTGCTCATTCTTGATTTCGCCCTGTTCCATCAGCAGGGCTCCGCGAGACCCAAAGTTGCCTCCCGCAGTGCGCGGTCGGTCCTTGATCTTGCTTGCTGGCGCTGCTGGCGCTTCGGGCAACTGAGAAGCGGAAAAAGCCTCAAAAGTCAGCTGAACGGAGTCGCTTTCCTGAAATGGATAAGAGCGTGATGAGGAGTGACAGTACGTATGCAGCTTATTTTAATAGATAAATGGGGTCCTCTAGTATTTCAACAAAACAAACTTGAAATTGTGAATACAAAAACTACATGTGTTTCGCAACACCAATCTAAGCAAAATCCTGGTACCCTATCCACATTCCTTTTGAGGTCTTCTATTCGGCAGAGGTTGGGCCACAGGATACCGTTTCGACACCACCATAGATGCTTTGCGAAGTCGTCTGCTCTCTTACCACAATCATGAGCATTTCTTCCCTTACCGAAGAGAACGCCCCAATCGACCCTTGTTCTGTCAGGGACATGGAGACGCAGGGCGCAATACCTGGTTATGCTACGATCTGTGTGGAAGAGCTAGTTCCATTCACGTAGTCCACAACAAACGATGAATACCATGAATAGTCAGTAGCAGATGAAAGGTGAAGATGCTACGAGCTAGAGAGAGCAAGTAAGTTCCATTCACGTAGCTAGTCCACAACAAAGGATGAATACCCTGGATAACTCGCCTCCACTCCGCTCGGGTAAAACTCCACAACAACGCTACTGATCGAGCCTAATTGTTTCTCGGTACTGCAGATAGATCGCTCCCGTGGCCATGAGAGCTTATGCTGTATCTTCGGGATGTTCCAGACTATGCGGTTCTTGCTTGAGCCACCCTCTTCCGCTGAAGACCCGCTGACAGAAGAACTTGCTGGTCGCTCGAGGCCGTTCGAATCGATCACCTCTAAAGCGTCTTTTCGGAGATGAAAGGGGAATTTAAGTAACGAAATAACCTCTAGGGCATCTTTTGGGAGATCAAAGGGGAAAGGAAGATGGGAGAAAAACACGAAATAATAGGACAACATGAGCATGTCTTCCCATTGCACGAACACATACCGAATCAAGGTGTAGGAGTACTGGACCCCTAACTCTGACTATGCCATTCTCTGTCAGTATTCCAGAAAGTCTCTATTCCAGAATCTCACAGTCTCCAGTCACACTCACACAGTCACTATTTTTCCATAAAGTCTCTGTTCCAATGTCGCTTTTGTGGCTGCGTCTTCTTTCACTTGTTGTGTTGCGATCTTGAGTTCTTCCGACATCTTAGCTTGCCTCTCTTCAGCACTTCGGATTGTAACTGTTGATTGTGGACGACAGGCTATTTCGTGTGTGTGAAATCTAGTACTAGTTCCCTCTTGTTAATTATAAGAACGACCACTGGTATATTCTTCTATCTAACTCAACAAAAGCAATCTTACTTCTTTTTCACTTTCGAGAAGTGACTAGCTCAATCGATCCAAAAGTGAAGCCATTACCTGTCATCGTTTCAATCTTTGTTTCGGCTTCCGACATCTTGGTCCTATACGCTTGGCACTCTTCCTGAAGCTTATGCATGGCTGCCTGCGCTTTTTCAGCTGTGTCTTTGAGCGGTTTTATCATTTTCTCCGTCTCATCCCTGGCCCGCTTGAGCATTGCCGCCTTGTCCTCTTCGAATTCGGGTGATGAAAGTGGGGTCGTGGAATGGAAAATGTAGAACAGCAACAGATATTCTTAAGTACTGAAACGCTCTGGAATGAAAGACCAGGGAGATTCAATTGTCGTAGAAGATGCAAGATCTGGAATCTCTTCAATGAATGTCACAAAAAGCTTTATGCCATGACTTCCGCAGTTCCGCTTCCCGCTTATCCACTGCTCTCTTCACACTGCGTTCGATCTGCGCTGGCATACCCGCTCGAAGCGCGTCTAGTTGGTGATTCGCAGACTTCAACTCCTTCTCAGTCTTCAAATAGAGCATGCGATTGTCGCCTAGAATCCGCAGATATTTCGTCATCTGCATCTTCGTTAAAATCCCACCTAGTCGCATTTTCTCCAACTCTTTCAGGATGTCTTGCATCTGGGGATCTCTCCTAGCGTCATAACCCGTCTCCCCAGCGCCCTCACTACCAGCAATATGAAACGAAAAAGGGCACTCACACTCAAGAAATTGGCTAGGATTTAAGTAGGAACATAGCCACTTTTTTTGAGTGTGAGTGCACTTTTTTCTTTCATAAGCAAACCTCGAGTAGTATTCTGCGAGTTCGCCGTCGCTCCTGATACTGATCCGTTCGGGGCCGTCGTATCTGAAAAAAAGTACGATGTTGCAGCTTCCGATAGAAAGTACATTTGTGCAAAACTATCATAATCTAACTAGAAGATCTTCTATATCTGTGGTCTAACTAGGAAAGAAAAGGAAAATTTAGAAAAAGCAAAGGCTATCGACGGACTACAAGATCTTCTATAGCAAAATATTATATCATTACCCTGCATATATCGCCTGCAATTCCTTGCCATGTGGTAATTTCAGACCCAGAGCGTCTAAGATATCCTCTGACATTTCTTGCACTGTCTTGGCCTGTTGCATTCGTTCCGCATCTTCGACGTCTACTACAAAAACAATGAAGTTGTTAAAAGGCGTCGGCCTAACTTTCTTCGGGTGTCCACGACATTTCGCATACAGCATGCCTGCGCCAGTCGTCGGTCCGGCGCGAAGTGGAGTCTGATAGCCTGGCAAAAGGTAGAGGGATCGATGGTAATGCAGGAATGCATTACTTTTAGTTGCAGTTGATTTTCGTTGAACATAAAGCAAGAACTTCGTCGTGCGTAGTACTAGTGAATATCGAAGACTAAATCCCTATAGTTCATAAAGTTGTCATGGTGTACTTCACTATAAGAGGGGCAACAACAGTTCAGTACAGTACTAGTAAATTTAATGTGACGCCAGGAGAGTTAGAAGCGTACGTGTTCCTGCCGTTCCTGGTCTCTTCTTTACTGGTGACGAGGATGCTGGCCTCGTTTTCTGCCTCTCATTGCCTGCACCGCCTTCAAACAAAAATGGGTGTCCCGGAGCTCCTGTCTGATCATAGTTGTTGTTGTTGTAGAGCGTACTAGCAGAAGCTGCGTGTCCACCAGCAGTCATTGGCCGTGCGCGAGTGCCGCCGACGGCTGGTAGCCCTCCTCGATTGTTCCATGCTTGACAGTCGCTAGCACCACCGAATCGAATTTTTCCACCGGCTAGAGGAGCAGGAGGAGCTGCCTGATGTGCTGTGAGGTCGTGAATGCTTCCGATGGGGTCATCGAGAAGCATATCGATGACCGCACTGCCGCCCGCACGAGCGGCGACAGTCGCCCGCATATTCTTCACACAATGAGATCTTCTACTACAATGACAATCATGATTCGAACGGTCTACAATGACAATCAGTATGCTTTATGTCTAAAGATGGTTTGGTTATGTCGATGATCAATCCAACTTAGGGTCTGGAAATCGTAAGAAAGTCCAGGAGTGAAGAGACGGAGATCGTAGCGGGTACGGGTGCGCTCGGGGGAAATTTCCTGAAACGAGGTGTATCGTATAAACTCTAAGTAGAAGTACGCTTGAGTTGTTCTAAGGATGAGGATGCAGCTGAGACGGCTTTCTAACGTTGCCTTACAGATTTTAACCGATATGTACACGCTAGCTTAAATTATCCGCACCGTTGCTTTCAGATGAACCGACAGAGGTGCATGCGTCAGATCACATCAACATTTATACAACACAGACTTGCCTCCCAAGGTCAACACTTCACAGACGGAGACTCCGACCGAGACTGCACGCACATCTCTTTGGGTGCTGCTCCTGCTCGGAGAACAAGTGGCGTGATGACCAACACATGATGTGGCGAGGCTCGTGGATGACTTGTTGCAATGAATTTTCCACCACAACAAAAATGTTTGATTCCGCCGGCTGCCACTTGCTTCTCGGTCTAGCAAACTGTTTCTGTTAAGTAATCATCAAAATTAGTTTAAGTCGTCGTAGCTATGTCTTCTTCGGCAGACAAAGTATTCAGTTGGACCTGGATCTCATTTTTTTGTAGCAGGAAAAATTGAAGTGGAAGTCTTTACACGACACGTACAAAAATTTATACAGATCCGATCTAGAAAAGCAAAACCTATTTCACCACAGACGACAGTTGTGGTTGTAAACGAATTCCCGTAAAAAATCTGGTGTCATAGTCTAGTTTATCGTCTGTTTCTGTTCTACTACTGCTGGAATCTCATTTGTACTACTTCATCGTCACTTCCCTGTAGACTTCGACACGTCCTAGTTGCTCAGCTTCCCTTTCGGCTCATCCCCAACATCCACTAGCGCGTTACTCGATGAAGACGGCGTCGAGGCACCGGCGTCTAGTCTGCTAAACGGTTGAAAAAGTGCATTAGCCAACGTCTTTCCCTGGCGAACTCCATGGTCAAATTGGTTCCGCAGAAGGTCTTGTGCTCCACGGTTTAGGTTATTGATGTTTTCAAAGCCTTCGTCGAGCAGGTCTTCGAACTGATCGAATTAGAGCCCAAAACAATTCTAATTCACTTCTTACACCTTGCATTTCTCCCAATGAATCCCACGTGCACGTACTGAGGGAACAAATGAGAAATGACTCGTAGAACTAGAAATGAATTGTATTGAGCCTTAATCAAACATGTCTTGATACCCGGATGCGAGATCGAAGCTTTTATCAAAGTTCGGCAGTAAATACTGCTTTCCAATAGCGAATAGGACAAGCTTCGCTTGTGAGTCATATGCGGGAGGATGGGCATAAGGTTAGAGATAGATGCGGAGTTGTTCTTGGGTTGTTTCTTGGGAGATAGAGATAAGTAGATTTGGAGGAGGCATGTATGGGTTGCTTGGGAATGTTGAAGTCCGTCTGCAAACGAAGATCTGAAGTTTCACTTTCAAGACATGATCATGTTTTTCAGAATGCCTGATATATAAAAAGGTCGAGGATGCATGACAAAAAATGCGCAGATGCTTGATAAAATATGGATTTCACAACTCTGGAAGTATTTGACATAATAGTATTAGTCCTCCTTTCATAATGATAAGTGGAAGGATGGTGATGATAGCTATGGTGGTGGTGAGAGTGATGTTCGAACTCGGACCGGTCAAAAGAGGGTGTTTTTGAAAAATCGCCTGGCGCACTTGGAACGCTCCCGCGATCAGCGACCGTTGCTCTGTTTCCTGCTTGTAGATCCATATTCGAATTGCCCAGTCCCTGAAAAGGCGCCAAGCTGTTCTTGGAAGCAAATAACGATCGCGAGATGTTGCCGGATGTCGACATCCCCAGAGGACTCATGGACGCTAAAATATTTCCTGCACCAGGAGGCGCCCGACGGACAATACGGCTGTACTTCCTACTGACTGATCAACTTAGAGCTCATGATAAAAATTCATATATTCGAAAAACTGAAATAACCGAGTAACTATTGAAAATAAGGGAGATACTGAAAGAAGAGGAACGTAGTCAAGACTCTCTTACTTCAGTCAGTAGCTCGCTTATTTTGAATTTTCGAATACGCTCATCTCCTCCACAGGATTCCCTCTTAGGAAACTGAGAAGCAGACTCTGTGAAGGTGAATTCGGGTGAGCCGTATTTGACTATGGTCCAGTTTCGTCAGCGCATCCATATCTGGCGTAATTGTGACACTCTGCTCGACCATGCCGTCAAGAAGGTCTTCTCCTTCGCCTGTTGCTGGTGGAAACAGCTGATTACCCGGCGCTCCTTCTCCCTCAGACGAGGCCTGATGTAGTGCAAAGGAAGCACGCTTCTGAACTGGTAGATTGCTACTATTAAAGCTCAGCATTCAAGGGTGGCTGACTCTGAACGGAAGGGACCCCCTTCGAAGCTCTCCCCTTTCCCTTCGTTTTCCCCTGTTCTCTCAAGGGGTCGCCTCTTCGATCTCAGTGACCAACCCCAATGACCATTGAAAGTTGAGCCTTAATACTAGATGCAGAGGCAGCAAAGTCAGCCATTGTTGTGTCCAAGAGGTTCTTTGCAGTTTGTCTAGGGTCTTTCTTTCCCTGCTCTTGCGCTAGCTTGGAAGACGAAGAGTGAGTGCTAGGCTGTTGTGTAACTTCCATCGCACCACCACCACGTCCTCCCAAATCAGTCAAAGATGCCGGTGGTAGGAAGTTTGAACGCAGAACCATGATCGGATTCGTGTTTTGATAGGTAGCTCCGAATCGCTTCTCGACTTCTGAATAGGTCATGGGCATCTCGTCGTATGCGCCCTCACCTTCATCATGATGATGGTCGACGCTGATGTAATTCAGGTAGAAGTCCCCCAGTGTTAGAAGTTGCACTTGCAGCATTACATTTTATTTCAGAACAACACCCTTGACCCGTTTCCCACACTTGAAAAAAGGTCAAGGACGATGCAATTGAAGAATGCAATTTGGAAACCCTTAATGTTGTTGAACTCCTCAAACTTCGCTTAAACTTGTGCTCTTGCTCCAAGTTAATCAGCGTTTCGCGTGTCATCGCTGATGAACTACCTTGATAATCTGGCTGTTGATTCTTCTCCAGTATGCGAGGAGCGTCTGATAATGTTGGAACTTGAGGCTGAGTTGTTCCTCCACCTCCGCTACGACTATTTCGATCACCTGTACCATTTGGTTGTAGGGAGCAACAGCAGCAGAAGCAGTTAAAACAACAGGAGCACAAGCAGCTGAAGCAGGAGCAGGGAAAGCAAATGCATGCCCACAAGCCTGCTTTCCAATTTGACTCTTCACCACCAGCAGCGCCACCTGCAGTCTTACTACTCGAGGATCGGTTAACTCCCGGAGCCACGATAATCAGACCAAGGAGATACGCTGCCGCTGAGACGAAGCCAACGATGATGCAGTTCACCACGATACTGTCAAACTCGTAGTCGTGTTTAAGCGAGTAGTTTACCTGCTTCACTATTGAATCGATCAGTGGAAAGTCGACAACCAAGTCTTCCTGCAGCATGTTCTCGACATCAAACTTGTTGTCGTTGTAACTACGAGTGTTGTCTCCACCACCATCGCCTTCTAGCCATCTTCTTCTTGGTCGATTCCTTTCATCACTGCCTACCCCTTCTGGCCAGGAACTACTCTCTGCTTCTACGTCTGCAGATGTAGATACGGAAGTGGCGCTGCCTCTATTCATCGTGTCCTGCTCTGATAGGTCGGCTACAAGAAGTTTATGTCCTTCATCCTCACCATTGTTCGAAACGCCTTCTAATTCCAACAGGCTTGACACAGAAGCTCTAGTCGCACTTAGTAAAAGCCCACGACGCGCTGTTGATGGTGTTAAAGGTCCTCCACCGTAGAGCATTGCTGCGCTACTAACCGCAGCATTCCACCATCGTGGGGGTCGGAGTGGAACGTCAGAGGATGACGCGGCAGGAGTATCGCGACTAGATGGAGCAAGAGATCCGTCTTCAAGATAGTACGTTGAGTCGTTTTCTGCAGAATGGCCATGTGCGACACCGCTTCGAGCACTTCTCGTTCTACCAGAAGACTGCTGCGTCCCAAGATCTTCGCCTTGGCCTGCGGTTGATGGAAAAAAATCTTCTTCACTCGTCCCTTCCTTCAAACCTAATCCTGGTCCTTCGTAACCCAGTATTTTCGAGAAAAAAGATCTCCCTTCATCGCCCATATTGCCAAGAACGGACCAAACGTCATCCTCAGACGTACCACCAAGAATGTGGTTGAGCGTGTTCCGCAGTCTCGAGACACGTTTTGCGGAGAGACGGATTGATTTCGCTTGTCGTGATGAGGCAGAAGAAGATGACATGGATGATGAGCTTTGGGACGCAGAAGTCAGCGAGGATGATTGGGAGGGAGATGGTGCTGATGGAGACGGATTTGGCTGACTGTTTCCTCCACTTGATGATGTGCTTTCGGGTCGCCCTTCGCGGCTGAGTCGTCGCCTTGTTATCCTCTCCGTCTCAGCTTCGTCCCCAATTTCCTTCAACACCGCCTCTCCTACCGCTAAGGTCTGCAATCGCCGATACCTCTGCTGCCACCACGCTACACAAGCCCCCAATAGTCCAACAATGCAACTCCACAGGTAGAAGCAAACCACACTCAAACTGCTTGTGTGGATGTAGGTTGCCTTGCTTTGTGTCAAATGCAGCCACTTCTGCGAAAAATACATGAAAAGCGCGTAGCACATCAAAGCCACAAAGATCTTACTCTGGAATTGAGGAGCACACAGAAACAGGAATCCGCAGGACCAAAGGGGTAAAATCAGATGGGCAGCGTAGTCCCAAGCGACATACATCATCGGCGGTTCGGAGTAGGTCTCAGCGACGCGAAGTTCCATTACCCGAGCACTGCGGACGTCGTCGGAGAATGGGATAAAATTGTTGGGATTAGAGGTGTTGTACAACGAAGGCAGGAGCTTCTCGTTAGCACATCCAAGCCTTTCAAGAACGGAGTAAAATAATTGAGAACCAACTACAATGGAAAAAGGGATCATGTGCCTCAACATTCAAGCATCAATTATCAGCCGTAGTGAAATTCCTTAGCCATCGCCGCAGTGGATAACCCGTCAATGTCCAGACAGCGTACGGGATAATGAACGTTCCCGGCACCAGCACTTCGTAACACGTCGTCGCGAGGAAGGTTTCCTCGCCAATCGTGTAGTCGTGTGCAGCATCAGGAAAAAGCTGTGCCACAGATGAAAGACTCAAGCTTTTCCTGATCGCCTGCTCTCCAGATGAATATAGGCCAGAAAACAACCCTCCCGGAGAAGAATCTTGCTCTGCTGGTTGCTGAGTGGTCTTTACGACAGCGTCATGTTCTGCGGCACCTGGCTCCTTGATCGATGCTCCGATCACAAGATACAAAGAGAAGGCCATGTTTCCCAACATGATGAAGGAGTAAAACAGCAAAATCGCAATGCGGAACTTGTCCCCATAGTGGAAAGGCATCGTCTCGGAATAGTAATAGAACATCACGCCAACAGTGCCGTTGCCGCTTGAAAACAGGATACCGAGAAGCGTCACCGTGAACTTGGTTGGCAAGGCCTTGCTGTCGTTCAAAAAATTGATCGTGTACACGACGAGGGGAGTGTACATCAGCAACGAGTAAAAGATGATCCACGCTCCGAAATGCAGCAGCGGTTTCACCCAACGGTAGTAGAATGTCCCGTCCTGCCAAAAATGATCCCACAAAATATCAGTTGGCTCGTGGCTCGCACGTGCGAAATCTATTTCAAAGGTTAGAGAGCATGAGCATGGCGTGCGCGTGGTAGAAAGGTAATATAAATATTACACATTGGAGACGGACATGTTATCGAATATTACGATAGGACATGCTACTGATAGAAAGAATTCCTAAGGTGATTAGCACGCCGCGGGAAATTTTCTATCCAAACCGAATTAATATACATGGAACTACCACCAGCATCGCCAAACAAAAGTCCTTACTTGATGAGGATACGAATCTACTCGGCTATCTGCCGAAGATTTCCCTGACGAATTCTACCTGCTAGTCTAGCCTGTTGTTGGATTGTCAGCATTGTTTTCCCGACTGTTCCTGTTGATCCTGATATAGAACGACGAGGGTCAGGCTTTTCCTTTACTATTTTCATAATGAAAACTGTTCCTCAAGCAACGGAAACTCTCTCATCAGCTTCTCCTCAGTGTTGTTATTGACTACTTGTCGCCCAGAAGATGTGAGACCTTGACCTACTGGATCTCCTCCTTCTGTCATCAACCGCTCATATTTAGACCTCTCCCCTATTCATCCCTCCTGTGGAATAAAACCCTCCATTGTAATGTATTCTTGGGCGTCAGACAGTATCTCACTGGTATCTATTGGGGTGCATATGCTTGAGGGATGTCTAGAAAGATGGATTAGGGGGAGCCTTAACATATTCCGCACGTCGTTCGACGAAGGGCCGCTGCATTCCGTAGAGCAGCTGCAAGACGCGATGGACATCAGCTTCGGTGTTCAGGGAGACGTAGGCTGAACCGGAACCCTCAAGCTTCAAGAGTTCGTCACGGATCTCCTCTGCCTCTGCGTCGGTGAAAGCAGGAGCTACGAGACCAACGTCCGCGAATTTGCGTAGAGAAGTCGAATACGCCGCGTTCGTGTGATCGCCCGCGGCGCGCGTGGAGAGCCGCAGTGACTGTCCCATTGGAGAAGCTGCCGGAATGAACTCAGAGGCCTTGGAAGCAATTGGAGAGGCTGCCGGAATGAACTCAGAGGCCTTGGAAGGAACCTTCGCCTGAAGATGGTCCTTCGAACTTGTATCCTCTGCAGTTCTGAATTCGGTTGCTTCTTCCTCCTCTAGGTTCATTTTGACTAGCCTTCTGCCACTTGCGGTGACGAAGCACAGAAACCAGTCCCAAATGTACAGGACCTTGTAGGGAAACTCGTACTCTTTGAGTCCGTGATGGCGCTGAGGTCGGGGTATGCTGGCAAACAAGGGCGATCGGATAGACATCGTGCTGGCCATGGCTGAATGACACATGAAGATAGTAGTAGTTGTTTTTTCGCGCGAAAGAAAAATCAGTCATCGCTCAGTCCGAAAGAATCGACGATGCTCTCATAAAAAGTCTACTCTGCACCACGTCTTTCGATATCACAACAAAAGTACCTTGCCTTCCGCTTCCTCTTGGATAGATGACGCTGGCAAGATGGTTCGTTGGCGTGATGTGCTCGTCAACATTGATTGTCACTTTTCTGTGCGTCACCTTGGGTTAGAACATCAAGGAAGTCTATGTGAACGATGTTTAATGGACGAAGAGACTGTAAATCGTGGATTATGGAGTTAGAATTCATTCCCCGAAAGTAGGGATATTTCTATTCTAAAAACTGAGTCCCAAGAACCCACTCATAAGCAATGCGATCTCCACGAGTCTGCCCTTGATCGAAGCTGCCGTTTTCTGGTCCGATCTGTGGCTCAAAAGGGGACGCGCTGCCTTTGGACATCTGCAGCTTTTTCTCGATGTGCAACTGCTCTTTTCTGTAAACCTCAGACAAAGCAGCAACGTCTTCTCGAGCCAGTAATCGCTCTGCAACCTGCCTAAAAGTGAGGTTGCACTTCCCGAGCCTCTTTTCTCGGTCATACGAATATGCAAGAGAGGCATTCAAGATGGACGCTTTTAGCATTTCTGCGGAACTATCCTCGTCGCCGGATGATATTAGAAGTATGAACATTTTTCTCTATGCTATTGTAGATCGCGCAGCACTGTGCTCACGTTCATGACGAATCGAGAGGTTACCTCACTTGCTTCATTTCCCAGTAGATCTAGAGCACTTCCTCTTAGCCAGAGACCTTGCTTCATTTAGGAGCAGTAGGCTTTTTGTGTTCGTTTACCCCACCTGTTATGCCTTTCTCCCTTCAGGAAGGCAAAACGAACGGTAACAAGAACACCTTTAAAAATCTACCCTTAATTCATTTCGTCCGATAATATTATCGGTGGAGCACTCCTAACTAGCAAACAAAAAATCAAAAATCAGAGTTGGTACTTGATTACTACAACAGTTTTTTTAGCTATAACATTCCATGCGACGCTCGACTGTCCTCGTCATCCGTCGGAGTCCTTTTCTTACTCTGCTTGGTGCTTGATGTGCCACAGACTAAATCCACAAGGCCATCTTGGTCTGCTGCATCGATTCTAGCACGCAACCATGCTAACAAGATCTCTGGATTCGTTATTTGTGGTGGCAAGTTGCGGATTTGTATCGTGAAGTCTTTCATCAGCGTATGCCTCGCATCAAACCGCTCTGTGGCCCAGTGCTGGTACCTCGCAAAAGCTAAAAGCGAGATAAAGGTGAAAACGAAGAGCACGTAGCTCATCTTGTGCGTGTCCTTGGCGAAGTCTGGATTAGAGACAAAACTCTTTTCAACCACGGAACCTAGTAGAGCGGTTATCATACATTTAGACAGGATTATACATGTTCCAGTTCCAATTTTTCGAGTATCTATTGACAGGATACAGGTTCCAGTTCCAATTTTTCTTCGAGTATCACTAGAAAGTAGAAGTATGTTTTAGATTTATAATATATATAATTTGGCAAGAATGGGCCTGCTCTTCATGGAAACATAATCAATCTCGCCATCTGCAAGCTGTTCTCATTTAAGTATTTGGCAAGAATGGGCCTGCTCTTCATGGAAACATAATCAATCTCGCCATCTGCAAGCTGTTCTCCACGTTAGGTTCCCGTTGGAAGTACGCGTCCGGATTCACGTGTCCGGTTACCCAGGAGAAGACATTTTTTGCTTCGGATCCGATCTTTCCTCTAACATTCTTGATTTGTTTCGCGAAGCGTTGTAGCTGATTGAGGTCTGCGTCCTCATCCTCTGAAGACAAGCGGCGAGTAGACTTCTCTGGCTCCATTTCTGTTGAAGAAGTTACTGCGTTACGAAGAAATAAGTGACGTGCCGTGGACTGTGTCCGAACAAGATTGTCACTCGTATGTTGCTCCACCTCTGCGTGGTTACTTGCAGCTTCTGTCGCGCCGTTTTTGCCTGTAATATCCTGGTGATGTGCTGTGTCCTTCATTACTGGCTCACCGTTCTTTGCTGCGTCCAACTGCTGCGTTTCTTCTTGGATGTCCGTTTTCAGAACTGCACCGTCTTCCGAGGCTACTACCGGGTCGAAGCTCCACTCTGCACTCCTAATTGTGTTCTCAGAAGCACTACTCACCTCCATATCCAGATAATTTCCTTCGTTTCTACTATCAAGCATAGAAGACTCGAAGAATGGACTTCTCTGCTCATCGGCTTCCGAAGAGGCTAATAATCTAGTATTCACCTCCGCATCGGTCGACGTCCCTGCGAAGTGAAAACTAAGATCGTCTCGTCGTAGAGCTGGACATTCTTCAGCGTAGCTACCAAGAAAAGCAAAGTCGGATGATATCTTGACGCTATACAAGAGCACAGCCATTGCAGCTGCCCACAACGCAAGGAAGACGAGCCAATTGTAGTAAAGCGCGAAACCAACGCCGCAAACGTAGTATTGATTAGAAGATGCAAATACGAACAGCTAAGTAGCTCTATATGGGTGGAGCCAATCCAACACCGCTAGGTAGCTATATATATATTGTGCAGGTTGTACGGCATCCGCCCAAATAAAGCGTTGACGCCCAAGTGCAAGAGATCTGAGGATCTTTTCAGCCTTAACTTTATGCATCGACGTGAACCAGAAACTAGGTTGCTCGATCTCTAAGGCTGTTGTCACCTTATTAGCCACCGGGTCCTCAGCCTCGTCATCTTGTTGACCAGTGGTGGCGTGCATGGTTGACTCTTGATGGCTGACATGGGTGTCTTTGCTAGACACTATGCGTCGAAAATTCGCCAGAGGACTGCTCGCTAAGCTCACGCTATGATTAAGGTGAGACGCGGCTGCAAAGTCTTCCTCTTCTTCGGGAGAGAGGGAAACCGTTACTGTTCGGATCTAGAGAGCAAGTGAGTGATGAATAATTAAAACAATCTGTTTGAGGACCATTTAGAACAACGAGGCTTGTTGTTTGAGTTGTGAAGATGCTGCATCAACGCGGCCGGGCGGCGTGTAACAGACGGCGCAGAGGTATTTGACCTAAAGCAGCTACAATCCGATCCGGATAAGTAAAAAAATAGATACGACAGTCGGCTTGCATCGTGTGACGTGTTTGCGGATCGCCTCCTGGATAGCTTCACGGGCTACTGGCCGCCACAGCTTCGTACAGGTCGCCGGTAAGAGCAACACCACAGCAGTGAGAATGAAAATCGTGAAATACTGCCCAAAGTTCGTTTCCAACACGTACGCACAGTGTCCATCCTCTGTCAGTCGAAAAAACGGCTTTTTGCATTCTGCGCACAAGCCCTTCTTTCGTGGATCACAGTGCGTACACCCTATCACTTCGCAGCGTTCGCACATGCTACTTGTCGCATTCGCATACGAAAACGACGGTCCTGCGGGATGCCGACATTGCTCTTTGCGCACACAACTCGCTACACACGGAAAAAACGGGTCGCCATCGACGAAGGGGCATGCGGCTGGACAAAGCGGGACCAAATTTTTGCGGTCCACACAAGTCGAGTAATGTGGGGTGTGGCAGGCTACTTCCCGCTTCTCAGAATGAGGGATTAAAAATCCACAAGCTTCTTTTTTTGGAGTACTGCTACTGACGGAGTCATCGGATGTTGAAACACTGGTGCTCCTATCGTGGTCCACCTCGACGCCCTCCTGTGCTGCTTGTTCTTGTAGCTCTCGACGTATTGCCCCATGAGAGTCGAATCCAAAATCGCTGCCTTCGACAAAAGCGCACGGAATAAGCGCAGCAAACGCAAAGACGCGTGCTAGCCTCCGAGAACAATCCGTAATTGGTGACATTCTGGCTTGACCCATGGCCCTGGAATGGGCTTAGTTAGGTCAGTCGCAGCTGCAACTGTATCTTCGTATTCTAACGCGGTGTCAAAGGTGCCGCGGTGCCTTCTAGCGAGGTGGCCAGGCGCGCAACAAGAGATTGCTTTTCAGGCATGATCTGTTAGAAGTAAACCATTCCCATTTGCTTTCGCATTTGAGTTCTTACAGATCCACAACTCTTGCCCCGTAGTTGCGTTTTGCTCGTTTTTCTTCTACTTTTTGTTGTTTTTTGTCGCGAATGGTTTTTCTATATTCTACGATGCCGTCTAGCTCCCTCGCGTCTCTCATTTCTCGACTCATCCGCGCAACCAAAGGTTGCGCCTTGCGGCCCCATTGATTTCTTGTAGACGCCAGTTCAAAGTATTGCTCGTGTTTAGGTGGTTTAGCAAGAAAGAACTCTCTACTTATCATATACGTGGCGTTCGTGTGCATTAGCAGAGAGATATCTTCGTGTGTCTGCGTAGTGGTTTAAGAGTCTACTTTTGAGGAGTATTCAAGAAGATTGTCTTCTCCGAAGAGAATGCCTCTATGTTCTTCTCATGGAATAATTGTGAAGGGACTAGACTCCCGACTGCTTGAGGACAAGGAATAGCCTTGCTAGTAGTATGGTAGCTAATACCACGCGGCCAAGAGCCAAATATATCTCGAACCGGAAACGTCTACAGTGCTCTCCCGTTTGTTTTTACACTGGAACGTATTGGAGCAGCAGAGTAGATGGATGATTTTTCGCTCCCCCTGTGCATGGAGCTTCCCTAATCCCTATCACCTCAAAGCGTATCCTTGGACCGCATTCACACCCAACAATACTACCATTCATCAGTATCTGCCACTATTTCGCATCCGCATCTTCCCTAAGGATATGCTACAAATCGTCAGTAACAGTATCCGCCACAATTTCACCGGTGTCCCTGTCATAAGCAAGGCCTCTATCCTCATGGTGGTGGCAGTATGGTTCCTGACCATTTTTGACGTAGTAGTCTTGGTGATAGTCTTCTGCGTGCCAGAATTTGTGGTCGCTTGCACGATGCTTTTCGAAGGTTGTCGCTACCTGGTATTTAGTGTTGTGGAGGGATGAGATGTCTTTTTTGTCAATTATGTCAAGAACAAGATCAACAACCATGTTAACGGAGGGAATAAGGTGAAGTGATGTGATGAGTAAAATACAAAACTGTAACTACAGTAGCGAGGAATAGAAGCAAGGTGAGTACCTTATATCCCTTTTTCTCCAACAACCCCACAATATGCCGAATCGTCTCCAGCTCTTTCTGATCGTTCCACCAGATGCGTGAGGCATATTGGACTCCCACATCTGGACCCTGTCTGTCCACTTGCGTCGGGTCATGGATTTCGAAGAAGTGCCTTGTCAGTTGCCCAAAACTGACTCTCTCCGGGTCATAGACGATTTGGATGGCCTCGAGGTGGACGTGGGAGTTAGAGGGAGGAAGTACAACAACTTGTTTACGACCTATTATTGCGTCATTGATGGAGTCATTGGCGCACATTCTGGAGTCAATATCTCACTGTTGAGTACTAGTACACGATGTCATAACATCTGTTTCGCCACCACCAGCCTGCTTTTTCGCTGTCGCTTGCTTTCCCGCACTCACAACTTCCTCGTAAGTTGGGTTTTCGCTTTTGCCTCCCATATACCCGACATAAACGTCTTTTACTCCTTCCCAATGGCCATCGAAAAGTGATTGAACACCCCAAAAACAGCCACCTGCGAAATAGGCTGAGCGTAGCTTGTCTTCAGGTACGGATGACACATCATAACCAGAGTCTCCTGGTGCCTCTGCCGACACGAGAGGCGGTGAGACGAAGAATATTCCTGTTACCGCAGCCAAACGAAAGATGTGGTGCGCTTTCGATGGTAAGCAACGTGCTTGGCACATCTTTGTCCTGTGACGTGTAGTAGAAGAACGAGAAGACATGTTCTTGTTGGAAGGTCGAAGTGATTGAATCTATTCTAGTTTGCTGCTTTTAGCATGTGTTTTCGGTACGTCTGCGTTCAACATCCTGTTCTTCATAGTCAAATTTGTACACTCAAACGACTACCCACTTCGTCGCGCTCTATGACTACTTCTCAGAATTGCCATGGGTCACGTAATTTTTTGACCACCGTGGTGACGGGCTGTCGGTCGAAAGCATCGCAGAGGCAGACGGCCACGATACCTGGCAGCAGTACCCGTGGGGGAATCAGTTGTATGGTCAAAATGTGTAAAAACCTATGATCAACATGTTGGTATTCATATGCATGCTGTCAAAATTGTCGACCAAAACCTGTGCCATAGGTGACAGGCCAACACAGGCATGCTTTTCTTTTACTGTGCCCCGAAGAAAACTAATGCCACAACCGACCAATAAGAGATGTAAGAGATGATGTCATTGAGATTGAATTGAATCTTTGTTGTAGTAAGCAAGAGTAAATACTTAAACATGAAGATCAACAAATATTCATTCAATGTTGATCTTTGTAATCGTAGGCAAGAGTACGTAAATAACAGCGATGTTAAGTAAGCAAGAGTAAAATAAACAGTGATGTTGATGTTGTTGTCTTGAAATTGAAAATGATGTTTATGTGGGACCTCATACTACCAATTTGCTCGTTCACATGAGAGTTTTTCTATTTTTGAGCGATGGATACATTCATGTTTATTATGTGAGTGTGGGTGTGAGTGTGTGTTTGCTTGTTCGGAAAAAAAGTACCTGCTGCGTTGGATAAATACTAGAATCTCATAGACATGTAATAACCTCAAGGTTTCGTGTACCTACCAATGACCCCTCCCCTTGTACTATCTAATCCTTGTGCATTTTCAATCATCTCCATTCCTTCGAGATCAAAGACTATGGTAGACTTTCTCGGGTGGAGTTCCTCGTTGTTCGCTGACACGCGGTCGAGCGTTCATCCTTTTGTCCACCATCCGAAGCAATCCTTCCATCGCTCGCCGTTGCTCCATCATCTCCCGTTGACATTCTGCTAGTCTAGTGGCCTCGACTGAGAACTGATCTGAAGGTGGTACTCCTTGAGTAGTAGATGGAGTTGCTGGATGCAACATGGCTGCTTGAGGCTGTAGGGAACTAGAGGATGAATGTCCCTGGGGTGGGTCGCGTAGCAAAGGCTGCTCGTGCTGATGTGGTTGTTGCATAGTCTGGTTCTGGAGGTGGTGGTTCAGCTGATAGCCTGCAGCAGGACCTACTTGCGGTATGAGTTCGTGTTGTGCCGGAACAAGTAGAGAGTGCGCGTCTGGCACAACAGGTACCGGAGATTGCAAAGGCAGCACAGGATCAAAGTTATGTTGATGTCGGTATAATTGAGGATTCATTTGATGCTGTTGAGGCTTGTCTTGTTCTGAGTGCCAATCTTGCTCTTGTTGGAAATCCTCATCTTCATCCACACCGGATGAACCAATGTCATTGTCTGCATCTCTACTTTCGTCCTCCTCCTCAGTGTTAGAGCTGTCCGTAATTCATCTTTCAAGTGCATCCTTGAAAAGTATGGGGGAGTATTCGCTTAGGATACTCCTCCATACGTAGTTCCAAGGATACGTCCAAAGATGTATTAGGTACAGCCTTAACAGTGTCTTGAAGATAATTATAGACATCTACATTGTTTCCACTAGAGGGGATTTCATCCCCCTCTTCAATGCGCTCCAACTCTTCATCGCTGTGCATCTCATCTTCATCTAAGAACCCTTGATCTTCGTCTCCGCTATAGCGACTGTCCCGACATTCCTGTTCCCGTCCGTCGTCATGGCTGGAACTTCGATTTGCTTAGAGGGTGGGGGTCCGTCGTTGTATGCGGTATAATTAAGTGGGAAAAAATTCAAATCAAAATTTTGGAACTACAGTAGAAGTTCTTCGTAGTACGGGTTCCTCTTTTTGGTTTGGTTTAGACTACAAGAGGGAGCGAAAGCGAAATAAAGTCTACAGAAAGGCGGTTCTCCAGGAGGATTAGAGGTTGCAACAACTAGTGAAGAATTCCCCTTCATAACTTGCACCAGAATCGCGCGGCCCCTTTTTCTTTCGATAGTTCCGCTCGTTGGAGGTGCGCGGCTGGTTGTGGATCCTCGAGCCTCGTGGACTGCACCTACTTCTATCACCACTATCGCGCGAGGACCTGGGCGAGCTGCTGCGTCTGCTGGTACTGCGGTGTGACCGACCTGAGCTGCCGTCACTTCCGCGCTTCCTCTCTCCACTCCCTGAAGTGCGAGTAGATTTGTTTCGTCCAGCAGAAGATTTAAAGCTCAGCCTTCACTGGTCACTGACTCTGAACGGAAGAGACCCCCCCCAAAACTCTCCCCTTTCCCTTCATTTTCCCCTGTTCTCTCGAGTGGACCCTCTTCGATTTCAGTGACCAACCTCTATGACCAATGAAAGTTGAGCCTTAAAAGATCTAGTGCGTTTTAACTGGCTTCTGGACACGCGGCCTCCTGAACCACCTCGCGTGGAGGTGCTGCCTTCAGCATAGTTGCTCTTTCTCCTGCCATTTTCGTCGACTTCTGTACTTCTTCGATACTTGTCCAATGAGTCTCGATTGTCTTTCGAAAGAAGCGCTCGGCGTTCCGCTGAAGTTCTAGCACCACCTTTCATCTGGTCCGATATTCGGGTACAACTACCTGCACCTCCTCTATGATCTTCAATAGTCTTAGCATAATCGTCTGCCTTACTGCTTAGAGGTCGTCGTGACATTCGACTACGTCGCCAGAAAACGAATGCGAAAATAGCTCCCAGAAGGAAAAATGAAAAAGCGCCTCCTATTGTCGCCACAAGAACTGGGAACAGCTGTTCTGGAGACGTCTGTAGAGAAGCAGCAGGAGCTGAGGGACGCAGAGTATGAGATAATGGACGTGGAATGCGGTCCCGACTTGTAGTTGGACTGCTCGCTACAGGCGATGCTGAAATGGCGTGCGGACGTGGAGCTCCGTCGTTTGTGGGACCCGCGCCGCTGCTAGAAGTAGATGCGTGGTGCGCACAATGAGCACTACCTGCCGCGTTGCTATTTTGACTTATGTTGCTAGGTGGTGTTGAGGGCCGCTTCCGCTTCACACCTGTACCTGGTGAAGGAGATACAGAGGGTGCAGAATGCTCCTGTGTTTTGGTTTCCACCTCAGCCTTCGCTACGCCCTCGGCCTTTCCCTTTAGTACTTGCGTTTGTTGTTGTGGTACCTCAACGACCTCAGATGATGCTAAAGCACCCGTAGTTCCTCCATCTTCGCCGTCAACAGAGTCATTGTCAGATGCTAAATTCTTCGAATCATGGTCATCGTCCTGTTCCTCACCACTTTCGGAATTATGATCTTTCTGCGAACTAGTTGCAGCTGCGCCTCCTTGTTCTTGATCTACAGGAAGTGGCCCCACGACCGCGTCAAAAGAAGGTGTTCTCTCAGGTTCTCCGGCAACAACTCCCTTGTCGATTGAAGACGATGATGTAACAGGACCCACGACACTGCCGACAACCCCTTTTGGGACGTCAGTCTCGCCGTCTTCTTTCCCCAGGTCTTTTGACGAAGCTGCTGCTGCCGCATTTTGTGATAATAATTCTTCATCCGGACTGTGCGACTGCAATTCATCGTCTTGTTGGTCCTCAGATGGTTGCGAGCCTAGATCCTCTGGAGCAGTCTGTATTCGTCCGGTTGTTATTGCTTCATGTATCGTGCCATGAAAGTGGTTTACAACCAGGCGAGGGACGAGGGTTCTGTATTGCATCGTCAACATTAGTTACTACGACAGTGCCCAATCTTCTAAGGCTATATAAAGGAGAAATGGATTGTATGAAGCAAGTCTCAAGCTCAAGACAAGACGAAGAAAGCCCTTACTTATCTGTAAATAAAACTGTTTGCGATTGGACAACTGCTTAAAGTAGAATTCTTTGTTCGTAATGTTCAGCGGAAGAATCCGTTGAGAGGACACCACCTTTCGGGTAAAAGTCCTCCACTGGGCGATTAGTTCCGACTAGAAGACGCCAGCGAGAAGGGTTTGCCTTCACCTCCTTCAAGAGTTGAGCCAAAGCCTGTCTAGGATAGTTTGGAAAAACGTTCACAAAGATGCCTTGCTGAACAATCGTTTTCTTTGAGCAAGGAGGACTTTCCACCAGTCCGTGTGACGCAGCGGACTCGCAAGCCTCAGTTGCAGGCAACATTACTGGTCCGATCTCCCCGTGGTCAATCACTTGGTTTGTCGCGAGGTCCGCCCACATGACTTCGACTTTGTCGCTTTTCCGTCCATTGCAGCTTTCTTGGGGATCGCGAGTCCACGCGGGAGTCTCGGTCTTGACGTAGGACTTTATCTTTTTCACAACGCCTTTGGGATCGCGATCACTCCATTTTACTAGTGTTCCAACAATTTCCGAAGCACGCGAGGTATCTCGTATAACTCGTGGCCGTTCATCACCATCGCCGATGTATAAGTGGTTCATTTATGAGACATTTCAACAATTCGATCCGTAGGAATCTCGCTTAAAAATGTACAATAAATCTGTAGTAAATGAATCTGTAAAACATAGGTACCTCCTTCTGTACGTAAATACAGATGCTATGGAAAAATTAAATATGATGTGATCATGTGATCTGTATTCTGTCGTATCAAATGTCTTGCGTATCATTCATAAGTTCTTGGCCTTGAGGCTCTCGGCCTCCTTGAGCGCCCGGCAGTCAGGAGGAAGTGGCAGGTATCTTCCATTACCCGGGACAAGAGATGCCAACTTCTTGTTCTTCTGCTTATTCTTATTCTCTTGTTTTCCTTTGAAGAAGGGCACAAGGACAATCTCCTCTTTTGGGTGTTCTGGAAAACTGTCTGAGGCTGTGAACGCCTTTGATTCTCCGGATGCTGTTGAGCGTTGTTGATGTGTGATTCTCGGCCCATCAGATGCTAGAGAAGGAACTAATGCATTCCGCCCTCTCCAGGCACGCAGCTCCAAAATCTTTCCAAGGCTTTCTACATGATTAACGTGCAGCCTGTAGAATTCATCTAGCTTTGCTTCTCCCTTCTGTGACATTGCTTGAAAAAACCGTCGAAGGACATCTCGCAAAATCCTCTTCCCGCCGCTTTTCTTGTCTTCTATTGCGTGATTCACTTTATCGAAGAGCGCGACGATTTGGTCACCCTCTTTCACCTGCAGCAGTTTTGCAAAATCGAAATCCACCGAAGTGTTTTTCACACGGCCTTCCTCATCGATCATGTTCTCGAAAGGGCTCAATACGTCTTTGCCAGCTTTCTCATCCGCATGTGCAATCTTTTCTGGCGGACCTCTGGTCGCTTCCGCCGCAGCCTCATCTTGATCCTGCAGGTGCTCTGCCTCAGCCACTTGATCTTGGTTAAAAATCCCCTGATGAGGCACAGCTCCAGGTCCAGTTACACTAACCGCATCTTGTTCTATTCCTGACGCCAGAACTTGCGGCTCAACCCAGACGTATCTCTCATACGGTACTCGTGAAGCTTCGTTGCCAGAATTAAAGCGCAGCACTCAATGGCCACTGACTCTGAACGGAAGAGACCCCCTTCAAAGCTCTCCCCTTTCCCTTCTCCCCTTTTCCCTCTCAAGGGGTCGCCTCTTCGATCTCAGTGACCAACCCCAATGACCATTGAAAGTTGAGCCTTAACAGAAGTACTGCAGCCGGCTGGCATTTTCGCATGTCCCGAACCACAGAAGAACCCCCTTGATTTTTTTTTTGGTCTCTATAGAAGAGTTCTCAGAAAGTATAATAAATGTACTTATATAGATACTTGATATTCCTGTATCTATTACCTCTCTGCAGAGGATCAGACTCTTGTCGTTCTACGAACCGATAAAAGCATCATTATGAGCTCAACGCTCCCGTCGCTGCTTAGAAACGCGATCATTCGCGTTGCGTAGAAGATGATCATTCATCGCACGCTGCCCCAATACGTAAAAAAACGCAAGAACATGTAAGAAAGCATTTACTACTGCCTTCATTACACGACCCATGGGCACAATGCGGCGACACTCCTGCGATGGAATTAGGATCTGATGGAATATGCACATGCTGATGCAATGGGAGAGTAAGAAAACCAGATTAAAGTAAGTCTCTTGATTATGTGCAACCCAAACATGTTTCATCCTCTTTCACGAGGAACAGCCTTCAAACCCAAATGATTGATGTACGTGTTTGGAGGTGAAATCTGAAGTGAAGAAGTTTTAAGAAGAAACGATGGATGAAGAAATTTAACTTAGTAACGGTCTTTGTATATGAACAATTGACGCTTGCCGTATTGGTTTCTTTTCTAAATGCTTCGTCTTAGAATACATACTGCTGGGAAAAAAGAGCCCGTAGAAATGTGCATTATGAAACGTTAGAATGTATCTCTATCTTCAATCTACGCGGCATGATCCCCCTTCCGCCACGAAAAAATGCGCTTAGGTTTCGGCTGTCCGCACAAGAGGAGCCACTAGGCCAATTATTGGGCAATCATGTTATTGATGCTTTTCATCGTGAATGTAGCAAGTCGTAATTCGGAGGGGGAAACAATGCGTTGCTATGAATGTATAGTGTGTCGAAATTGTCCTCTGCCTTGTGATAGCTACGATTACGCTATTCTTTGTGGTAGTGTTTCTCGGTAAATTATAAATATATGTGAATGTCTGTCGTGTCTGATGATTTCTGTGCTCGTGTAAATATGTTGTTTTTGATGATGAATATCATAAATATAAATCGATGTTAATATATTCTCATGAAAAACATCAAATCTCCTCACTAGACCGAAGATGAGGAGAACTAATTTCTTTCCATCTAAGATCCATTCGAAAAAACGCTCGCTTGGGAGCTCTCCTCCATATCGTCACCCATCGGGGCGTAGATACCACTTCGCAAATCGCGTGTAGTTGCTGATGACGCTGCTTCTTGATCGTTGTCCTCTAAGGTTCTTTCATGGTCATCTGCTGTACTTAGAAGAAGCGAAATAATATGGATATAGGGTATTATTATAAGTCTTCCTTGAGCTTGATCATTGCAAGAATGAGCTAATAATTTATTTGCGATCATGTTGAGGCTATTTAACATCCATGAACATGACCTTATCCTTAATTTTTTTCCTGCGTTACCCTTACCGCGCCACCGGTTCACCTGACTCTTACGAATGCGCGCTCTCTCGGCGTTTGCTAGGTTTGCTTGTCCTCTGTAGTCGGCCAAATTTCTAATCTGCACGTTCACATTATGGAATCCCGTGTAGTCTACTTCACCCTGCGCTGCCCTCTGTCGCTGTATGTCGCTTTGATTTTGTTCGATAAATGGTGCTGACCCTTGTAGTTCTACTAGCTGTTCTTGATCAAGCAACTCGTGTTCATCATTGTGCCGAGAAACTCGTCTGCTATTCCCCTTTGGACTCGGACCCTCGCCACTAGCTGCGATGCTGACGAAGCGGCGATGCTCATCTTGATCAGAGCCTGATTGCTCTTCGGATAGATTTAGAGAACCAGTGCTAGAGAAGCATTTCTATTCTGGTTGTATCACACGTCGGCATCTTCCTCCTGGAGCTGTAGATGAAGATCATTATCATCAACTAGTCAGCTATCCATTCGGATAAAAAATCTAAGATTTGCTCAACAATGTTGCAGTAAACGTGCAAAGAGCATTAAGCTGTAGCTTTTCTTGCGTCATTCATAAGTCGTCATCTTCTCTTCGATTTGCCTTGTGCTGCTCCCAGCCAGGCAATAAACGCACAGTCGTGTCTCTGCCTTTTACGGCGCGCTGGAGCCGCGTGCCCATTTCCTCTGGGTCTGACCACTCTACTCCAGCATTGTCTCGCTTGGTACTTCTTTGCGACTCGTTTTTTGATCGACGAGAGCTGGAAGAGCGGTGGCTTGCGAGTTAGCGGTGTCTATCCTCAGCATTTACATACATCAAATGGTTCTTAGGCAAGCAGATCACGCGTAGCCGCAAGGTACGATGGTCCTATGAGGCAGTACTACGCGAGCCCAGTCAAAATGGATATGTCATGTGTCTGCAATCTGATTTTCCAAACCAGCGTTGAGACCAGGCCCCGAGGAATTTCTTCCAAGAAGCGTACAGTAACGTACTAAGCCGTGAAGAGCAAGAACCAACGCTACAGACCTAGCATGGTAGTCACTATCCTGAATACCCACTAACTAGTATAGAAAACATCACGTGCCTCTTCCACCTTAACTCTCTCTTCTCCTCTCACCACCTCCTCTACGACCCCTTCCGCTTCGTCTGCTGCCGGTCGAACCTTTCTTCGTCGTAGGAGAAGATTGCTTATTGCCGCCTCGTCCTTTCGGTTTGTAGCAGGTCTGATCACTGGGACAGTCGCTGACTGTAGCGTCTTGATCTGAATAATTCTCCTGTTCCGACCAGGAAACGCGACTGGGGAGCGAAGAATGGTGTGGATTAGGGCTAGAAAATGTAGATCGGTTCGACTTGTTCTTCTGAGACACTTTTTTATTGAAGTTGTGAACAAGCATTAAATTTAGTACATTTGAACTTGACAAGTGCTTCGTGGGACGAGGGTAGGGAGCCCAGCCATCGTTGGCATCATGTTCATGCAGCAAACAAGCTTTGAAGCGGAGAGAACAGTGCTAGAATGATGAAGCTACGGCTAGAGGTAGAGTACCAAACAAAAAAAAATTTGACTTATACTAGAGGTAGGTTTTTGGTGCTCGCCTACCCCGCTTGTTATGCCTTTCTCCCTTAGGAGAGGCACAAAAAGCGGTAAGAAAAGCACCTTTAACCTCAGACCTTATCATATATAGACTATGACAAAAGTCATAACTGTCTCATCACTTGCACCACTCCTTCTTGCGCTTCTGCGGGAGGAGGACCTTCCGTGTCTGGAGGTGGTCGACCCACGACGGCTCCGTCCACTCCTTCCACTACGATGACTTTCACGTCTGTAACTGCTTTCTCGTCGGCTCTCACGTCTATCTCCTCCTCGTCCATATTGACAACTGTAGCCGCTCCTACGAGAACCTCCACTTCTACTACTTCTACTGCGACTGCTACTACAACGGCTGCTCCCTTCCATGATGCGTCGACGCTCCTCTTTTTCAATGAAAGGAAGAAACTACCGGTGTAGGAGGTGACAGGTGGAACAATATAATGATCATGGATTATCATTTCACGAAAGTAAGAATCTCAATCCTAAACCCTAGTCTTGATCGAATCCATTTTGGGTACTCTATTGTTCAGTGGACAGAAGAGATGTTTGTTCAAGACTTATCAACTGACTTCTATGTATAACGAAAAATGAAGTCCTTTTCTGTCTCCATATCTTCTGAATCATCCTGACACGCAGTCAGGATACTGCTCCCACGACCATCGCTGATGCCTGAATACCGAGTACTTCTCCGGCATCGCTTGTCTCTACTGTTACGACTTCTTCGTCCACAGCAACAGAGTGCTAGGCCAGCAGCCATACAGCACAACAAGATACCACCTAAAACGACGAGGAAAACTACCACTTCTGTAGACAAAATCACATTGCTCCCACCTTCGGATGATACTGCACTACCGTGTAAGCTGCCGCCAGAACTTGGATTGCCGGGACCGCCAGGTCTACCACAGCCACCGGGTCTACCAGGGCCGCCAGGATTAAGAGGGCCACCAGCAGGAGTGCCGGGGCCGCCAGGTTTAAAAGGGCCACCAGCAGGAGTACCAGGACAACCAGGTTTACCAGGACCGCCAGGATTCAGAGGGCCACCAGCAGGAGTTCCGGGGGCGGCAGCATTAACAGAGCCGCCTGGATTACCAGGAACGCCTGGAGTATCAGGGGCGCCAGAAGTTTGTAAGCCTGTTCCAGTTCCAAGTTGATCGATTCCAGTGATGCCAGGTCCAGTAGATTCAGGTCCAGTAAGACTGCCAGGTCCAGCGCCTGGTCCTCCAGTGATGCCAGGTCCAGTAGATTCAGGTCCAGTAAGACTGCCAGGTCCAGCGCCTGGTCCTCCGGATGCACTTGGAGGTTGCAGCGAAGATGATGAGCCTCCGTTGATTCCCGCATTTCCATTTTCGTCTGCGACCTCAAGAAAAGCTTGCATCACTGTCTGCGTCCTTCGTCGTTTTCTTGGACAATGGCCTTGCTGAGATCCTTCACTCGAGAGAGCAGCTAGCTCCTCAACCTCATCATCGCCTCCGCCTCCTTCTTGTTCTGATAGTTGTAGTGCAGTATCTTTGCGCCTTGCAACAGAAGCTCCTGAAGAGCTCTTTCTCGTTGATGTTGCACAAGTAGGGAGCATTGCACAAGAGAGCATCGCCTGCGGTGTAACAACATCGGCTCCTGTCGTAGAGAGCATTGCCACATCACTCGCCTGCGTAGAGGCGGCTCCTGTCGTAGAAGCAGCTCCACTCGCCTGCGTAGAAGCGGCTCCTGTCGTAGAGAGCATTGCCACACCACTCGCCTGCGTAGCAGCGGCTCCTGTCGTAGAAGCAGCTCCAGGTTTGGCGTTCTTCACTAGTATTGAAGAAGAAGCGCCCTTGTCCTTGCTAGCAGAGGAAGTAGAAGAAGGATCGCCTTCTCCCTCTGAGGTCTCTTGAGGATTCCCAGTGTAATCTGGTCCAGTGCCATCAGAAGATGCCCCCTTCTGCACGTCATGATTACCGTTTTTTTGTTCTTCCGCAGCCGCGCCACCTCCTGTTGCTGGTGCACCTACATTTGTAGTAGCAGCTGAAGCACCAGAACCCTGACCAGGGGCATTGCGAGGAGCGCGCGGCGCGGGAGAAGTACTAGGTGTTCGTGTTTCATTTTGAGACTGAGGCACAACAAATTCGGGTGCAGCTGGAAGATCGTAACCAAGACTACGTAGGACGTCGTCGAGTGGAGAAAGGGTGGAAATACCCTCATCTCCCCGTGTAAGCGGCACGGAAGGCGCGTTATGCGTACCAATCAGAAAGTCTACCGTATTGCACTTGTCTCCTTTGAGGACCTTGTTGATTTCCGTCTCGTCCGCGGGATACGCATACACTTCAAACTTATGCTTTGGAGTTGTCTTTTTCTTCTGCGCTGTGCCTTCCTCGTTGTTCGTTATCCTGCCTTGCCATTCTAGGTAATCGGAGTGTTTGTCATTTCGATAGGCCCAGAGCTCCTTAGACAAGGCAAGCGCAGGCAGAGCTGATACTTTCATTTGCTTGTCTGTCGCATCTAGGTTACGCGGAATCACTAAACGCGCTACAGACCCTGATGGAGACTGCAGGAGCCTTCGCTCTGCATCTGGTAGTTCTTTCGTAGTTGTATATTTTGACGAGGAGGCAGGCAACAATCGCGTGAAATCCTGCTCAACACCATCTTCATTTTGCAGTCCAAGCAAATGCAGCAACTGTGTTCTATAGAGCTCATCTTGGACGGCCTGTATCTCCTCAAAGTCGAAAGATCCATCATGCATTTCGAAAGAAGACACTTCTTCTGAAGAAGCGCCTCGTCGTCCAAAGGAAGAAGCACCAACTCCTCCCAAGAAAGGAGTCGAGGAAGAAAAAGTCGTTGCTGGTGTACTTTTTGGAAGCCCTGTTTGGGAGTTTCCAAGCAGGCGCTGCGCTGAAGTCGTTAGTACGGGTCTGAGACTTCGATCGCGTCCTACGGGAACTGGCACGAGCACATGTGTCTCAGTTTGGTCTTGTTGATATCCAAGAACTGCACTAGCCAAATCAGCGTCGTACTCGTACTCACTGGGGGCTGTGACTACGTTAGTAGGATTCTCGGTGGTCGTTGGTCCTTGTGGTCCTTGCTTCCCCGTGGTTGCGAGGACACCATCAGCATCACCATCAGCAGCCGCATTTTTTGCTCGATTTCTCAACGCTCTCTTCTTTTTAAAGCTCAGCCTTCAATGGTCATCATGACTCTGAACGGAAGGGACCCCCTTCAAAGCTCTCCCCTTTCCCTTCTCCCCTTTTCCCTCTCAAGGGGTCGCGCCTCTTCGATCTCAGCGACCAACTCCAATGCATGCTAATGTCCCTGTTATCACCTTTCATAGTGACCGTAGAGACGTGGTCTGACAGTGTTTCTGTGACCATTGAAAGTTGAGCCTTAATCTTTCCCCTGATATTGTTACGAACCACTAAGAGAGCCAGTTCTTGGCCGGTTCGGTTTGCATGCAGAAAATGGATCTTCTTATCGCATTTCACAGCCACCACTTTATCTCCCACATCAACGCGAGTATCCTCAAGCTCAGGTTAGCATCCTCAAGCGTCGCATCCTTGAGTCCATCCCTGAGCCCTTTTTCCCCTTGAAAAAGAAGCCAGGGATGGTGCTGAGAATGCTTCAGCGGTAGCCTTAATCAGGTTAGAAGCGTCAGCCTTTATTAATCTCCTCGGACCCCTCATCCACCCGACCCCTTTTTCCTGGAATTCTTCCTCTATGGGATGAAGAACAGGGTAGTAGCGAAGAGATGATGTTGAGATCGATTGGAGTAAAAGCTGCCCACCATAATCTTTATTCTTTTCCGACGAACGATTGTAGATATTCCCCAAGACTTTCTGAAATTTAATCACCTTATCACGCTCTCCTTCTTTGATGCGAATCCATTTGTAGTAATACGGTGTCGTTGAAGACGAGCTGCTTCTTCTCGACGCGCTTGGTGTCGTTATCTTAGATCTCAACCAAATCAATCTGTAACCCTATGATGAAGATGGTAGAGATGTACCCAGCATCAAGGGGTATATATTAGTCGTTTCAGCTGGGTTAGGATTCCAGTATCTTAGCATTCATCTTGGAACCGTTTATCCCTTAAAAAGAATAAGCGACATGATTTCCAAGAGGTCCCCACTATGTCAAAATGGGAGAATGATTACAACGGTAAGTCTTAACTACTGGAACAGGAACTACTGTCGGCTGCGTTGCTGCACCTTGTCTCTGTAGTAGTTCTCTTGCTGATTGATCTTCCTGTCGACCGTCCAGGCTAGAAAAAGTTTCATGGAATATGGTCTCTTCCTGTCGGCCGTCCATGGTCAGCTTAGCACCGGAAGCGTCATCTTCAAATGGCTGTTCTTGAGCTCCATGATTGCCCAGGTACGCGACAAGCATTTTCTCTCGTCCTGCAGCTCCTCCAAGCGCTGCTGCATTATCAATTATACCTGTACAACCTGGTGCAGGACCATTATTAGGATCATCAAATCGGACAGTAGAGGAGGTAATAAGTTGTTGTCCAGCGTTATGATTGTAGGCACAGCTAACCGAATAAAGCCCCGTTCGCCAAGAGGAAGCATCTTTGGAGAAGTAGCCGCGAGAAGAGACTGCGCCACCCGACAGGAACTCTAAGCGAACTTCTTTTTCTTGAGGCTGAAAAGTCCAGTGGTCGCCAAGGGCAGGTATTGCAACTCCAGGCTGAGCTTCGAAAGTCAGTTCCCAATCGTGGCCCATAGTGCGAAGCCCCGAATGTACGATGTCTGCGGAGAAATCTGACCTATCATTAGAAAAACATCTTTGCAAGGCCTCCTTCACCGAGAGAACAACATTAGTAACCCGTTTTCAAGGATGGTTCATTCTTTTGAGAATGCACATGCTCACGCACTTGATGTCTGATGTAAATCTAAATTAATCATCATCATCATCACCATCATGTGCTCCAACCAGGCCAAGTTTAAGCGATTGCGCAATTATTTGCCGAGGAATAAAAAAAAAGCTGCATTTCAATTTGCTGTCCTCTGTGGTAAATAATTGATAGCCGTAATGTAAACGTCTTGAGACTTCTCCACAATTTGTAGCGCGGTCTCGTTCGGCAAAGTCTTCGTGAGACTGTTGTAAATCATCTTTGCCTTAGTTGAGGCGAATTCCCAACGAGTTACCAGCTCCCCCTCAAAGGGAATCGCCTCAAAGTCACTTCTGCTCGCCACCAGGAATTTCGCAGCTTTCATGACAGTTCCGATCTTTAGAGGTAGAGTAAAACAGTACAATGATGATGAGAAGACTAAATTGTAGGTCACAGAGTTAACTTCTCACAGGACAATAAATCTTGCACAAATGATCGGCACAGACTGCCTGGCGCGACATAGAGTTCCTCATCCTACATTAGAATCAATTAGTACAGCAACAATAGTGATTTCCCGGCACTAGTATGAGATGTAAGAAAGTTAAGACTGAGTACATCGCTACAAAAGCAACATTCATTCTCTAAGTACCTAAGTACATTAGAATTAGTAGAATAAGTACTACGCAACTAAATGAGTCCTCGTGGTGGCTTCAGTAATTAATGCTTTCAGTGAATTTCATCTGTCTTCACGACCGCTTCCTAAAAAGAGCCCAGTCACTGCTTTCCTGAGTTTAGGCTCCTTTCGGCTTTCGACCTCTACTTCTTGCGCAATTTGTAAGAGCTCCTCTCTGTCCACCCCTATATCTTCAGTGCCTACACTTGCCCCGTCATCTAGAGGCAAAATCACCGGCTCGAACGAGGGAAGCTCTGGCACCCCATCCGCTCGGACTATAGACGGCGACGCACTATTGAGCACATCTGCGTTGAGATGATGTACATCATTCCCACTAGTGCTGGAACTCCCCGCAGCAGGAGCAGTGCATCGGTTCAAACTAGGGCAGCTCCCCGCAGCAGGAGCAGCAAATCTGGTGGACCCCGAGGAAGTGGGAGGCCCTTGAAGCTGTTCAGGTACAAATTGCAGGTGTTCTGAACCCAAGTACTTTGCTGAAGATGGTGTTGCATGAACGTCGACCAGTTCTGGCTGCTCGATGGTGCTGCCAAGCTCTTCTGGTTCCGTTCTGACATCAAGTGCAGTTGTACTAGTAATTCCTGCATCTTGCTGTCCTGCATCTTGTTGCAAGCCAGGTTCTTGTTCAGCACCTTGTTCCTGGAAGTGGTGCAATCCCTGCTGTCCATCACCTTCTACTCGCTCTAATCCCATAACTTCTACCTGAGACGAGGAAACTTCCGGTAAAAGGGGTGTCACCTGAGACGAAACTTCAGGTAAAAAAGGTGCTGGAGTTGAGGCTGACAACTCGTGGCCCTCGGGCACAGGCCTTAGGCCTCCAGCCTGAGACGACGATGGTGGTACCATCTTCCCGACGAGATCGACAAGATCTAGGTTCAATGTTGGAAGGTCTAGATACGTTTAGATTTAGAAACGAGAACGACAAGCTTTTGATCATTCACGCCAGCGTCGATAAGAAACCTAGAGCAGAAAACGAAAGATGAGCCCAAAAGATCCCTCATTCCTAAACAAGATACCACAACTAGAATTATGGTTACTTAGTACCTAGGACTGAGAATGAGCTATGCAGTAAGTGACGTTGTTCTAATTTCTGTTGTGATGTTGAGCAAAGTAACGACATGATTAGTACAAAAGAGCTTGACGACTACTAGAAGTTCCACGATATTCATCTATTGCTGGTGGTGGTCTCTGATCAAAGTATGAAAGGTTCGCAATCGTGATCCTTGGCCTTTTTTCTGAGAAGCTCACAACACCATCAGGATATCATACCAGTCTCAGCATTCCACAGTACATCCGCTGCTCGGAAGTACAACTGCCCAACGCAAACGCACAAACTTTGTCATCAACTACACAAACGCCTGCGTCGCTCATGCACTCCAGAGGCTTACCCTCTAAGAAAGACTTCTGCACTACGTTAACTCGGATCACTGGAAGCCTCATTCGGCCGCAACATCTCGAGCCAACCGCAACACATCACCCGGAAACAGCACAAACGACGCTGCTGCCTGATAAACAACATGATTGCAGCACATGCTTGTCGCTGCGGCTGCCTGATGAAAATACTATATGCCTATCAAGTTACATTAGATCAAGTATTCACTTTCGCACTCACAAACTTAATCGAAGATTCGGACTAAAGATCTTGCAAGATACTGCGCATGCTTGCTGTTAGCATCGACGTAAAAGCCTTCAGGTCCTCCACTGGTTCGCGCTTTTTCATATGTCATCTGTGTGAAACTTACCTTATGAATGTCGATGCGTACTAGAGATCAATCATCGCTGGTACGCGACCCCTTTTGCGTCAAGCAAAAGCATGATCATAAATCGAGAAGCTAATACAGCTATCTACGAGTAGCTAAAAATGGTCAAACCAAGCCGAAGGTGCCAAGTTCAAGGACTTCTTTTGCGTTCTTACAAACAAAATGATTCACAAACAGGAATATATTTTTCAAAGAAATTACAGCTTTATTTCATCTGATTCCCACCACAGTATATGAATGTTATTGATGCGAATGGGAAATCAGTCAGACTCAGAAATAGTTTTCGAATAAATATGACATTTTACCTTGTTGTAACTACCTTATCAACAAAATACGAAGGGATTATAAGAATTAGTTACTCTTCTAAGAACCACCGTAATAGATAATGCTGGATGATCCTGAACAACAAGAAAGAATGGTATAACAAATTGTTCGGGAAAATGAACAACAATGAGAAGAATTCTGTCAATCTTTCTGTAAACGTTTACACTCGACGAAAACAATGAGAGCATTTCCATGTGAGAAACTAAACGTCATTCTAAAAAGAATCCTAAAGTACTGAGCACCACAGCTGTTTGGTTTATCCATCAGCATCTACATCTGTGTCAGCTTACTACACAAAGATGAAAAGCTAGATAATAGTTAGTATACATGCTTACTCATTACCACCTATTAAATGAAAATCTAATATACTGTCAAAAAGTCGGCAAATGAGACTCTTTTGCAAGTCTCTAAAAAGCTGATGGCTAGTCCGCTGCTCTCAGCACAGAGAAGGAGCGAAAAACATCTGAAATTGAGGACATCAGTAATAAATAAATTCTCAGACAAATTCCAATTCTTTTATTCTAAAACAGTATTTAGTATAATAGTTGAACCGAGTAAGTATGTCAATGTTTATTCCCCTAAAATTAGACGACAACACAAAGAACTATTTAGTATCAAACTGAAATGTGAACACTGTTGTCGGCACTGTATTCCTTACTCCTTGCTCTATTTTCAACACAGTAAAATTTATCAAACAAAGACTATCTTCGTCGACTGCAATATTTTCACCCCCACCCCTCGCTGATAGCTCATAAGCGTCACGACCAATCGCCAGCGCACTCCCTGCCACTAAGTCACGAACTGAGCATCGAATCTTCCTCATCGATGTCATTTAGTGTTGTATCAGTGACCTCGTCTTCCTCGCTACTCAGGGTATGCGACTCTGCGGTATAGTACATTAGAGGTAGGTTTTTGGTGCTCGCGGGTTCCCCCGCTTTTTATGCCTTTCTCATCCCTAAGGGAGAGAGGCATAAAAAGCGGTAAGAAAAGCACCTTTAACCTACCCTTAAGTACAGTTCGCTCGTGCGGATAGATCGACCTTCGGCACCCCTCTTCGTACTCCCTTGCAAAGTAGAAGACGGTGCTGCGGAGGCTCGGTCGTCGCGGCGTAAACCTGAACAATGGATTGATTACACTCCACTACGGTGAGTCTACTTGAAAGTTATCTGATGTAGACAGAACATTGCTCCGAAATACTCCCCCATACTTTTCAAGGATGCACTTGAAAGATGAATTACGTTTACGGACTACAGCTCTAATAAAACCGATTAGGGTCTGAGAACAACAATTGCCCAAAATATAAATAGATACGTGCCCCCGCGGCCGGATTGCTCGCTAGTTGCGGTTTAGACCATACTTGCTGTTGTAACGGAGATCCAGGTTTGTTCCGTACGATTGTACGAAAGCCTGTTCCTGCCAGAGACATTCGTTGTGGCACATGATGATCTGTCGTATTTTCTCTGTTGCCGCGACTATTTCTTTCCACCTTGATGGGACTAGTAGATGTTCTTGTTGGTACAATTGCATTCGGGGTATTGCTGCCAGGGCCAAAAGCCATCGAAACAACGTTACTCTCGGTCTTTGTCGTGGCATTTTCGCCCCCCGATGTTCTTTCGTTGGATGACTGGAGAATAGGAGTTGGGCTCCTCCTGTCGCGAGGACTTGTTGACAGTGCTACTCTGTTATCAGGTTCTTCACCTTCTGCGGTTGCTGGTGGGTCGTTTGCCTTGCTTGTTTCCTTCTCAGGCCCCTGAATTCCGGCACCATGTAATCCCTGACAATGCGAACCGTAGTCTGCTGTTATTTTTTCAGCTTCCTCATCCGGCGATGCTTCTGCGTTTACAACTGCATCGTCCTCCGCGGGCTGTTCTAGGCTCCCTTCTTTTCCAGCAGTGGTTTTAGATGAAAAAAATTTCTGATTGATACATAGAGGTAAAAAGATCAAGATAAAGATTTTTGATACTGTTCAAAAGGTCTTTGTTGCCCGCAACGGTAAAACTCTTAGCACCTCTAGATCTCGATGAGCAGCAATGTACGTCATGCCATGTCATGGTGCCTCTTGTATAGCATTATGCATCTATGTATGAGGCCGCTCCGTGAAGTAGTAAGTACCTCCTACTAAGAAGAGCTACGACAGCGATAAATAGGCAAAGAATATTTATAAACGACCACAGTTCTTGTCTCCTGTCGTATCACTTGCGTATTAGAATATGGATAGCACGCTAAAAATCCTTGTAACTACTTAATATTACATCATAAACACGCTCTGAATCTCCTCCTCCACCCGCTCGTCTTCCGTATTAGAGGAAGGTTCGTCCTCCTCTTCCGTGATTGGAGGGAGGTCATGAGGGCGGACGCCCAGACGACGCGTCACCACTCGCAGCACCTCATCCATGGCCTTGTTTTGCATCACCATTTCCTCCCTCTGCTGTCGGAAAATACGCTCCAAGGCCTGGTGAGGAGCTCCGGGGGGAGCCGGGGGTGGTCCTCGATGAAGAGAGTTGTTACCTCCTGCAGAGGATGTGGTCAACATATTCGCATCCTTTGGAAATTGAGGCTGTGCTGACCAGTTAGGGCGGCCTCGAAACGGCAGTTTATGCGGATCACTGAAAGGAGGCGAGTGTGCAAGATTCTGGTTCGTCATTGACGGACTGCCGGTAGGCTGTTGCAGTTGGTGTTGATGTTGACTCATCCCCATGTTGTTGCCACCAGTGCTAAATTGAGAACCAAATTGACAGGCCTGCTGCCCGTGGCCTCCTCTTATCTTTCCACTAGAAAGCACAGCAGCAGGACCAGGGGCGAATGTTCCACCGTATTAGAGCCTAAAGCAGTTGACAGACTTCTTAGGCGCATTTCTTCAGCTTCCCAAGCAGGAAACAGAGGAGCATAGCCCTTGAAGGAAGTGATGTTTTGAACCGAAGAAGACCAAGATCATTCAATTTCTTTGGACAAAAAAATATAGCATTAGAGCCAAGTTAATAGTCTAACAGCTGTAGCTGTCGTGTAGAGCCTTAACTATGCTGCGGAGGGGAAGTGTTCTGCGGAAAGTGCGGATGTCCCGAATGTGGGTGTCCCGGAAGTTGGTTCCTCAGCTGAGCCTGCACTACTTGGTCAACATGATCCAAGTCGCCATAAATTCCGGAAGCCGGCATTTGCTGTTGGAGGTGACGAGATGGCTCATTTGCCCCCGGCATCAACGGACCACCATTAGGCAGCAAGCGCGATACACTTCGGGGTGGGGGTGGTGAGCACAACTTGATCATAGACGCTGTCCCAGAATCGTTCACCACTGGCGAGTGCTGACACGGGTCATCTGATAAAGCTTCCGGACTATTAATGTAAGCCTCCGATGTTTGGGTTGAAGATGATCCCTCATAGGTCGATGGCGTGGACGCCGTTGATATCAAACCCGTACAGCTCATTTCCTTTTCGTGATCGTTGTCACCATTTATTCCACTCGTCCCTGTATTCAATGCATCAGCTGGATACATAACAGAAGGAGATGTTGATGGAGGATAAGAGTATCGCTCAGCGATCTCCTGATCATACTCAAGTGCTTGACCTTGTTGTATCGACTGAAGCTGCACTGCTTCGCCGTCCACGAGACTTCCCCGAATTGACGTGGTTTCTTGGAGATCATGGAGTACTTCCTGACTCTGCTTTCTGCTCTCATACAGCATGGATTAGAGCAGGGTCGTTTGGATTTAACCCTGTAGAAGTTTGGAAGTATCAGTATGTATCACCGTCGTCTTTTTAAAAATCTATTTGCTGATGGAATCCCTGATTCCATCTTCATTGAAGAGTAAACTAGTAGAACATGCGTATCAATTTACCCGCAGACAGGCTCTGACAACAAAACAAAGTCAGAGTTACTAAACCCTAAACCATAAAACAACGGGCACTCGTCGTCTTCCTCTTCGACATCCTCCAATGATGGTCTGGACGAGCAGGAGGTCTTGCTGTAGCTCCGAATAGAGGCAGAGCCGAAACTTCCTCTAGAAGACGCGTCAAAACTTCCTCTACCACTCAGTCCCCCTGAACCTCTGGTGCGATCGTACGCGGGAATCTGTCGTCGTCTACCATGTTGAGTGGAAGAAGTACAAGTACTACTAGTACCTTTTTTATGCTTGTAGTTACCATGAAGATCATGTTGAGAGCTTTTGGATGAGTGACCACCACCACCACCTAGATGATGCGAGCTACAAAAAGAGATGTCGTCGGCAGGATCGCGACTCGGCGCTCCAACCATCTGATCAATAAAGATGCGCCTGCTGCGAAGAACGACTACGCTCCTTCCACGCCGACCCCAGTTGTTCCTCGCATTTGCAGCTTTCCTGTTGCTTTCTCGCTGCACGAGTTAGACGCAGTATGCATACAAAACTTTTTTGTTGATAATCCAGTAGCTAGAAGTCTTAGTAAGTACATGCAGACATGATGGAATCAAAACCTGCGCACTAGATTTAGAATGTGAATTTCTACCACGGAAGCAGGAGCACACACGCACAACATCAATACAAACCTCGTTCATGCAGCAGCTTGGGGCGTTTTTTGGGGTCGTTTGGGGTGTCAAAGTGGGCCCTTTTTGTGCCCCTTTTTGACACCCCTCCAAAGCACCTCCGAGCCGAGCCGATCCCGAAGAGGTTGGGACTCCCCTGGAGGCGCTTTTAGAGCCCACACTTCGCGATCCTTCGGAACGGGGATTCACTGCTCCGAGGATTCACCGCCAAGCTATCGGAATGGCCCCAGCGATCCCGAAGAGGTTGCCCCTTGTTAGGCTAGCAAAATTTGTCTAAATACAACCCTCGTCCATAAATATGCAGCAGCCTGGCTCTGAGGAGACGCATGACGAAGAAGATGAGCACAGTGAGCACGGCCAAGCCGAAGAGTAAGAGGAAGAGGATTGCACAACGCTCCAGCGTGTCTTCATGCACGCGAATCTCTTGGTCACCGCCCCTGGTGAGATATGCTTCAGCTTGTGGTCCTGAGAACTGCTCCTGACCACCTCGATGACCATCTTGGAGTTGTTGACTGTGCTCCGTGTTCTCTCCTTGTCCTTCTTCGGCTGGACGCCCACGTGCCAGACTGCGTGCCGTCACGGTCACCATGCCAGGCTCTTCCGTAATGTGTAAAAAAGCTCAGCTTTAATACAACACAATCTGGGCGAGTCACTCTCCGACGTCTCCAGTCTTACACGCCTGCCACAGCAGCAGTCGAACACGCAAACGGCCAGCCATTGACGACACAGTGACAGCAGCACGACCCAGGGGCTGTATCAAAAACCTTTCAAAACAACGTTCCGTTACGGAAAAGCCCACGATTAGACTCCTGCTGCACACGTATTTCTGTCTTACATGACCTCATCACCTTAGAAGAGACAAATGTCGTCCTGAAGAACTTACGATGCTCACAAAACACCTTCTCATGCTCACTGCCATACCCTTCGCCGCTAGCTGTGAACTAACTTTTGCGTGTGTCCTACAGATTCGCTAAAAAATTTTTTGTAGGACAGATACAGATTGCTTGTTCGCTGTTGCTGCACGTCTATATCGCTGCACCTTTCTCCCTCACTATGATTTGCACAAATTGCTTGATCTGCTACCCAGAAATTCGAACACAATAACCACTTAATTAAAGGTGTAGTTTCTTAACACGCCATGTATAACGTATGCTGAACAAGTCATACTCAACAGATTCAGTTCTGATTTCGGGAGGGTTGCGTCATTGGGGCCCGTAAAATAACGGCAGATCATGCGTGTCAAGGAAAATAAAGGATGATCAACATCAACATGTACATCGAAATAAGAAATAAAACAAGCCTCTAGTTTACACCACAAGCAAGCCTGACAAGAGCCAAGGTCGCTTGGCATCTTTGACCTGTCCTCCGAAGAGTTCCAAAGTCGGCAACGACAGATCCGACACCTGTATCCTACGACTGCCAGCAGATCGATTCTTCAAGCGGATCTCAACGAAAACCTTTTTCTGAAACAGAGGAGCCAAAGTCCCACCACCTAGCTCCAATATCAACTTTTGCACCTGCTCTGCAGTAAGCTGAACAGAAAGCTTTGTTCTCTTAGAAGTCTTGCTTTTAGGGGTGCTACCCGTAAGCGTATCGCTTTCCGCGTCCGTTGGTAACACTTCCGCAGAAGACACCGCATCCTCATCCACATCAAGATAAGGCCCTGGCTGCCACGTAATCGAATTCACTAGCATACTGTTGCTTTGTAGTGACACGACTCGGTCTTCAATCCCAAACTGGCCGAATCCAATCGGGAAAACATCGGGGGGCGTACCACTCCCCGAGGATGTGCTGTTTGGATCGCCGCTTCCGAGTTGAGCAGTTGTACCTCCTGTAGTAGTTGCAGTAGTTGCAGCCTTTTCGTCGCGGCACCAGGCTCCAAAAACGCCACGAGAGTAAGTGTCCCTAGCTCGAACTAGCCAGCACTCGCCGCACAGCCCAATCTCCCACCCAACGATAATCAAATCGTGGGTATTTCCTACTCTCCGTAGATCGAACAAATGCCCACTGCGCTCAGCAAAAATCTGCTCCAAACGAAAGGACGTACTCACCTGATGAAGAGATCACGGTCATCATGTTGAAAAAAATCTTATTGATGTCGTGGCAGAAATTTGAGTAGGTGGCTTTGATTTCAAAATTGTGATTTTGTAAGTACCACTGGTCCTCGCTCCATCAGTTCGCGCTTTATGGCTGCTCTGGATGACAGGACTTTGGCACCGCCGAAAGCTGCCAATCGCTCTTGCGCTGATTCGCCTAGCCATGTTCCAGTAAGCGACCCTTTGAGACCTCGTTCTGTCAAATTTGTTGTGTGCTGAAACGGCAAACCTATTGCACGGCCATGTACAATGGCACCACGGAGGTTCAAGAAGCGGCAGATGGTTGTCACGTGGAGTGCGGGCGGCGGAGGTCCTGCGGAAGACGAATCGGTATCGGCAGCGGTATTGGACCACCCAGACGAAGTAGTTGACGCTGAGGAACCACCACCAAATACTCCTCCACCGGTCGATGCTGAACCACCTCCAAACGCTGTCTTTCCTCCGAAAATATTGCCGTTGCCAAAAGGATTCTGGGTACCAGTTCCACTAGAAGTACCTTGATTCTGACTGTTCGTCGAGGAGGACTTCTTTTTCCCAAAAAGAGCAGTATCGCCGAAAAGACCCTTACCTCCAGCAAAGATGTTGTTTGGATCTGATGATGCGGCGCCGAACCCTCCTCCAAAGGCTTTGCTTGGTGTGCTAGTGCTGTTACAATTGCCTCCGAAGATATTGCCTCCTTTCTTGCTCGTTCCACCAGGATTCCCAGCAAAAGACCCTCCACAAAAAGGAGCCTTTATTGAAGATGTTGTCGCTTCTTGTGCTGCTTTTTCTGTCTTTGCACAGTCTCGAAGAGTGCAGTTCCACCTCTGTGCGTCAAAAAACGTTAGCTCGCCGTCGTTCTGCTTCAACCAGGGCCACTTCTCGTATACTGAAAAACAGGCAGGGAACATACTCTGGTCCTCGTCCTGCGCAGGTTGAGGTTGAGGTGGTGCTGTCTTTGCTCCTCCTGAATATTGCGTGTACGGTCCAGCCCCACCAGTTGAAGATGTTGAAGACTGGTGGTTGAACCCTGTTGAACCTCCAGCGGCGTTTCCTGGAGGAGGAGCGCTCCAAGTATTGAAGCCTGCTCGAGGTGGAGGTGAACTATTTAGATTAGCTCCCCCAGCCTGATACTGATTTTCTTGTCGTCCTTGTTGTCCATTAGAGCAGGAGGTGTTGTAGAAACTATTTTTACCCTTCGACGCTGCTCCTCCATTTGAAATCGTGCTGCCATTTTTCAGGTGAATGGTTTTCTCTGTCCATTCTCTGTCCCAATCCAGCTTATCCAATTCTCTCCGCAAGTCCTGAGCCCGTTGAAACACGCTCGTGCTCGCCGGATTGTTGCTGTGTTTGTCAGGGTGTGCTCTTCGAATGAATTCCTTCCAGCTGCTGTCCCGCAGACTCTTGGTCCGGTAAAAATCTCTCTCATCTAGTTCTGGTGTCGTGATGCGCATCAACTCGAACAGCGTGCTAGCACTTGGGCTTTTCTGCAAGACCGAGTCGGCTTGACGCAGAGTTAAGTCCCGGAAAACGTCGCCGGGGGCTGTTGTTCCACCGCTTGGCGCGGATGCGAAGCTCCGTGATGCTGCTGCCATTTTGTTTGTGAATGATTCAACACCAAATTCTAAGATCTAAGAAAGCGATACAACTTACTTTCTTGGAAATGGAAAAGGATGAATTTCAAAGAAGTAGGTCACAATCCCCTACGATATGATTCTAACATATCACGATCTAAAGATCGATCAAAAAAGCTACTAGTATAGTACTATCGCTGGGGGACATGTCGCTGACGATTTGGTTTTGCATTCTGAAAAAATAAAAGTCGATTATACAAGTATACCACCCCTTTGTAGATATTTCGATGCCTTTTTCACCAACAAGAGATAGCAATAATCCACACCAAATAGAGAATATGATCAACAAATAGAGAATATGATCAACATCAGTGTGTGTCAGCAATAGCAAAGGCAACCCAGGTATCGCGAAGGGGAAGGGAAGTTTTTAGATCGATTTTGAGGATCTCGAAGATCGTTGAATATGCAAAAACAATCTCGAATCGGATCTTTTCTTTTCATGCATAGTGGAATCGTAATAATCTTCAACACCACACGAGGTCAAGAAAACGCAAACACGAGGTTAACTCTTCAGTGAATCATCACAGCAAAAGCGCAGATTAAGAGGACGTCAAACAAGCGCAGATTAAGAAGCCAAGAATCCAACGACGCATCATGTCAAGCACAAGAACATCTTCTAGAAGAAGGACGGCGACATACGCACCCGCACGATATTCACTTCATTAAATTTCTTGTCGATCTTTTCAGCTAATGTTGCTTACGATGAATTCCCACTCACTGTTGCTTATCATAGAATTAGACTTTTTTCGCCCGATATTGTTCTCTTAACCCGTAACTCGAAAACCGGACTACTCTCTATATCATGAATGTCCCACCTAACCCAGAAATTTTGCAATCACAAAGTCTGCTTCTCCTCGCCGGCGCATCTCGTAGGTCTTTCGCTTCGAACTTCCAGGAAAATAGGCATACTCGTGCAGAGTGTTTGTCAAGAAGACACTTCTTGAAAGTCGTTCCATGTGCTTTTTGTGGACGTCGGTGCCCGCTTTTATGTGCGACTCGGCTGTCCAGGTCTCCGAGTCAGAGGCGTCGCGTGCAACTAGTTGGTTCATTGTCGGAATGCGGATGACGTCGAGGATTGAGGTTCGAAGATGTATCGACTACGCTAGTCTCAGTCAAGGACCGACAATGCAGAGGTTGACGAGGTTCATATATTACAGCTATTTATCTCTTAAATTTGACAAGGTTGAAGATTCAGACGTTCTGGATCGACAACATGGGAACAAAAATGGCTTTATCACTATCGAATCAACTACATTCCTCTAAAATTAATATCCTTCCATCCTAACTGAAACCCCGCTTTCCGCAACAGGTTGCACAATTGGCCAACCGTAGCACCGTAGATGTCCACTTTATCGACAGCTACTGGCGAATTGTCTTGACTCCAGTGTAGAATCAAAAGCCCATTTGGCCTCAACATTTGGCTCCAGACTTTTTCTAAAAGGAATCTTGGCTCAAAAGCGTGATCGAAGGCGTTTGAGTAGACAAAATCCGCTAGGGATTCACGTGGATCTCCTTGGAGATCGCTTTCTTTTGTAGCTGTCTCGGTTGTCTCAAGAGATCCATCTTCGGGTCCTCTTCCACTGCTTGCCTTATACAGCGGAAACACTTCCCTCCCCTTCTTGCGCACATCATACCGCTTCCAACGATGCCTAAGGGCGGGACGTAGATCCGTGGCGAAGTCCTGACGTCCCCAGACAAGCCAACTAGGCCACAAAAAGTCTGTGCCCATTATGTCGACCAAATTCGAGTGTATGAATTCAGCGTAGACGCGAGCTTCGTCTAAGAGGAGAGGCTTCGAAGACGAAGATTGTGCCGCTTCTTCAAGTTGTTGCAGTTGTTGCAGTTGTCCTGAACCTTCAGACGTTGCGGAATCTTCACCAGGTAGTACCATTTCTAGTGTTTCTGGTCCACCGGTAACTCCGGCCCACAGCGAAGATAGAAAGGAACCTAATGGCGTAGCAGTTGTCGAGTCAGAAGATGTTGTGTGTGGCGCTGATGTGGTTGATGTCGCAACAAAAACTTCCTCCTCTGCTGGACCTAGGGACTTCTCCTTAGACGCTGAAGGTGCAATTTCTTGAACTCCTCGTCGAACCAGAGATTCCCAAAGGAAAGTCCTCAACAACTCCACCTCGAATCCCTTTTTTGCTCCTTGGCATACGCCTCGAATCAAAGGCTGCTGGGAAGATATCGCCGTCACATTTATGCCCAGATCTTGGCCTTTACCAAGTTTGAGAACAAACTTCTTCGCTATCTGAGCTGCCACTGGGTGAAAGACCTTGTCAACCAAGATCTCAGCTAACATTAGACCGACCGCGTCGCATCCTTGAGCCTAACATGAGACCCCCTTTTCCCCTTGAAAAAGAAGCCAAGGATCATGATGTAGGGGGATGCGTCGTCAGCGGTAGCCTTAATAACACTGCCAGATGTAGCGGATTCACCCACTCCCGGTCCTCCCAAACGGATGCTTTTTTCAACTGCGACCCAACGTTCGCAAACGCAGATATGATGCCCTGCCGTCCAATATGCGAGGCTGTTCTGTCGACAGTTGTTAGAGGCTGAGAGCTGGCATTCCATTCCATGAAGTCTATCATTGGCTAGCATGCCAACCCCTAGACTATACTAGCTCGCATATCTATGGCTTTCCTACTTGAAGAACCCATAGAGATGCGCCTAGAGATGCCAACCTCCAAGAAGAACCCTTAAAGTTGTACTAGGAGCACCGGTCTCTACTCCGCGATTGCTTTTAGAGGTTCTTGCAGGAGCATTGCATTCTTCAAACCATCCTTGACCTCTTTCCTATGCACGTCAAGAATGTCGGTGCAGGATGCAACTCGGGAGCCCTTAACTCTACTTCTCCTCCTAACCGCCGTTGAATTGATTCCGTTCCTTCTATCTTCGAACCGCTGCTCTTCGGCAACCATGTCAGCGCGTATCGGCAATGGAACGCGTGCCGTTCCTGAGCGCGCTATGGCGTCTGCAGCCCAATTATTGTGCACGCCAACTGACGTGAGCAAACTACTTTCTTGCTGTGTTGAAGTGGATGAAGTAGAGGAACTAGGTGACGTTGAAGTGGCTACTTTTACTGTGCGAGGAGGACTTTTAGAGGAACTAGGTGACGTTGAAGTGGCTACGTCTGCTCTGCTAGGAGGACTTTTAGAACTACTAAAAGCTGGGACTGGCTCATGGTCCTCCGTGAAACAAGGCAGTGCCTCCAAATGCTCTACTATTGCAGATGGAAACGCTTTCTTCACTGCGTTCACACCAGGTATTAAACTGCACTTATCAGCTGCATCAAGACGAACAACATTGCTCTTCGACGACGAACCTTTTCTAGCACTCGTAGTACCACGCTTCCAGATATTCTTGATGCGTCTGAGAAAACGTGGCCACCCTACTTCACTGCGCCACGGCGGCCCGGGTGTCCATGAGCCCCAGTGATCTGTCCAGTACGAATTACGTCTTTCCTTCGGTGCTGATGAGTCACTTCCTCCCTCTCCTATCAATTCCTCTTGTTCCTCTATTCCACCAAGCTCTCCTGCGAAATTTCCGAACTCTGCTATAGACTTGGCGCAGGCAAAACTCGGCTTTTCTCGGACCACGCAGCAGTGCTCGTAACTCAGTCGAAATGCACGGGTCGGTTTTAGAGATTTCTAATCGGCACATGCTGCCTCTGGGAAGAGGACAATTCTTGATGAGATAGTTGAGTGATTCAAATACGAATTCAAATCCGTCCCCTCCTTAATATAAAAAAACTACAACTAGTATGTATCAACGAATGAAAAAGTAGAAAGCCACCATGAAAATATAAGTCGGAATAAGATGAAAAAAAATGACCCGAAACCATAAGACATCGTAATCCCAGCACTTGAGATTTCCGAAGGAACGTTTCTTCAGGACTCCCCCATAATGGTATTCTTTCTCTTCTGGCGCTTCTACTGAAACTGGCAATTGCTGCAATTCTGAATTCAATGAACTCGTCACGTCATCTTCTTCAGTTGTATCCTTTCCCTTTCCCTCTCCCCGTCTTCTTGCAGCCAACATCACGGACTGTAAAGCTTGTTCCATGTCAGCATTTTGACAGCATTCAGATCTCGTCAGGTTCACCTTCTGAAACTTGGGGTACTTGAATTCCTTCCTAAAGTGGTACTTCATGCGCTTCAGAGGAGCCACGCCGCCAACATACGGTCCGCCCCAACATGGAGAACCATTCTCTGGTGTTCGACCGGGAGGAATAGCTTGCCATTCGGCGTTTACGGAAACGACGCGAGATCTATCTAGGGAAGCAAGATCACCGAACAAGCCGAAAAAGAGCACAAGAAACTGCAAGAAGACAGTTCTTTGGGTGACGGATCCGAGAGAGGCCATGATTTGCTTTGATTGCTAAACGATTTATGGCTCCTTCTGAAGTTTCAATATTTATAGATGCCCCTCGGGACTTGTCTCAGTCAACGAGCAATACATTTTCTGGGCAGAGGTGGGGAATTAACAAGGCAACAGAAAGAAACCGATCATGTGCGTAACATGCCTGCTGTTGTCCCTGTTGCCATCGTTCATGATGACCGTAGAGACGTGGTCTGCTCTCAGACAGGTCTCCTGCGCATCTCTTCGTCTCCTCTCGAAATCGAGCAAGCACCGATCCTGAAGGTACTGTCATGTTGCGTTCTACGTCAGTGCGTTGGAAACAGGCCTCCATGTCAAGTGGGATTCAGTTATCTAAAAAAGTTGGATTTCTACGGACAACATGGTTTCAACAGGCTCTTCACTACAATAACTCATTTCCACTTGAGAGAGAGATATCCTTCCTTACAGTGCTAGATTGCTTGTGATCTATGATATTGTGTGGAGCTATTCTTTAGTCGAGACACATTCATCGGAATTAGAGTTTCAATTCTGCTTCTTGTTTCTTCTATGAAGCTGACCTAAAGCGGTATCTTCAGGGTCCTGCCGGCGCCTCCTCCCCTTGGATGCTTTTCAGATACCGCATAGCTATCTTATTTCGCGCACTCACTGGGCCAACAACTTTCGTGTAATTCGAAAGCATCCCCGAAGACTTTTTGCGCTCCGTTTATATTAGAGGAGAACAGACGTCGGTGCCGCAAACTCTTGAAACTGAGATTGAATGCCCATGCTACAGCAATACTTCGAAAAAGAGCAGAGAGGACAAAAACTAGAAGACTTACATCATTCTACAAACCTTAACTTTCTCACCGTCTGCAATCTCCCTGCCAGCGTTGGCGTTCGTCCTCTGGCTGCAGCTGCTGGTGGCGCTAGTAATTGCAATTCATCCCCTTGCTGCATGTCCGGTATTTGACCAGCGCGTCCACGAGGATCGAAACGGAAGACATTATTCTTCGTGGCGAATGGTTGCTCCTGAATGATGCCAACTGGGGTTACTCTCCTTGAAACCTGGTGCGCACCATTTCCTCCTCCAGTTCCAGTCGTTGGACTTGATTTCAGATTACCAATTTGATAAGACGGAGGGGAGGAACTATGGTTGGAACCTGTCCCAGAAGAAAGCTGTGGGCTACCATTAGCATTGCCATTATTAGCGAGTCCGCAATTGCATTCCTCAGAACATTCTTTACTTATTTTCTACTTGAAAAAAGCATAGGATGCTTGTGGGTAAAGGGAATGCAAAAAGGTTGTGTAACCCTTAACATTAGCATTGTTGTAGCTCGCTTTTGTATTAACGAAATTCTTGTTCTGCTCAACCATTGCTGTGAGAAGTTCTTGTCGTCTTGTAGATGGCGTTCTGCTAGTCGCGCGCAGCTTCATCCGCACGCGTGCAAAATTACTACGGCTGCTGCTTCTGACTCTAGTCCCCTTAAAGGCGGCTCCTGCTGGTGGGGGCATTAGTCTGGGATACTGGAACACGTTCCTCCTCGCTCCTGAAGCGGCAGCAATCTCTTGCTCTTGCGCAACGCCCGTAGATAGCGGAGACGTAGAGTTGCTGGGTAGACTAGGGAGTCGGTTTGCTAGAAGTGCGGAAGTATTCTTCAAGCTCAAAGGTGAAGATACTTGCTCAACATCTTCAGAAGATACTTGCTGGCCTTCGACACCTCCTGTAGCCGCGACATTACTTTGTTGTTGTTCCACCCCAAGCACATTTTTAACATCAGACGAAGAGCCATGATTACTAGGTGGGAGCACCGAGTCTGTGGAGACTGAGTTCGACGCTGAAGCCGTTGATGGAGTACTGCAGGCCGACGCACAGCTGTTGTCTTGGCCTGGGCTGGCAATTTTTTTCCGCACTAGTGGAGGCGCCACTGACTCGTCACAACTCTCGTAATCAGTGGCATCACCTTGATGTTGTGCTGAATACGAGCCGCTAGAGAGAGTTCTGGTCACATCGACTTGATATGTTCCAGACGGATCTGCTCCATTAATTGATCGTCCAGGGCAGTTTTCGTCTTCAGCTCCATTTTTCGCATCAGACTCGTCTGCATAAATGGCACTCCCTTCTCTTTCACCCAATGGTCGCGAAGAATCAGAATCCACAACAGCAACCCCAACAGCACCCTGCTCGCAAACTTGGGATAATCTTGCCGAATTAAGCGCCACAGATTCCCGTCTTTGCCCAGGCGTTTCCGCTTTCCGCAGACTTAGACGCACACGCTGATATAGCCCTTGCATTGCGGGACCACTTGGCAAGTGCGGTGAAGGACTTCGCACACTAGTCCTCTTGTTGCGCGCAGAAAGCCTTGCAGTCGAAATCCTCTTACGGAATTCGGTTAGCAAACCCTTTTTCTCCGCAGATGGCGGAGTAGCGGCGGTCATTGGACTGGAAGGGGAGAGAGTTTATCGTTGTACAACTCATCAAAGAAGGATACGAGAAGGAGAAACCTTTCAAACAAAAAATATAAAAAATTTAAGTTTTCTGAAAACATACATTGAATCGATTAACACTACATTATCATTATGCTCCTATTATTAACATTCATAGTTACAGTTCGCAGTTAGAGAAATCCAGACAAAAATTCATCACCCTATTCAAGTACCTATTCCTCGCACCATCAGGTGACAATGCATATTCTTTACACTTGTTGGACGACATCAGCTTCCCCAGAGGACCTGAGAGCACGATATCTTCAAGAGATGCGGTACTGAGCTCGGAAACGCGTGAACTCCGCTTTTCCTTTTCCTCAATCGAATCCTTTTCGTCGTTACATTCCTGAAAAACTACTTGACGCTCGTCCTCTTGTTTTACTTCAGCACTGCGTTGCTGCGCCCGTACGACCATTTCTTTGCGTAGGCTTGCAAGCCCTGGGCCTCCCACAGCCACACCCTGGCCCACCTGCTCAGCTGCTGGAGGAGCTACACCTACACAAGTAGAAGATGATCCGTTATTCAACATCAACGTTGATGTTCTTGCTTCTGTTATACGCGCGACTCTGTCTTTATCGAAGCTGTAGGCATCCTCTTGGCGTCTGCGCGCAGTCAGCTTAACCATCAGCTCTTGTTCAAAAGCAGCCTTCAGTTTCTTACCGTACCGCAGAGCCTGCGGGTTGTGAGACAACGCGTCTTCCCAAATATCCAAAATTTCTTCCTCGACAACATGATCAGCAGGAACAGCCTTGTCCTTGTCCGGACTTCCACCACCAGAAGACCCTTGCGAGGACGTTGGCGATTTTTCAGATGATGATGAGACACTTCCGTCTCGCTTATCTGCTATTCTGAATGCTTCCACTCAGTGAGAATGTCGATAGGGGAATGTCGTTCCCCCTTATTGTCTTCTTTCTTACTTAGGAACAGGAACGAAGATCCCCGATATTATAATTTTTGAGATTCTCAAAAATGAGTGGCGTCTTCATAAATATTTTCCTTGTTCTAGCACTCCGCTTTGGGAGAAAACTTTGTCGACGTTGCTCTTTGGCATCGCGGATCTTGGTCATCAGGGTCTGGGAGGCTTGCACGATGTCCCACCGCAGCAACCGGCTACCCTGTACGACGGTCTGTTCTCGAACAACGCAAACTGGAGTGTCTGGCAGCAATGTTGAGGACAATGACTGTATGGTTGTTGAAGATGTATGTGTATCATGTGCTATAGTTGAAGAAGATGTCTTGACGTTCTGATCCTCAAGCTGTGCTTGTGTCTTTGAAGTAGGCCTCTCTTGTTTCTCAGCCTTGCTGACGTCCCACACACCTGCACACAACGTGGCATGATAGAAGAAGTAACCATGTGGAATTTCGTATTTCTCCTCTTGTGAATCTTGTACAGGAGCCTCTCTGTGCGTCTCGTCGCCACGATCTCTATGCGTCTCACGACCTGTCTCTCTATCAGTATCGCGTCCGCCTCCACGTGCTGAATCCAGTGGTTCTTGGTCCGCCGATGACTTCTCGTCATGTATCGTCGCGAGATTCAACTTCGTGATAAGCGGAAGAGGTTTCATATTCAGTGGAGGCTTCTCAGTCTTCATTGGCCCTAAAAGTGATCCACTTGATGTATCCTCAGGTGTATCCGGAGTACCAACCTGAAAATTTGGAGGCGGCGTTTCCCCTCCAAGCCCAGACGTAGCGCTGGTACCAAATGAGCCTGTCTTGTTAACCGGTGTCGGTGTCTCCTTTTGACTCGGAGTGGCTGGAAAATCATCGCCCACTGCAGAAGAATCTATTAATCCAACTACTCCCACTGTCTGGTGTTCCTGTTGGCGATTACGAGGAGTGATGGTTGGCATATCCTCATCAATTTGCAGCTCAGTGAGTTGCAATGTTGCGCGTCGCGGACGACCAAGTGGACCAGAGTGTTGTTGATGCTGCTGTATCGTTCCACTCAAGTTCACAGTCGTGTTCTGCTGAATCTGATCGTTAGCGTTACTCCCAAAAACGACAGCGTTCTGCTCTTCAATTTGTGCATGCGCCTGCCGCACGGTTAAGCGACCCTTATTCACCCGGTCTTGAAACAACTGGCGAGCTCTTGCTGTTGCACTCCCACATCCAGCGTCCATCTCGATCATTCGCGGTGTCTCCATCATCAAAGTCGACCTCCGTCGATGCGTAGCGCCCCCTCCTCTCGCCGTTGCTGAGCCGTCCTCAACGGTTTCCACGACGTTGCGAATGCGCCTTCCCATCATCGCATCATGCTCAGGAGGTAGCTCGAAACAGTACCACACAGAATTATCCTTGACCCCGTCATGAAGACGTAGAGCTGCATGAGCACCGCTGAGTAACACTGCTCTAAGACCCAAGGCGCGGTAGCCGGAACTGCGCTCGTATAGTTGGGATCCCTTGATGAGACTCTTACCGAGGAAGACCGAACGAAATGCTGTAGCGGTTGGAAGAGGTGGCGCAGGGACTTCTGGCTGTTTCGTGCCAATTGCTACTATAGCTTCGACGTTGTTGATTTTCAGTATTGGAATTTTTGGCATTGCATGATCTTCACCGGATAGCTCATAATTTCCGAGAACACCCTCTTGTTTTATACTATCATCATCGACCATCGACTCGGCTGGTTTTGAGGCTACGATCGGTCGTTTACTATCCTCCGGTAACGCCACACCGAACGCTTCATGTCTCCACGCTGCCCAGAACGCCTGTCTTCTTTTCAACTCGTCTTCATCCTCTTTGGCTCCTCCATTCGCGTCCTCGTCCTTACCTCTATCTCTATCTACCGTTGCTTTTCCCCCTTCTCTCCCAGCTGGTGAGTTGCAATAGTCGCTTACCAGAGACTCCACTAGGTACTCTCCTAGTACTACCAAGAGTCGTTCCTCTAGCATAGCTAGAAAATTTCGATGACTCTCGTAGTAGTCTGCTTGCGTAACCACTCGGTGCTTTGAGCGTAAAGGAAATTAGAGTAGTGGAAAGGAACTTGCTTCTTTTTTTAGCTTTAGCCGGCTCACTTGTAATAAAAAGTACTACAACAACGATCAATATCAAATGCCCACGCGAAATGATTGGGCTAGAAAATGCCCATGATCAAGTCAAGCCCACACGCGAAAAGAAACTTCATTAACTAAAAACTTCTAGCTACGTACTGCTCAGCATCACCCTAATGCAAAAGCTGTGCCAAGCTGAGGTATTTCACGTCGCCTTGCGCATTGCTCACATCGGCAGGCGGCGCTGTCGACAGGTCAATGTCAGCCAATAACAGCCTGCGGAACCATTGTTCTTGCAGCATGAATTGAGTGCCATTGGCCCGTTTCGGAAAAGTGACAAGATGACTCCACTCCTCGTAGTTGCCTTTTGGTTTGTCGAGCATCGACATACGCCGCACGGCGGATGAAGATGAGGAGGCAGGGACAACTCCTGTATGACCCGCTTCGCATGACATCGTGCCATCTTCACTTTCCTCCGAGGAGCTGGTTGGTGACCCCGGAGCACACGATGATAAAGTGCTAAGGTCTACCCGTGTGCGATCACGAACATCATGGGTTGCAATCGTCCCCCTGCGCTGTTGTGCAGCAACATTACCTTTGCCGTCAATCGAACTCTCCTTGTCCGCCTTACCAGCTGCACCTCCCGTCTGCTCTGAGAGTAGACTTTCTGCCAGAGCAGCAAAACCCGCCCATAGTATGGATTCCGGTTGTCTATCATGCAGCCGGAACTCCCGCGGTGCGGGAGCACCGAACGACTGCATTCTTCTTTGTTGCTTTTGCTTTTCTACATTGATTCGGCGAAGAGGGAAAATCAGAATGAAGACATGCACATTGAACTAAGCATGACATGAAGGAGAACCTTCGCAGCCAAAAAGCCTAGGTCGGATCATCTGGTGTTACTTCATTTTTCACATTCACTTTCTTTCATCCAGTATATAGCCCATTTTCGCTTTCCGTATTCGTCCTCCCATAGTGGGTTGTGCCTACTTCGTTGACTAAATTGGCGGTATCTTTTGTGACCGATTCGCCACTGAACAGATGGATCAACCACAAGCTGCGTCTTTGAGAATCACGCCACTTGATTCTACGACGACACGCATATAATTCAAGACACTTCGCTTGCTCAAGGGCATCGTAGTACCTCAAGAATGCGCTGCAAACCGACTTTTTCACTCAAGAAACTGGTGCTGCAAGCAATGATGAAAGCCAACTTTTAGTTCACAACACAGGGAAAGCTTTTTTCATGGATGCGCAATTTCCAAATTGTCACATTCTGATTTTTGGAGTAGGAAACTTTAGAACTTTATTCTCGAAAAGTTTGAGTTGATGAAGTTCGGGACCAATATGTACGGGGGGTAGCTCGGATAGTCGTGCCAATGTCATGTACAGGGTTTTGAGGTCAAATACCTGGTTTGTCTCGGTCTCAGTAAAAGAGCAGAGCGCAGTTGAGTATTTTGAAGGACGAATGCGAATGGGTGCTATAGCTGAACGCCGGAGACTTTCATCCGTTGAGCAAATCCATATGCGTGATGAAAGCACTCATCCCCAAGCTCACACAACTCAGGTCAAGGTTAATGCTCCACTCACCGTTTACGACGGTGGCAAAAAAGCAGCCATCGGATCACCAGCTCGTATCCTCGTCTGCTCAAACTCCGCCATCTCATCCTCTAAGCCCATTCCACTTTGAATACCCGTCTGAGCCTTCAGCTTTTTACGAGCTGGCTGAACAAAACCAATATCTTCTTCTTGGTCTTTGTTCTTCTTTTTGTCTGCTTTCTTTGTCTTACTCCTCCGTTTCTTCTTCCTGTCGTCGCTATCAGAGTCCGAAGATGAGGAATCACTGCTACTGCTGCTACTGTCATCGTCAGAGGGGGAAGCTTTTCTTTTCTTAGAAGACTTACTGGATTTCTTAGTCGTTTTCTTCTCTTTCGCGTCTTTCTCTTTGGACTTCGTAGACGATGAGGGCTTACCAGAAGTTTTGGACTTTTTCTTTCGCTTCTCATCCTCTGAGTCGCTACTTGAATCGCCTGATGAACTAGAGTCCGAAGATGACGATGAAGACGAATCTGAGCGATTTCGTTTCTTCTTTGAAGCTTTGGCTTTTTCTCGACCACGCTTTTCAGAGGAATCATCCTTCTCTAATCCAGTACTATCCTTCTTCTTCCTATCACCTCCACCTCCATTTGCGTCAGGTGCTGAGGTGGTTGCTCCAAAAAACGACATCGATTCTCCAGCTTCCTGTTCGACTGGCTCCACCGGCTCTATGAGCTCTTCACAAATGAGATCCGGATCTTTACTCCTACTACTACTGCTAGTACTACTGTTTTTCGGAGGGACAGCCGGTGCTTTACTTTCTTCCCCGACTATGATATTCTCTGCTCCTTCAGACCTAGATTGCTGTCGGAAAGCCTCCAGACTAGATGGTTGTTCTGACTTTGCACCATCTTCTGGTGGCAACAACCGCTCTTTCCCATCTGCCGATGGATCTTTCTTGCCTAGTAACTGCGCATCAGCTGATGTTGCAGAAGATACCACTGCAGTCGAAGATGTTGACGGATCACCACCAGAAGATGACCACGCTGTTCCGGCTGGCGCTACCCCAAGTTTAGGTGACGACGCAAATGCTGCACCTTCTCCTGCAACAAGTTGTTTTGGTGAAGAAGTAGATGAAGATTCTGTTTTGCTGACAGTTGTCTCTTGTTCCTTTAGTGGAATGCAGTCGCTTTCTCGCACACAGCTGTGGCAGCATGCGAAGCCCCACTTCCCAGTTTCCACGTCGTACCAACTGCCCCAAACACTAGTGTGATTTCGCTCCATTACGTCTTCTTCATAAACCGAACTTTTGGCCAATGCCCTCCGTCGCTCGTGCAGCACGCGGCCACTCCGACTGTACTCCTGATAATCACTGGTCTGCGCAAAAATCAACGCTGGATTCACATCCAAGTGCTCCGCACCTCCGTACTTCGACAACAGCTCATTTCGCTTGGCGTTCTTCTGCTCTTCTTTTCTCTTCAAGAACTCTTCGTGCATTCTCGAAGCTTGTGTTGGCGCTGCTTGGTCGTGGATTTCGGTCGAGCCGTGTTTATAACTTTCCCAAGCGAACAACTGTCGTTGTACGACCTCGTTTGCCTCTCCACTGGTGCGCACAAAGTTGTCGCCGCGAAAAGCGTGCTGTTCGCTGTCTGGCAAGTCCGCTCGCGGGTTCATACGCATCGACCGCGACTTCGGATCGTAGTAGGCTGAGTTAACATCCAAATTCAACAAGTATTTCGCCGTGTCCTCTCGAATACGCAAGTTTCGTGTCGTAGTGCGCTGACGATCGTCCTTGCTACCCGTCATTCTTGAATTCTCGTTTTCGAAGCCCTTCAACTTGTCGCCCTCCTCGTCGCTATCACTATCTGCGTCACTGTCGCTATCCGAGTCGGAGTCCCTATCGTCACCGCCTGTAGTTGTTCCATTGCCTAAACGATTCCTCCGTTCTTGTCGTCGTAGTTCTTTCTGCTTCTTCTTCAGTTTTTTTCTCGCGAGAGCAGCCTTCTGCTCTTGCTCACGCTTGCGCTGTTTCACCTCCTCTCGCAAAGCGTGCTTCTCGATCACCTCGCGTGTGTAGTCCTCAGCCTCAAAGCCGTTCCAGCGATCGCGTTTCGTATCATAATCGAATTGCAACCTGAAATGAAATGACGACGAGGGCATTTTTGATATAGAACCAATACGAATCTTCAACACAGTCCTTAGGAGCAACAAGGAAGTTATTGCAGAATCATTGAGTTTCTCATCATGAGGTTTAGCTCCTAAGAAAATCTAAATCAGATGGATTTTTTATAAAAGCTAGGGCAGAGTGCCGTACTCCCGCAACCAGCAAAAAAAGTTGTAGCCTAGTATCCGTACCCTTCCTGCACGTATTCATCTGGTGCCAAGTCTTCGCCAGTAAAGACAGCTTTCGAAGCTCTCGGTCGCTCCATGCAGTCTTTCTCCGTGTGCGTCGTTGCTCCGCAATTTCGACATGCTCCCTTGACAAATTTCGTTTTCACATCGCCTTTTGTCCCCCTCTGATACCACGCGAGACTGTTCCCGGCATTTGCTCCGTCTGCCTTCCAGTTCCGTTGATGCTTCAGTGAGCTCCCTTGTTGAGCCAGGTACCATGGTGCGTTGGTGATAAACGCGGGGTTGTGCGGATTGATCATTTGACCTGTCTCTGCATCGATCTCGGGAGCAGCCTTCCCCGCAGAACGCTTCTCTGCCTCCTGACGGGCAGAGGCAGAGCTCGGCTCCGCAGGAGCATTCTGAATCAGCGAGGAAGCCATTTTTTACTGATCTGCTTCTGAGTGACCGTAAAAACTAGAGGTTGAAGATCCTTTAGTTTACGACAACATTTTTTCAATCTCCTCCAAAAAAAACTGCTAGACTCGCAGCGACCATAGGGTCTCAAAATTCAACATGCCATTTGACTAAGTCTAACTCTAATGCGGAGGGGAAATAAGACTTATGCTCTTCTTACCAGGAAAGAAAGATCAGGAGTAAAGCGGGACTTCAGGGTCGGTGGAAAAACATACATTGAAGAAGCCTGGAACGGACAGAAACGAATTGATTGCCGCGAAAAGTCTCGCTAGATAACCATAGCCCTTCGGTCGTGTCAAAAATTGTTATCAAGAATCGCTTGCAGTCAGGAAAATAAAAACAATATTGATTCTTCATCGAGAAGATTCACGTCGCAGCGAATACAGCACCATCACAATAATTTCATTTGGCATCCAGAGAAACGCACCATCTCGTCTTCTCGTTTGAATTCTACACGTACTCGTCATTTCATTTTTCTGATTGATTCTATTTGAATTTGTTCTCTATTGCCTGATAGATGTATCAAGAGAACAATAGATGATTATTTCATTTCAAGGGTCTTCAAATCGTCCCGGTTTGTGCATTTGATTTTGGCACGATTGAAAATTCAATGGAACCACACCAACGAGGAATTCCGATTCAGCATTGAATTTCAATTGTAAGGAACTAACTCTCTGCGTTCCGATTCGGCCAGGAAACTTCATGGTTGAGCGCGGGCTATTTCACAATAGGCGGGCTTTTCATCTTAGCACTTTTGCCCTCTTCGAACAACACTAGTCGCAGCCTCCCCTGCCTAGTGCTCTTTCTAGGCCGCTTTTAGAAGGAGCTTCTTCGAAGCACGGAGTGCGTGGCATACTATTGAGTGAGGCACGGTAGGGCTGATTCGCTATGAGCAACGCTCTACCGCTCTCTCGTGCGATTCCGGGCTAGCTCTTCAAGTCTGCTGCGGATGAAATAGCGTAGATGAAGTCGGCTTCGCAGTAGTTCGAGGTGTAGAAACGTCTCTCAAGATGAGCGATTTTTGTCGGTGAGCAAATCATGTGGCTAGTTTTAGCTGCGCCATGCGAGTGATGCCTTCTTTTCGTACCAATTGTGCACGCGCGCATCAAGCCAAACAGTTCCTTGAGCCGGTGGCCCTTTGCTGACAAAGATAACCAAGAGGGCGAAGCAAAAGGAAAGCCGCAGCAGGATGAGGACGTGGACGCACCGGGCGCCCACGACATTATAGGACGCTTATATAAGCTTGTAAGCGCAAAGTCGCAGATGCGGAGATGCGGAGATGAAAGTGTCAGGCAGAAAGTCGCCGGTGCGGAGAAAATTAAGCGGTTTCAAAAACAAGAGAGTGATGGAGTGAGGAACCGGAAGAAAGGAAAAAAGTCAACAAGCGGAGCTGAAGCAAGCATATGCTGACACCTCGAGTTTTCTCAGCCTCTAGGTAGAATAATACGGGAAGCACCAACATCAGTAACCGCACACCAAGGCAACCAGGTCATCCACACCACAGCGAATTTGTCACCTTTAGCCGTGCAGAGGTAAAAGAACACTCGAAGAGGTTACCAATAGTCATCCCAACGCGACTCCTCGCCGCTTTGGCTTTTTGCTTGAGCGGTTTCTTGTTTTGTTAAGTTCGTTATATGTAGAAAGAACGCGAATGAAGTAAGCATCACACTTTGTGTCAAGCTCCTCGCGAGGAGCCATCCTAAATCGATTTCACATCAAGGTGTTCAGTCTGTAGGACACAAGCTCCACGAGTGCCCGAGCAAGGAAGTACGGGTCATGTTCCCTGAACTCGTAACCTCCAACAAGTCAAGAAGGTGTGTCCATCATCACCCACATATTACGCGAACTAACACTTTTTGAAAGAACAATCAATAAATACAACAAGGTTGCTGAAGCGTGCACTTCCCATTTAATCATATGTTTCGCGTTGTTATGAAGATCTTTGCTATTTTGAAGGATATGAAGCTGTTCTCAATAGTTTTACATAGAGCTGCGTAATGGACATTAGTAAGATGCACATGCAATGTCTTAGATTTGTACATTCTGAAAAGATCAGTACGAGACTTCTACAACATCACGCCAAAACTTCATGCATAGTAATCGAGAAACACAAAGGAGCTCACCCCAGTATGAATCTCAGGTCATTCATCCACCCCAAGAAGAGAGCATTTACGTCATATCCGTCACAATATCTTGATATACCCCCAAACCCAATATCATCCAAACCTCAATCCATGTTTTTGTAGTCGCTATATGTTATCATCTCAAACCTCTTTCTTCAATCCTTCTTTAGATTTCTGTTCGGAGCCACCCTCTCCGGAAAAATCTCGCGAATATAGCTTCACTGCTCGTTATATTTGTGGAAAAACTTCTTCAGCCCAGCGCTTCCCTTTCCTCTCCGTCTGTCGTAGCTGCACCAAGTAGAAGCTACCGCGATGCGTGGTTCTACTTGCTCAGTACAACGAAGCCAGAAGAAGATGAAGTTGAGATGTTGAAGTTCGTTACGTCCCCCTCGTTATTCTTCTCTTCACCGAAAGTAGTTCGTTCTGCTCTACGACCACTACTTCTATTTGTTCCTACTTTTCACACTACGTCTAGTTGTTGTTAGTGCAACTGCAACAATGTTTCTTTAGTGCTTCTTCTCTTTCGGGCTCATCTGGAAGACGAGGACGGTGAAGATGACACCGCACATACCGAAGACCACACGGGTCCAGTCGGTTTCGGCTTTCTTGATGGTATCGTCCAAGAATGTCTTCTCGACCAAGACCACGACGACCAGCGCGATGGCGGCACAGATGTTTTTCCACAAGGAAGACAAGACCTTGGCGATGTATGCGGACATCCACGACTGACCGGCGTTCAACAAGATGCCCAAAAAGAAGGCCATGGAGATGAAGCCTCCCGGAACCGGACTCATGGTGTAGCCGTGAAGTTCTGCGAACGCGAACGGCTTCGCAAGGTACTCAGCGGCCTTTGCCGGGTCAGCATCCATGTCGAAGTACGGCTTGACCTTGCGCCAGCTGCGGGATCCGCCGACCCAAGTGCCGTAGAAGCCGAAGGACTGTTCCCACTGGTCCTCGCTCAAGTTGCACATCTCCAATGTGCAGCCACCATTGACACCGGCAGCGACCTCACCCGGGTAGGTGTGCACCTCAACAGCGGCCTGCTCGCTGCCGATGCGATCGGACATGAGCTCGTGAGCCTTGTGCACCTGGAGCTTAAACTTGGTGTCCCTGTTTTCGCCCAAGAGATCCTTCTTCTCACCGAAGTGCAACTTGCTGAAGAAGAAGGACTCAGAGGCAGCGACGGCCTTGCTTTCCTTCTTCCAGAAGGGGACCCAGGCGGACTCGACGGAGGCCTTGCGCTCCTCGAGTGGCTTGGCGAGCCACTTGTTCTGTATATTTGGTCAGTGGTGGATTATTTAACTCATGTTTCAATGTACTTTTTCACCACAGTAGGATTCGTTGAAAATTGAAAGGATTACGTCTAAAACACCTCCTGAGGCAACAACGTCTCGGAGCAACATAGAAGCGATCATTGCTCAATGGAGAAGCCACTGCGAAAATGTGGATCAGTCACGCTGCTACTGAAACAAGATTCAGAACGCAGGAAAATCTCAAACTGGCAGTCCCAGAGTGCATAACTGTACTATCATACCAAGTGGTTCGACAGTCGGCATTTACATTTCAACACTTGACGACTACCGATGTTCATCAATCATGTTTCACGAGGACAGCGGTGAAAGAGAGTTTGCGTCGTACTTCAGTGTAGGACACCTACTTCTGTTGCAAAAAGAGACCTACATCCAACCTATTGAACTCCAAATCTACCCTGTAGAAGTGTTATTTCTACTGAACTCTAAATATACCTTGGCTTCCTTTCCGCTCTGCTTCTTCTTGGCAGCTGCCTCTTCCGGATCGGCGTCGGGCTTCGGGGACGCGCCGGCGAAGGTGGTAACGACCTTGCCTGCTGGCAGGATATCGGCCTTCACGAGCTTGCACTTGGTATCCTTGGCAACAAAGCTGTCTTCCTTGAAGTCGAGGGCAGCGTCGCATCCTTCGAAATCATAGACGAGCTTCTCCGTGATCTTCTTTGACAGGGAGATGACTTGGTTAGCATCTCCTTCCACCAACTTGGAGACCGTCAAAGTACTATCACGAGTGATGGCCATTCGCAAAGTCTTGTCGGCACGCGTGTAGTAGGCCTGCCAAATTCGTTTTTGATTGAATGATTCCAACAAAGTTGGGAAGGTAGACTGTGAAGAAGAGAAAACTAGCGGAAAAGTTTGTTCTCGAATACGCAAAGCTTTGTTGTGTTGAAGGACACTAAACCGACAATCAAATTGCAGACGAGAATAGCGGATTGATGAGACATAAGAAATAAGTACAGCCTTTCCGAAGGCGAAGGTCTTGAAAATGTTCATCTTCATTTCAGCGTTGTCGTTGCCGGCAACCTTCGCATCGACTTCCTTCATAGCGCCCAAAACCTTCTGGTAGTGTGCCAGTCTGGCTTCACGCTCCTTCTTCGCCTCGACAAGCTTCTTCCGCTCGACATGAGCCTCATGCATGGAGTTGATGTCCTCAGCCTCCTTTGCCGCGTCTTCTGGGGAGAGTCTGTTCTCGGCGATCTTTTCGTCGATGATCTTCACCCATCCGGAGGCCTGTTGCTTGCCGACGATGCTCTTGACGAAGTTGAAGTAGGCGCCCTTGGCCTTGCGGTTGGCCTCCTCCTGCTCTGGAGTGAGAGGGAGCGCATTGCCGCTAGCATCCTTCTTCTCTTTCTCCGGTCCTGCTGGAGCCTCGGACAACAAGTCACGCATGACGCGGTCCTTGATGCACGCTGCTACATCACCTTCGAACAGCTGCACGCTCTCGTCATCTTCGGCGTCGCAGCCGACGTCGGCGGCAACTACGTCCTGGGTCAAGGTGAAGTAGGAATCCGGCTTCGGGGAGCCGGTGAGTCCGTCGACACCAGTGGCGTAGTCGTCCTTGGCGTTCTGGCGGAAGACGGAGGCGTCGAGGTGAGGAGAATCACGACGCGCGATGGACAACGCCGTGAATGCGGGAGTAGCCTTGCCTCCGATCTTGTAGTTGCGCTCGGTGGTTTGGTCTCCGATGGCCATAACGAAGCTGGAAGCAATCGTACGGTGGATGCCCATCTTGGTCTGTGGTTGTTTGGGATGCATGTTTATGTTGCATGTCGTCGATGATAAATGCTTTTCAATGTTGTTCGATAAGATAGGACGCTAGTAGGTCACAGAACACCTGCGTTCCGATGTAGTACTACAATTAGAAACGAAAAAAGTATTGCAGTAATCGACGAAAAAAGTATTGCAGTACCGAGACGAAGAACGGCTGAGAGAGGTAGAACTTGGTGTCCATCATGAGCGCTTCTGGGCCTCCCAAGTGACGCAACTGGTAGTATCCGTGTGCTCCCATGCGCCCTCCGGTCTTGGCGAGCATCTTGTTAACGTACATGACACGGTTCTCCCAGTTACCGATGTCCTTTCCGGTGTAGTCACGTCGCTTCTTCATGACCTGATGGAGCTTTTGGAGGGTTTCGTAGGTGTTGACGCTAGCAGCTTCGGCACCGACGGTTTCGCCGAACATTTCACCGCTGGTTCGCATGTCGGCGGAAGTCGTCCAGTAGGCCATATCGTATCGGTTCGGGAGAAGGGCGCGAGAGCGGGCCGCGGAGTCCTCTCCGGTGGCGTACTTGGCTTCGAACTCGACCTTAGCCAAGGCAGACTTCTGTCCGTACGCGGCGACGCGGTAGGTCAGCGGCCAGTTCTTGACGAATTCCGGTCCGGTCATGAAATCGGAGGCTGGGTGGCCTCCACCCACATCCAGCAAAAAGGCGACGAACGGGACCAAGAAAAAAGTCCCGAAGAGACCGAAGGCAAACGTCCACAATTCGAATTGGAACTTCTGCAAGTTGAACGGCAATTTCCTGTGGTGGAGAGAAGTGATTACGATAAGGAATTGACAAATAGGATGAGAGGTTTGTCAGATTCGACATATCTTTTTGGATCGACAAACAAACGACCTTGTACTTTTCTCATCCCGGAAAATTATACTTCAATCTTTATTAAAAATCTCGCAGTCCTCAGGCTATAACAAAACCTGCTCAATGTATCAATGTATCAAACGATCAATCGTACTTGCTCTCCTTCATGATCTTCTCTCCGAACAAGGAACCGAGCACGGCACCAATGTTGGTCAGGATGGACAGGACGAGACCAATCAGGACAGCGGAGCTGTTGAAGAGGGAGGTCGGCTCCTGCATCATCTGGAATTCGAAAACGGCGATCGTGATCGAAAAGATCATCATCCACTGCAAAGTCGTATATCCAGCACCGGTGATCAACATCGAGAACAAAGCGGTCAACGGAATACGAAGCTGGGAAAACACCTTACGCGTAGCACCAGAGATGTACATGTTCTGCAACAAGTTCAACACTTGCGAGATAGCTGTTTTGGGAGGAATTGCGGAAGACGTGAGTTTGAAATAGCGATGAGAGAGTTTGAATTTTTTGCAGCATACACACAGATGGAAAAGGAAACTTTATCGTACCCGCATAGCCAGTCTGAGTCAAGGATACTCGAAAAATATTTGAAATATCTTCTCGAAGACCAAAAAAACTATCATCCAAGATGACACCCTAAGAAGGCTCTGGAGTGGAGAAAAAATAGATTAGTACAGAACATCGCGGACGGCAAGATGTAGGCGGAGAGACGCTTCCAGTTAAACATGGCAGCCATACCCGGGCCGACACCCATAGCGAGGATGGTCCAGGTAAAGGCGACGACCAAGTTGAAGATCTGGATCATGTTTCCCATGATGGAGGTGTTGATGGTGGTTCCGTGAGTGGCGACACGCTCTGCGAGCAGCTTACCGGAATCGAAAGTGATAAAGGCGACCACGACCAAAGGCGCAGCCCACCACGGTGGCGGAGCGGACTCGTCCTTCTTCTGTTGTGATATAGATGGTTTGGAATGGAGCCGCTTGAGGCGTGAAAATACGATTTCTATGCAATAGTTTGGTAAGAAGAAAAATGACGCAGGTCATTGTGCGTCAATGGTGTGCTTGGTGCAGACCTTGCTAGAAAGGTGAAAGCATCTTTTTTAGAAAGCGCTGGTTTCACAGGAGCTGCGACACTTACTGGGAATCTCAAAAAGAGTAAGTAGTACGATAACTTCTCCAGCAGCCTTCTTGACTTCCTCAAGGGAGGCACCCTTGCCCTGTCCGGCGGACTTTCCTTGGGTCTCCTCAACTTGGATACCGTCCAAGCCGGCACCACCGGAGACGACGGAAAGGCGCTCGCCCTGCATCGCCGCCTTCAAGTCCTCCTCATCGAGCATTGGATTGCTGTAGCCGACGCCTGTTTAGATTGGAATAATCTGTCTAAATCCTTGCCCTACTCAAGTAAAAATTGGAAAATTCACGCACAATCTCTTTTCTAAAATGTTGAGTAGGAATTAAAATAATGTCTAAATTCTTGCACTACTCAAGTAAAAATTGGAAAATTCACGCACAATCTCTTTTCTAAAAAGTTGAGTAGGAATTGGAAAATTCACGCACAATCTCTTTTCTACAAACAAAGTATAGAAGTACCCTGGTTCTGAATCAAAGGGGCTTCCGGGTTCTCCGGATCCCGTCCAGCGCCAGCATGCATGGCGTCGAACTCGTCATCCGAGTCGTACTCAAATTGGTGAGAGTTTGGCATTTTGTTGGTTGCAAGTTGTCGCTAAATGAATCAAGTAAATGCGACTGCGTGAATTCTGATAATAATAAACGATCTCTTCTATTTTGAAATAGAGAGATTCCCTTCTTGCAGAGGTTGTAATTTAGATAAAAAATGGACGTTGCGTTGAGGTGATAATCAGATTGTTCGGATATGACTGAACTTTTGCAATTCTAAGAACTTCCTTAGAACGTCGTTGCGTTGTTACGAAAACCAGCTGATCGAAGCGGAGATCAGCGTGTTATCATTCCCTGTACAGATGAATGAGGAACAGTGTTGAGCTCCGTTGGACATTACGAATTTAGGAATAGACCAGGAAAAGGCTCTATTTAGATTTGGTGACCAGGTACTCTAATTTTGGGTTTCTGCCTCTCATTCAGAAAGGAACCACGAGAGCTAGAAATTATGAAATTTCTTAAAGGTGATCTAAATCTTCTGTGAGAGTGATTGACATAACCTTTCCGAGGCTAAGCGCGCGTAAAGGAAGAATACTAGATAACGGACATATAGCCATTCAAAAAAAGATCTCGAGCTTCATATGATCTTGCAATTCAAAGCTTCAACATTCATTTCAGATCCTTGATGAGGCAGATCTCTGTTGCCAGATCTTGATTTCGCCTCATGTGGATCATTTGAGAGAGAAATTGACAATGAATCTCACAACGCAACGCTGAAGACGCTTTACATTTTCGAAGGATCACGACAGTTGAGGAAAGATTGCATCGTGATGAGAAGATCTCCATGTAAAAGGAGGAATACGCTTTTCTGCGCGGGGATCAAAATGGACACAGGGATCTTTAGGATCTACTCTTGACGTATAGAAAAATCCATTTGAATGATGACCCTCAAAAATACATCATGCTTAGAGGCTATGATCGGAAACGGTCACTCACCTGCCGCGCAGTGACACGGCCACGCATCTCAGCCTACAAAACTTGACTTCGAAATGTCGTTGCTGAAATGATGATTGTGCTTTGAGGTGAAAACCTGAAGGCTAGGCAACTAAGCACAAGGAACCGAGAACGGAAGCTGTGTCTGCTGAAATGCAACAAATTGCAAAATTGACAAATTGCAAACACAGTCATCATTTCAGCAACACAAAAATCTCGTGTGTTGCTGAAATGATGACCTGGAGCACAACCTTGTCTCTTTCGCTTCTCTTTGGCCCCTAAACCCTATGATAGTGCGACCTCGTGTTCCGAAAATCAAACCGACTAACAATAAGGTAGTCCATATATCTCAGCAGGTTACGAATGCACGGTGAGCCATGTGAGGTCATTTCTTGGCTCTCGTCTACATCAACGCACTTCTCTCCCATTGTCAGCAGAATGATATATTATACACTAGCCAAAAACTCGCCCTGGGTCATAAAGTCTAAGTTCTGCGACTCTGGTAGTAGTAGTGGTTTACCCATTCGTTGGGTAACTTGAACAGACGGGAAGAGAGAGGGGGAAGGGGGGAAAGTTTCGAGATACTACTACGAACCCTATGGGTGGTTCTGTGAAGTAAGTTCTGTGAACAAACGAGCAAAGTGGTCGTCATTCGTCTTACACATTGTTATGTGATTGTCGAGTCTGATAGTAGAACTCCTCATGTCCTGATAAATCAGCATCATAATTTGCCTACTTACCAGTATTGTACAGGAAACCACTAGGCCCACAAAAAACTAACGGGACTAAATATGCTATCTACATTTCTACCTTATTTTGGCTTTCCAATATCATCTGATCTAATTTATCTACACAAATATCTGTCTACAGCAAGGTTTCGACGTTGCCCTGTAGTGGAGAGCTATTGTTAACGAAGAATACTGCAAACCACAAGATAGAATGCTCTTACCTTTTTTTGTTTGGAAGAGCGGCAATCGACGCCAGCCCTGCTTTCTTATAATAGAGCAGTTTATAAGGTTTCGCAGCTCGCATGGCATGGAGTGCATGGATCACATGGAGTAGCATGGAGCTAAATGGGGAGCTTCTTGCGCCCCGCCCTTAAAGCTCTGCGCTCCATGCACTCCATGCTACTCCATGCACCATGCGTGCTATGAACTACTCTGTTATAATCTAACCAATGCGAACAGTACTGGTTGCTAGTAGTTTTCCGGAATGGAGTTCTTGTCAACGAAAAATACATGCGTGATCTACCTACAACTCTAGTAAACACCCAGAGAGACACTCTTTCTACAGGTAGATGTGCTGCGGCGTCACTAGATCACATCTGTAACAATTGCACATAGGTCAACAGCTTCAATCTCACATTTTTTCCACATTCCTCGTTATAGAGCTATTCGTTCTTCTTTCTCCCCCCCAACGCGCTCATCATCCCTGCCATCATTCCTTTCCTCTTCTCCGGTTGCTCACCACTCGTAAGCGTCGTTTCAGTTCGGGAGGTCGCATCGTATACCAAATCTACAGCACTCGCCACTAATGTTAGAGCACCCTTGGCGCCTCTCGAATATCCCTAAGTAACTGCATCCTTGGCGCCTCCGTCTTTAAGGACAACGCCAACGGATGGCGCTGAGGTACTAGACTCAGGTAAGTAGTTGACGGAAAAAAAATTCAGGATGCTCTCTTGAGTGAGTGAATAAATGTAGCCTGTGGCCGCCTCCTTGCCGACTTCTACTTCTTCTTCCTTTGGTTGCCTTAATAATGGTTCGAGTTTTTGACGGATAGCTTGTGCCCGTGCCACTGACTCAGCTACTTTCTTCGCGGAGGTGCCAAGCCGCAAGAAATGGAGCTCCCTATTCTTAAAGTGCTGCTACAAATACAATGGTTGCAAAAGGCTTTTCTCGTTCTCTACAAAAGAGTGTTTCTCATTGTTTTCGAGAAAACTTTGTAGCAAAACTCTTTGTATCTATTAGAGAAACACAAAAGAGTTTGCTACGTTTTTGCAAAAAAAAGACGCAAAAAAGTGCGTAATAGGATCGAATAGTAGCAAACCAGACACTGTATTAGGGAAACACAAGAGAGTTTGCGAAACTCTCGTGCTGCTACAAATACAATTTCAATTTTGGATTTTTGTTTGCAAAAGACTTTTCATTTTCTCGCTCTAGATCAAGTTGGATGAGGTTGAGCTTGGCTCAATTATTTCCAGTTATACCTAAACTTCCTGAGGCTCTCAATTACTACCCTGATTACTACCCTGAGAATCTTAACCCTCTTTTTCTTTATATCAGTTTTTCTTCGAGCTAAATAATTTTCATAGTTGTGTAAGCCTGCTTTCATGATAAGATAGAAGTTAGCATTATATATACCCGAACCTTTTTCCCTATACATAGTACTCAGGTAACATACTCACACTACAGAGCGGGATCACGCTCACACTTTCTTAATGCCGGCAGCTTCGCTTAGACGCGGGTCGGTCGGATCCGGAAACGCGGTAAGAGGAAGGATTCGCAACTGGCTCCACGCATATGGACGGTAGGGAAACTTCGACTTCGTGTTTACAGCACCTGTGGGTACAAGTCAGTACTCTCGACTTCTTGTCCACCCAACCCCATACAACGACAACTTCAAAGAAAGCATGTAGTAGTAGTAGGAGTTTACCCATTCTTGGGGTAAGTAAAACTGTATTGCACAAGGGAGGAGGGGGAGATGGGTGGGTTATTGTCTTTCAAGAGCGTTTCACTGTCCCATATAAAATATTCGAACAATTCTCACTAGTGCCTGTGTGTAGAAGTCTTCAGTACATGTACATGCTTCGGCCAGAGCGGTCCCTATTCTACTTCCTCGGTCTTCCCTTCTACAACTTCTATAGGTTTTCTATAAAAATGTTCTACTCTAAATGTAAGTAAGATTCACCTCTTCTATTCCCGTCTGCTCTTGTGGCGTCGAGTGCAGTCTAGTACATGAATTATTATTACTATGCAGAGTCTAGTACATGAATGTTACTCGAGCCGAAGCCGTCTATGGATGCTACTACAAGAGAACACCAATAATGGTGCCGAAGCAGCGAATTAGGGTGTCTCAGTAGTCCCTTTCAGGCCACGAGTCATGTTTTGTGCATCGTGATGACGCCTCCTGGTGGGCGTTAGACTAGGTAGTGGATCCTGCACTAGTAGAAAGATAGTAAGTATGTGGATATACAACGTGATATGTTTTTGATGGAGATTGCTCTATCAATCGGAACCGACCGCAAGCACCCAAGTGAGCCATTATCGTATCTAAAAACTAGCACTACCTTGCGGAAAATTGTCGAGTCTCTTCGCGGCAGCCACAGCATTGAAATTATCTTCCGTCGAGTAGTGCGAGATCTCGCCATTGGCGAGCCTGGCTTGGTCAGCGGCGGAATTCTCGGCGATGTGTGTGCCATACCAGCCAGACAGAAGTATGAATGCAGTTCAGTGAAGACATATCTCTATAGATGTCGCATATCTAGTAAATAGTACTCAAGACTTAGTACCTCTATGGAGGTGATACACCCAGCGCGGGGTCTGTCTCTATCACATTAAGAAAGACAAACGTCTTCATTGGCAACTGAAAGAAGTCTTATTTTGTAGTACCTACTACAAAAAAATAGAGTAGGACTATCAAGAGGATAAGTGGTGTACTTCTAAATATACAGTCACTATAAATAATATCGTAGCACAAGAACAGCGCCCATAGCATAGTAGTTCTGAGCAGAAAAGATAGCTGGACTAGATACAGCGTGTCACTTATTCACTCATTCGAAACATGTAGCAGCTACGAGTAACTGCCTGGCTCCCGTGTGACCCGAATAGAGACAACATCCATAACATATGCGGTATCGAACCAGAGGTGCTTTTCATCTCGAGGAATCGCGACGACTTGTAACTCCCCGATAGACTCTCCAATAGGATCGCCGTCTTCATCAGTGGGGTTCACATCTTTCCGGAAGTCCTCAAATTAGAGCTCCTCTTCTGCCCAGAAAAGCGGCTCTAGGATCACATAATCTTAATCTTGCGTCTTTTTGAAAATCTAATAACGTGTTAAAGTAATGCTAAAGTTTAAAAATAACGTGCTAATAAGCGTGAGACAAGTGCCAGAAGGGTCAAGGCCCGTGAGTGAGGTTTGGTTGGGGAAAGGCGTGGGGAAAGGCTGAATAGAAGACCTACATGAGATGAGTCCTAGATGAGACGGAACTTCTCTAGGATAGGAGTTGGCTCTCCTATGAGGGGGTGAGCGTTCCAGGCCATGGAAGTGCCATAGTGGACTGAACTTTTCTAAACCGAAGCGTGCTCGATGAGATGAGTCCTAGATGAGATGAGTCCTAGATGAGACGGAACTTCTCTATCTCTACCTTAAGCAGCTAAATGTCGTGACAGTAGGCAGTACTAGGCGGCCTGTATGTTGAGATTGAGTGCCTTCGTGGGCCTTAATCAAAAACCGTGGACATTTCGGAATACCTCTTTTCGAGGTCCACCTCGCGCTCCTTCGACAGTGCACTTAGGCATTTCTCACCCGATTCTGAAATGAATGCATCTACTAAGGTTCTCCAACATGAAGGCACCATCTAAATCTATCGCGTAAGGTTCTACATATCGACCTCGAAGATTTACGAACTTTCATAAATAAAGGAATTGGTGAAGTTCTGGCACGCATGGGGGAAGACGTTCCTGGGGATCTTCATTATTTCTACACCCTCACAAAAAGCCCATAGAGAGCAGCCCCAAATCAGAGACATACCTAATCTTTTTACTGGAAGAAAGTAGAACTAGAAACTATCTTCACTCTAGTTGTAAGTATTACAGCGCTAATTTCTCTCACGACAGTGATCATGTCATCTTGATGTAGTCGGTCTGGCTTACTCAGTTATTCCTTTGTGCAGCATCTACAACTAAAGGAACAATTCAGAAGTCAACTATTCCTTTGAGTAGAAGCAAAAGCATCTAACGGAGCCACAACTGTCCGTCCCGTAGGATGGTCCCACATGTCGCAAGCTCTCTGGAGAAGGGAAGCAAACGTAGGCTTGATAACCAGGTTCCAGAGGTGGTCTTGGTTCAGAGCTCCAGTTCCACCGGTTCCAGAGAATGGATGTGGTTTTTCCCCCATTCAACAGGCCATCAAGGCTGCCTCTTTTCCTTTTTAACGAGAGTGAGTACTTCTAGTGTGTAACAGTGTGTAACGGTGTAGTACTTAATCGAGACTCGCGTTGCCTTGTATTACTCTCCTCATTTTTCTTCTTTTTCTAGCAGTGTAGGGAGCCTCGATCCCCTGAAAGATGGAAGAGACGACACCCATAAAAGGGCGAAAAACTGTGTGGCGGATTCCGCGTTTTAGAAGAACTCTCCAATGTGCATCCGTGCACTGCACCTTTCGAGTATTCATTCAAGTATTCGCAAAACTGAAATAAGCGAGTAGACTGGTGAGGAATAGTTCTTCATTTGAGATGCCATGATCTCTCTATCCTTTTTTAGTCCAGTCGGTCTAGTTCAAGAATTCATATTTACTTATATAATTTCCCTGTAGAATGCTTTACAGAGTAAATGGCTCGACGTCAACAAGCTTGTTGACGATGTTAGTCGATAAGCTTGTTGATGACGTCAACAAGCTTGCTAACATTACTGGATAGTCCGAAAAATAAAGATGCATTACTGAGAGCCTTAGCCAATTGCGCAGTCCTGTAGCGTGAGGCTTGCTGAGACAAAAGTTCGAGTCTCCATTGTCGACGTGGCAGGGGTCATCACGTCGCCTGCCGTTGCGGGCATTGCCTTCGCATCATCTCCCCTTAAGCCCTCACATATGAAGCTGCGAAAAATCACTTTTACTCATACATAGTAGGTACCGGTACTCACGGCAGAATTTAACATTGGACACGAACTATCAAATACAGATGGGAGGCTAGTTTAATTTACACTATGCTGAATATATAATTGGGTACAAAGTTACTAAGAAGTGGCTACTTAGATTCTTATTGAGCAGTAGGTAAAAATATCTCGTCTGAGTAACCATTCTCTTTTCATATGAGACCGACGCAACGTGTAGAACGCACTCAGTGCTGTGCTCACACTTGCATACCCGAAAGTTCGCTGATGCACATCTCGTTGCGCATCCCTGGTGTTCAGCTCATCTTCAGAAAGAAGGAGGTCAGCAAACTCCTTTGGATTTAGAGCTACCATGCTAGCGTCTCTGAGCGCATCCTTGGTCCCTTTTTCAAGGAGAAAAAGGGCAACCGATGACGCTGAGGATGCTTGAACGGTACCACCCTTAGTGGATAGGACAAGGTCTCAGTCTGTGAGTCTGCGGCAGCAGAACTTGGGATTCCGCCACTCCGTCTTTTGAGTACCTCACTAGCAGCTGTTTCGTCAATAGGAGTAATATTATTAGGGACAGAGACCCGTAATTTTTATCCGCGGCAGAGTCAATCTCTTAGGAGTCTCTTGATCATTACTGAGAGAAACCCACTCAGGATATCTGACGCCGGATCATGAAGTACTACAGCTACCGCCCTTAACAATAGTTGAAGAACTAGAAGTACTTAATCGAGACTCCTGTCGACTACTCTCCTCATTATTCTTTTCCTTATCCTCTCTTGCAGCAGTCGGATTCTCCTGTGCCAGCTTCTTTCTCATCGCATTGCTGAAGGCAACATTCAAAAGCGGCAAGAAGAAACCTGCGTCAAAGCTTGCAGAAATTAAAGACCAGCAGTCAGTGGCCACTGATTCTGAAAGAGAAGGGCCCCATGCCTCTCCCGCCTTTGTTTTCCCTTCATATTCCCCGGTTCCCCCACGGGAGCCCCTCCTCGATCTCAGTGACTAACCTCAATGAGGAATGAACGTTGAGCCTTAAAGAAAGCACAGCCGTGAGATAACCCCCTCGCTCGAGAAAACGCATAAGCATGTACGCCTGCGTCAGAGGGATGTTCCTGTGCTCATGATCATCCTCAAGCATGTAGTAAACGTCTCCTCGTGAACCATCGGCATTAGAGCTAACCTAAAGCTAAGTTGATGATAACTATCTTGTTGAGATACGTTTCCTGCTGCTTTCTATTTACCACCGCCGGAATTTACGTATCCGATGCAAGAGGAGCAGCAGACTGCCTATCTCTTTACCATCACTTGACTTATAATATACACTTCAAGAGGAAGTTATCGGGACGGCGTACGCCTCTGCCTTATAACTCGCTCTACCTTCTATTTCTATGGATACACTGCACGCGCAAATATATGTCGCAGGTGCATGCAAGTGAGGTGCACAGCTTTGCTATATCTTCCTCCGTAATTCTAGTGGTGCTCATGTAAAAGCATCTTTTGAGTTATATGTATATAATGATGACTCGAATCTATTCGGCAGCTTCCCTATTAAGACCACTTCCCTGTGGAGTTATATTGATATCATAACGAAATAAAGTAGTGCATTTGCATTCACTTCAATGCTGTCTTGCTGTCTCCAACACTTCCCACGAGATTTAATGCATTCTCTCAAGATCGATGTACTATCTCCAGGGGAAGCCCTAACTTTACCTGAGCATTCGGGATTCAGCTTCATCCACGGCTTAATCCACTTCTCCCAATGGTCGCCGTATTCTATCAGCTTTCGCAATTCTGCTTCTCCCTTATCGTGCAAGCCCTCAAGTTTCACGTCACTGTCGCCCTTCACAAGTGCTGGAAAGTAGGCCGAAGGGCAAACTTTCACCGCGTCGTCTTCAGCAGCAAGGACCAGCAGAGATTAGATGAAGTCCTATGAACTACCGCGCCGTCGGGAGGATAGAGACGGAAGAAAATAAACAACGACTAAGCTGTTCTTAATAAGCTTTGAAGCAGAAAGAACAGTGCAAAAATTCACGCTTTACATCTGCATCTACATCTACTCATCAGTGAGATAAAACAAGTGATGAGCTCTTGAAACATGCTACACCCCAAGAAATGTGTGTCGTTTGATATTTATTTTCTCTAGGTTATTATCGGATCATGGTCAATAAATGCAGCAGTTGTCCTAAATGTGTCTAAAAATTGATGGTTCATAATAACAACGAACTACAGGTCGACGCAACCTAACTGAGTACATCTAAAGTTCGAGGGAAATGTCATGTCATGATACATCCGCTCTTGTCCTGACAAACAAAATGAAAAGAACTACTCGTAGTTACATAGTAGCTCATAAAAAAGTGAATGGGCAACAAGAGTAGGATAACGCAGGAGTAGCAAGAACAGGAACAAATAGAGAAGAAGAAGGATCATCACCAAAAACCCAACAGAGTTACTTTATCATCACTAGACGTCTCTAACAGGCAGCGTTTCTCAACTTCTGTGAGCACGAGAACAATCAACAAAGGATTACTTATTGCCAAAGGAAGATTTACATACACCCAGCAGATCCTGACGCAGACTGATTCTTCTTTGCCCCTATGATCTGCCTCAGGAGTGGAAACGGAAGACTTCATAGTTTGAAAGCTGGCCCGTCTGCACCCAAGTTTTGAGGTTCGGAAGTAGGTTGGCATCAGCGTGTTCCACACCCGCGCACTTCGACGCGTCAGGGACTGCTACAACTGCGACCGCATGACTTAGAGCATGACTCATCTCTTCATCTTAGTCTAAGATTGTCAAGGGGATGAAGCCAGGACTCACTTGTACTTAAAACTGTAGCAGAGCTGGATTAAAACCACTCACAGAACCACGCGAAGCTCTTCTCGAGTAATACTTCTAGGGGAGTACAACTTTCCGGGGATGCAACGCAAGATGAATTATCTCTAGCCATATCTTCTTTCTATCCCCCTTAGGCACACCAGTGTTCGCGGATTCCCTGTCCTGCGATGCTGCTTTTGGTGCGCTTCCCTGTCCTGGCTCCCCTACTTCCGTAGCCTTCGTCTCACGTCCCTGTCCTGGTTGATCCTGGGCTACTTCCGTAGTCTTCGGCTGTTCTGGCTGAGCCTGAGCTACTTCATCTCCTTTTTTAGGCGCAACAGTGTCTGCGGCTTTGGATTCACTGTCCTGCGGTGCTGTATCTGGGATTTTCTGGGCTTCCTCGCCTCCACTTCCTCCGCACGATGCAGACTGACAAAACGACTCCCCACTGCTACTAGTCTCGTCGACCGTCGAAGTGACGTGCGCAACATTAGAGCTACCACAGTATGCCTAATTGTCGTGCATCTCTTTCTTCTCTCCCTTTTTTCCTTCTTTGCATTTTTTCTCATGCCTCCGCGTCAGATCTAGGGTGCTGACATGCATTCGCTTTTGTGGCCTTAGAAAAATGGCTGCTCATCCAGTTTTCGAGTTGTTGCCGCACCGCGTCATACTGCACCCTATCAAAGATACCACTTCCCTCTTCGTCACTCTTCTGCTGACCCTCCTCGTCACTCTTCTGCTGCTTCATCTCACCCATTTGAAGGCCTCGCATCACTGCCGCTGATGTTAGAAGAGGATTGAATAAAAACTACTAAGTACTTGGTCTTGAAGACAAGGCGTTCTAGAAGACGTTATCATTGCCACCTTTTTCGCACTCCTGGTGTAGGATTAAATATGTAGGAAAGGGGTATGAAGAAAAACAGGGTATCCCTTGTTAGAGGTTGAAGCATTTCAATCTGAGATAGCGATGCTAAGGAAGAAAAGCACGTAGAAACGAAATGCTTCAACCCTTACCTTGGTTGCGGCTATCCTTTGGTTGTGAGCCTCGCTTGCTTGATTGAAAGTACATTTACGGCCGGGCATAGTACATTTACGGTCTTGCTTGCTCGGGTATAGTACATTTACGGTCGTCTTAACGCTGCTACCCTCTGCACATTCTTCATCAGGGAAGATAAGTAGTTGCTTCGACCACGAAGTGACGGCGTTCCTGGAGACTGCTGCGCGAAGGCGATAAGGTTCGCCTTTGAATTAGAATCTAATTATATCGGTGGAGCACACCTAACTAGCAAGCAATTAGAATCTAAAAATTATTAGATGCAGTATTTCTTCGAGAATGCTTTAGTAATCATTTCCCTTGCTTGAGGCACACAGACCTAATATCCTTTAGTAATCATTTCGGGCTTGGGACGTACCGCTATGCATTAATGCCAATCATTTCCTACTTGGGATATCGAGCTATTATCCCGCTCGAAAATAAGCGTCCTCGTCACTGTGGTCGTTTGGTATAGAGGAGGACATAGAAATAGTTACGAACATCATAATCTTCTATCTTGAAGACCACCACAAGAGCTGACGTAGTAATTGTGAGTAGCTAGTGGTTGTAGTTGTACGTTGGAACCGAGACACTTGCCTCGTCCACTTTTTATACAGCTTTGCTGTTGTATTTTCAATCATGAAACTTGTCAGTACAATTACCTAGTCATCGCAGCTACAAGAAGCGAGCATAAGCATTACGGCGTCCAGGTTGTCGTCTTCGTCGCCACTGCAAAGATAGAGCCACAGAATCATGAGCGACGCTAGAAGAATGAAGCCGAGCAGCACTTTTGTTAACGGAGGTAACTGAACCAACCAAGTATTCCACGTGCCAAAAAAGCTCCATATCCCAAGGAAAAAGGCGGAAAAAAATCCTCTTCTGACGGGCTCCGGTCTCAAGTTCAAACCATGGTAGTGTTGGTTAGAGTTCTCTCCTATTGAAAAAATCGATTTTGATCAATTAAGAGCAATCCTTATCCCACGTAGAATGTCATGTGAGTGCAATTGATATGGGCGTTCGTGACCACCGTAGAATGTCAACCCAACAAGAATATCACACTTATTGAAGTTGAAGGGTGTCGACTTAGTCAGAGATCGTTTCAAGTCCGGTCCTGCTTCAGCTTCACCAAGACGATATCAAGATAAGGAAACTGCATAAAGTCTAATTCTAATCTTCATCATGCATTCAACATATCTTTGAAGTCTTCGGCTGATCCTCCCGAGTAGTTCTGCAATTCCAGAAGTTGTTCATCTTGTTCGTACTTGCCCGTAGCTGTAGCGATTCTACTGCTGCTGGAAGCAGCGACAGCATCGTAGTTTGCATGCGTGTCGTCCTCAGCTGCTTAGACAGGATACTGGCATGTGAGTGTGACTGGGATCATTCGATGGATTTCACAATTTGAACTTATTTTCTGGAGATACTAATCATGATGTACTTCCACTTCAGCATCTGGTAAGAGACGTTCTATCAAAGAGACATGTATCAAATTATGACAGCGGTAAACCAACCCTTAATGGTTCTGAAGCATCGCACTGCATTCGTCTACAACTCCGATGTCATGACCTCCAGGCATCTTCACTGCGGAAGACGTATCGCGTGCCACCCCCGTCTTGCGCGGACGTGCTGCACGACCTCTATCATGGTCATCCGCACGCCCTCTATTTCCGGGCAGAATCGTCGAGGACATGATAATTGATGTTCTTGGTCTATCTTAGGAAAAGGAAAAGCACGTCGGGACTTCTGGTACTAGGTTTAGATTATATCTTCAACAAGCAGTAGACCACATCTTAGTACGTTTATCATTTGTAAAAAGACAGGAGGATCATAACGAGAAAGAGAACTTCATGATCTCCTCGCGCTCTTAGTCTTCATGAAGCTCTTGCACTCATGTCATATGATGTCACCACCTTCCCACTCACCACAGAGACCACATCATCTGGACACATTGATCAAGACTCATGCCGGTGGTCGTCCAGAAGCGCCTTGCATGTGGTCCAAAATCATGCGTCTTGCAAGTTCTTTTGCGTTGTAGTTGTGTCTGTCACTAAGTACTTGTGCCTGATTTCGAAACAGCCTTGTGGTGGTCGCTGCCTATAGTACAGTTGAAGGCCCCCAAGAAGTTTTTCCATCATTGTGACGCCTCTTTAGTAGTTTTTCCCAACTACCTACTCGAGACGAACGAAACACAAACATAAGTATCTAGTATTTGATAGCGAGAGAGGTTGCAAGATAACGCAAAGCAATGGGATAAAACTCTTATCGACCGCCTTGTCTTCAAGCAATATCCATTTCCATTTGTTCTTCTTGGTCTTTGTACCCCGAATGGTCTTTGTTCCCAATTAGCTTCAGGCTGTATTGACTCGTCGTCCTCCGCCTCTATAGCCTAGAAGGATGTGACTCCAGATTCGTTCTCACGAGTTGTAGTTCTCTATTTTTGGTTTCCACCTCAGCCCGAAGCGAGCGTATCAAGTTACCCTGCTGCAGCATCAAGTCGCGAATCCGAGTCTGTAAGGAAAACTTAGAAGATGCTAGACGCGTCCTTACCAGCTAACGATGAGGAGGAGTCTGCAGGCATTCTTGATGAATCCTAAGGTCCTACGTACTTTTGACTCATCAATTCGATGTTCGGGTTCATTATCAAAAGGAATTATCAAAAGGTGTCTGTTTCCATAAAAAAGTCTGCTTCGGAGACTCCAGGGATGTTGCCACTTGAGCTTTCTCCGTTGTTGTAGCCCTTAGAAGGGTGAGTCCTTCAGAATGGCCGCGTAAGTCATAGGTGATCATGATCGTAATGTGATCTTTAATTATGACGTTTGTAGAATTAGGCAAACAATCACCCTTGTAGTAGGTTCACTGTGTATGTAGGTGTCGAAGCTGGTCCAGGGAAGTCAAGTTTGAAGCAAGCATAGTGTTGTTAAAAGAAAAAGATTCCATGATGTGAGGAGCCTTAACAATAGTGTTGTTTTGGATTGTCCAATCCGCCGACTTACTTCGCAGTTTCGAACTCACCACTTCTACAACTGCAAATCGCCTGCCATGGTACTCGTGTGTCGAATGACGTATCCCTTGTCCTTTTCCACAGGAATGAGATGCTCCAGATGTTCGGTCTAGTTGTAGATCCTTGTCATCTACTTAGTGGCGTAGGACATCCATCCAAGGAATCACCTGGGTCGTTTTTTCTTCTTGTTTTCTCATTCCAGATGACTTTCGGGATGGATTTCCTACACCCTTAATCATCCTTGTCTGTGAAGCCACCGGGACCAGCACGACTAGATGGATGCTTGCAGCTCGTCTCCATTTCATGAAGATAGGCCCCACAGAAAGATCTTCTTTCTATTTCCTCTTTCCTGGAAAGGATCTCCTCAGCTATGGCGGTCGAAGATGGCGACTCCATGTCCACATCATAATTGTTGTGTGCGTTGTCGAGAGAGGAAGTTGGTGCATTCGTCTCGTGTGATGACACTGGTCTCCTACTGCTAGAAGAAGCCGCCGTACATCTAGGCAGGTGGTCAGCTTTGTCGCATTCACATCCCAGATCGCCACGAATGTCGTCTTCGTGGATCCTCAAATAATCAGTCGTTTTTGACCAGCTGTCCCCCACATGATCAACTACAGTAGTACTTTGGCCGTCTATCATTGATTTGCACGACTTGGTTCCATCTTCACAACTACTAAACGTCTTCTTATTCTCCTGGTATCCTCCTGGTACCTCGAGCATGTTGAGGGAACTCGTGTGCTCCTTTGATTCTTGAATATGTTCGTCACAAGCCTGCTCGATAGTTGTAGTTTGCTCCTCAGCTTGCGTTTCCTCCTCTGAACAAGGCTCCGTACCTTCAACTTGCATCTTATCTTCACCAACCAGATTTGACATTCTGCGTTTATTAGAGCTTGTTGTTCGCAGGAAGATGAGTATCTGACAATATATTTATAAGTACCTCTCCCCTGAAGAGAAAGAACTTGTGGATATCAACGAGCTTAAATTTCAGTGCGAAGGCCTTTCTAGCTCTAAGTAGGTGCGGTCCCCTCTTCGGTCGAACGTGGTGTAGTAGTAGTAGTAGTAGGGTACTACCCATTCGTGGGGTATAGAAGACGGTCTGATTACAGGAACTTGTGGATTTCCACGACCTTAAATTTCAGCTTTCGGACAAGTCCGACCAACTTTTCTTTCTCTTCCTTAAGCGCGTCCTTTTCCAATTCGAGTTGACGTCGCTCAGCCAGGTAGCGCTTGAATTAGAAAGATCAGCATTCCGTTCTCAACAATATGATAGGCGCCCCCGCGAAGAAGCTACTTACTTGTGCAACATTTCTTTCTACATCTTAGGATAGGATACTACATCTACTTAGGATAGGATACCACATCTTAGGATAGGATAGGATCGGATACTACATCTTAGGATAGGCATAGGATAGGATGCCTCGGCTTCGTCGCCATCTACACTACACTGACTCACTACTAATTTGCTGTGCATTTAGCCTATTGACATTGAGTCTTGGTCTGGCTAACTAGTTATCTACACCGAACGGTTCGTAATCTTCTATTCTGCTCCTTTCGTGTAGTTCTCGATGAAACCGTTCGAGCAGTTTCGCCGAGCTTGCTTCCATCTTTTCAGCATATTCACGCTGAAAACAGCGCTTTGCAACTTGAAATTAGACTAGACTCTTCTTTTCGATTATAATGAAGTACATTCCTATATTTAGAGTTGAACAATACTTCATGAGTAGATACCTGGTGCTCGTACTGGTCTATCTACTTCATGAGTAGATACCTGGTGCTCGTACTGGTCTATCAAATTTAATATAAATGGAAGCCCCAATGTTGTATCCACATCCACAGCATCCTCGATGAAGTTTCAAAACAGCCATAATCCAAGTCTTGCTTGTACTACACGTTTCAAAACAGCCATAATCCAAATCTTGCTGGTACTGCTCTGTTCGGACCTGCTGTAAACGACTGATCTCATTGTCCTTTGAGGCTATCAATTGATCCCTCTCGGCGCGGCCTGTCTGAAGTTGAACTCGCAACTGGTCTTTTGCCTGGCGCTCTTCGGTCAGGAGTGACTTTCCCTTAGAGAAAGGCAGGGTCTTCGTCTTTTTACCATATTATGGCATGATAGTTACGGTTGCATAAGTAGAACCCTGAAGATGAAAGGATAATGGAGCCCTTGTTTTTTGTCTTCTGATAGACACTTATTTACGCTTCTATCTCTGAAAGATAAACATACATCAGAGCCGTGAGTGACGTTAACAATGATGGAAAAGAGAAAGCCTCCATTCTTAAGTATTCGCTGAATCTCTTGTTCTCGTACTCTATCAGCTTCACGATGCTCGTGCTCCAATTTTGCGGTAATGGTCGCATTGGCTTCCTCCACTTTTTTGGCAGTTTCCTCTGCCTGTCGTTTCTTCGACTCCACTTCTCTGTGCCGCCAAACCGCCTCACGCTCTTCAGCCTGCGCTGCAAAGTTAAAAATGCTCTTACTGTCGAGCTTATCCGGAGAGGCCAAGATACAGAGGAGCAGAGCTACTGCTTTGAGAACGAAGTTTTACTCTCAACGGCGCTACTGCAATTACAATCAATTATATCAACCAACAGAGAGTTGAGAAGTGTTCAATCAACATGAGAGAGTATTTACATACTTCTCACATCATAACAAAATCGCCGCGTTCACCTTTACTAGCTAGTTAGCTAAGGCACAACAAATTATTCACGTCATCATATCTTAGCTACTTGTTCTAAGGCACAACAAATTATTCACGTCATCAAATATCATAACAAAAGCGCTTTCGACCTTCGCTAGTGCAGCCGCATAGCTCTGCCGTAGTTCCTGCTCCAGAGCCGATGTCCGCACTCTCTCCGCATCTAGCCGTAGACATGCGCGAGCCTGCTCTAGCTCCGCATCCAAGCGTGTCTGGAGAGCCGAAATATCCTCTTCTTCATGTGGTGGTGATGAAGCAGCCACACTAGAAGATGAAGTCGACCTCGACGTCGTTGTACCTTCTACAAATAAAGGTGTTCTCGTCGAAGAAGTACGACGTGGAGGTGTAGTTGTGTCTACAAAAGGTGAAAACGTTGAGGAGGATGAAGAGGCAGAAAAACCGGTAAGAGGAGCTCCACTGCTACAACTAGAACCACATCCACCTGCACCACTCTTGGAACCGATGTTGCTACCTCCACCAGTACCAAAAGACGAGGTTGTTGTATCTTTCGGGATGCCAAAAAGAATCCTGTTTCGCCGTTGTGCGCTCGCCGGCCTCCGAGGTAGTGCAGTAAACGCGGGTGTCGGAGGGAGAGAGCTGCTGATTGTTCCGATATGCGCTTCCTCCATTGCTCTACCAACACCAATGGAAGAAGCGGATAGTGGAACAGTGGTCGGGGCAAGCGCCCCTCGACTCTCTGCTCTGCTGCGCGGTCTAGAAGATGGTGCCATTATGACGTGAGTGCTACTGCTAACCTGCGTCTAACATCTAACGTACCGTATGTAAAAGCCGCTTTCACGAGCACTACATAGGACTGCGGAACCGACCTCTCACATTTTGCTCCATCAACAGAAATTCCTTTGACACTACTTCTTGCTCTGCTAAAATTCGTTTTCCGATTTTTCTATTGAATTTTGCAATTTTTTGAAGCTCCTACTTCTTGGAACCAGTCAGGCCTCTTTGAAGAAATGGGGTCTCTCGTCGGGATCTCTCCTCTTTTCATCTATTCTTTGACAACTTTATTTGTCCTGGTTTGACACGCAAAACTCTTCTACAACAAGGTCACTGATTCAGTCACGCCCCTAGCAAGCCCTAGAAGGATCCTCATACGACCGCAGCGCGTTAGCGTCTGCCGCAACCGCTCGGTAGTAATTTCTTTGGTAAAGCAGCTCCTAGAAGAAATCAGATTATCAGTTTTAGTAACAAGTCTGGGTACTGTCTTTGGAAATATTTCGTTGAACGCGCTGACTGCCATCCATAAAGAGGATCAGGATAGTTAATCTTATCTTAATCATAAAATGTAGTTGTAGTAAGTCTAAAGACGTGAAGATATTCAAAAATTCTCCCAGCAACGTTCGATGTTGATAAGGAGCTTTCTCAACAACAATTTTGTAAAGAGTTATTGGTGTAAAAATGGTATTGTGATACATCTTCAAGGCGGGGGCTAGAAGATCAAGATATAAGGATAAAGAAACGGCTTACATGAAACGTCGAGGATAAGAAAGTACAGATACTTTCTCACCACATTTAACTCTCATACTCATCGGGTTTGGGTTGAAACAGAAACACTACAATACGAAAACACATAAATATCAGGTGGCATTGCACGAAGCTGGAGCTCGTGTCCAATGATGTGTCTACTCATTATTGTAGTGAGTCGTTTCCGTTCCTATAGGATTCGCAAACCCAACAAGGATTGATTGATTATACACGGGGGCATCGGCTGGTGTCCTGTTCACGATTGATGCGGACACGTGCTGCTATGTCAACCTCCCCATTCGGCGGCAACTCAGTCTATCATGCAATGCTTACGAGGAAATCAAATACCTTAGTGGGCAGCATGCAGTGACGAGGAGCTGAGGAGTCACACCAATGAATCATAGACTGTTACTTCTCAGCGATGTTGCACGACCGCTTCCAAGTAAGTTTTTCTCATGATGCGAAAGACCTTGCGTCATCTGGTGCCACGAGGTTGCTAAGCAGGTAAGTCAATCTGATGTTCGACATCGCTAAGAAAGCAAGTAAGTCTAAGTCAATATCTCGTTCCTTCAGTGAAGGTGGTGGGTGGGTAAGAAGTATAATGCATTTTCAAAAACATCAACGGGTGGTGTCAAAATTATCTACCTTTATGCAACCGCGGAGAACGGTAACGGGTCTAAAACTAAATAACGATAAGATGAAAAAGCATAACAACATAAGACCACTTCGGATTGAAATTTTTCATGAAACAAACACTTGCAATTCATTCATTCACTGTAGGGTTTCCTGCAAGTAGACCAGATCGATGTAAAACTAGTATCAACATTGTACACGTAGTATCATCGAATCGAACTATCTATGGCAACAAAATTTTCAAGATGAAGACTCATTATATTTTGGAGGTGGTCTTCTACCCAATAACTAAGTACGAAAAAGAAATAACAGGACCGGCTTCGTCGTTTAATACTATAAGAAAGATCATTATATCTACTAGCACCAACAACAACTAAGAATAACAAAGAAACAATCACCACCATCCTCGTTTTTCTCATAATATGGTCCTCGAGAAAGAGCAACAACATGAAATTTTTTCATGTCCCCGGATGAATTGTTCATCCATTCTATTTCAGTGCGTCCCCGTTGACTATGCGCAGCTCTGCGACAGAACAAGTCGATGTGTGCAGATGAGATTCCACGTGTTCCCTCCTACCCACTATAAATCAAGAAAAGTACGATTCCCAATGTGCCGTGACTAGCGGTACACGCAACAAAGAATGTGTACCGTCTGAAGTCGACGTGGTCAAAAGAAAACTATGAGGCGCTCACGCGGCCTCGGAAACTATGATGCGCACACAAAGCAATTTTCCCCAATGAGAGATCGACTCGAAGACTGAACATGACCAAGACCTTTTTGGAAGAAGCTCTATTTTATTTGAATGGGAAATACCTCTACCAGCATATTCTGTTTCATTATATGTAACACTAGACCTCCAATAGGATAAAAAGGGATGCCTCACAGAGAGCGCAGATAATTTGCCCTCGGACATTTTCACCTGCTTCAGCTACCCCTCCCCGGTGAAACAAGAAATTTGAAATATTTTTGCCGACGTTATTTCTCAGCTGCTAGTGGTAGATGAAGGTCCAAGTCGTAGGCACTACTTACTACTATTTTTAGTATAAAAACGCTTCTCTTCAATTCTCCGTGGTCAGTTGCCTATCTTCTATGTATCTGTAAACGGAAACAACATCATGTGAGACTATGGATGGGCGATCCCCATCACGTGCGTCGTTTTCATTTCAGAAATTGATTCACGGTACTAACTTTGAGGCCGACCGTAACTACTTATGCTTTTGCCTTATGCCTACCAAGATTTCCATTGAGGTCAAGAATGCCTCGATTTCTGTCAAGGTAAAGCATATACCTTGCCACGGAACTGCAAAGAACATAAACGTTGATAATTTTCCCTACAACCCTAAATATGACTATTCTTTTTGCGTCTCTAGTACGTGTACTTCGCCGTGTACTTAAACCACTGGCGCTCAAACAGCAAGAACACCTTCCCTTTTGTCGTGTGCTCATTACCTAGTACCTTCTCCTGTACTCTACTGTACGTCTAATCGAGAACATAAATCTTTCTACAAGTTCGCTTTTTTCCCCAGCATCGTGTTTTTAAAAAGTTGTACTTATCGAGACCAACGACGTTTGCTTTGGTGGCGGCGTTTGCTTCGTCTCCATCAAGTTGCATGGACAACAGCCGTACTGAAGGTTCCAACACGGCGTGCACCAAGCTCGAAAGCAGCGACCGCAACGATTTTTCGTCACAGTAGACGTCGGCGCTTCATTTTTAGTCTTGATGACACCATTTTTTTGCGTGCTGAGACCACTTTGTTGCGTATCATCCTCGAATGAACTTCCACCGCCAACAACCGAACTACAATTAGATGTCACCCTAATCCGTCCTGAAGCCCATCCCGAGACCGCTCCCCCCTTGAAAACGTCTCGTCTGAGATGCTTCTTCACAAAGAAAATGGACGATTAGGGTGAGCCTTAATACAATCGGCAAACTCGCGTCCGTCATCCTTATTTGGGGCACTGCTGCAATCAACGAATTCGCGTCCGTCATCCTTCTCAGGATACACTTCTTCCTGAGGCATCGCAGAAGTACCACCTCCACAGCATTTGCTGCAGAGTCCGCAGGCGTAACAGTGCGAAATCCCCTTTTTAGTAGCACAGAGAACGCACAGAGTTTGGTTGCAACTGTCGCAAGTGCCAGAGACCCAACTACGTCCTGCACAGCGTTCGCAACGACAACAACCACAGTCATCGCACGTGAGAAAGTTACTAGAGTTGCTATAATGTTGATGGTGCAGTTGTTCTAGCACTTCTGAAGATGCTTTTAGGTCAGAAGAATAGGATTTCATATCGTCGTTCGACAGCACGGGAGGAAAGTCTGACTGTCCAGAGTCAGCGGTGGTGATCTGCTCTTGTGCCTCAATCTGCAACGAGTCACCTTCGAGAGTGAAAGTTGTAGTCGTGAAGGTGCGCATTCGTTTCGGTGTAATATGAGTACAACTACTAGTTCTTGGGTTTGTTTTAGCATTCGCATGATTTTCAGTTAGATTTGCTCCTTTTGTTTCCTGCTTTGTTAAGTTACCGTTACGACCATTAGTAGCACAACTCGCGTTGTTTTCTGATTGCGGAGAAGTAGTTTCCCTGGCGAGGCATACTTCGCACATTCGCTCTGGCTGCATCGTACTTCCGGTACAGTCTACAGCCTTGCGCGCAGCTCCTGTTAATAGCAGAGCGGAGTAGGTGCGAGACTTCTGACGCGGCTTGAAGAGTTGTCGACCAGGAGTTGAAGTTGTGTTGAAGTTCACGTTCTCGTCAACGTTGAAGTGAGGACTTCCAACAAGGGGCTTCCTCAACACATTACCGGTGGAACACGAAAAAGATGCACGCGAACGTACGCCATGTTGACGTGATGGCGCACTGCTCCCTAACAACGTATTCGTATTGGTGTTGGTGGTGCCCATTGCTAAAGAAGTGTCTGCAGGTCCGAAATTAATGCTAGAGGAGCGCTTGCTGGGATGATAGCTAAAACTCTGGGTTTTGTGACGCCTGGTACTAGAAGTTGCATTTAGAAGGTCGCTTAATGTAGCTGCTTTCCCTGCTTGTGCTTGGTCAACATCCTTGTTTGGTGCTGGAGGCTCCTCTTCGGAAGAGGGGAAAGCGTCGCAACCCTCGTCATCTTCTCCTATCGTTTCGTCAATTTGATATACGTGATTCAGACCTGGTGATCCTTGTCGTGGTCCGTTGTTTCCTTGTGGTCCGCTGTTTACTACTTGGAGGTCACTAGTAGTAGTTGCAGTAGTACCTTTCGCAGAAGAAGTGGTATTTAGTTTACTAGTTGTGACTTCATCTATTGATGTTAAGGTACAACTACTATTATTTCCACCAGATGAGGTGATAGGCTCTACTGCTACAACCTCGAGCAGCTCCTTTTGTTCAACATTGGAGGAAATTGTTCTTGTAGTTCCAGTCGTCTCTCTTTGGACTACAAGTTCTTGTTCTTTGTTATGTTTGAAGGTCCCATTAGAAGAGGTCACATGTCCTCTAGTATAAGTATTTTGACGAAAGCAGATGGTACTACCACTGGTCGTTTTTATCGTTGCACTTGTTCCAGACGCAGTCTTAAAAAGGGCTGGTGGTTCACGTTGAGAAGATGCTAGCTTCTCTTGTCCTTTTTGCTGTGGAGCAGTTGTATTATTGGGTAGTACAGCAGCACTATTCTTTTTGTCCACCTCGTTCGAGTTGGTTCCTTGTACACCCTCCAATGCCGGTAGAAAAGACAATCGATCGGCCAATTCGAGAGTGACAATTGCGCTACAGGGTGAAGACAGAATCGACTGTCCTGGACTGGCATCGGGGCCCCAGGAACATTGGACTGTTTCATCATCCGAATCGCAAATAAAACCAGGACTACTGGAATCGCGCGTAACTTGAGGACCTTCCAGAGAGATTGCACCTTCCATTGGAGGCAACGGCACATTATTGAGACGCATGTTCAGGTTGCTCAAAGGTGTTGTAGATGTGCTGATGCGCAAGCACTGTTGTTGTAGCTGTAGCTCCTGTTGCTGTTGTTGTAGCTGTAGCTCCTGTTGTCTTGAAGATGAAAGTGCAAGTGGGTTATTTGAGGGACTGGAGAATCTTCCAACATCACTTGGTGGAGCTAGAGAAGATGCAAGGTTCAAGGTGTTGCTCGCAACACTATTCATCCTCCCTTTAACAATACTGTAATCTTCATGCAATCGTGGAGTCGGCGTGGTACAAGACAGAAGCTGATGTATTGGTTCTGCAATGTCAAGGCCAGGCGGAACCGAGAGCTGTGTAAGTTGGCTGTCGTAGATGCTTCTCGTCATGTGATTCATCCCTGAACCGTTATGTAAGGACAGACGAGCGGGTTGTCCCCCACTTAGGCGATCTGTCATAGCAGCATTAGATTGTGGTCCGCCCACACCAGGTTGAAGTGACTGTTGTCCACGCGGCATTTCCTGTAGCCCCATGACCATGCTTCTGTCAATCTGTAGAGGTGTCGTAGGCGGAGGTGGAGGTGGAGGGGGTGCTGGTGCTCCTCCCAAGCCCATAGGAATACGATTAGCTGCCGCTGGTGCACAACTAGTAGGATCGTGAGCACGTTGCCTGCTTCTCCTCGTCCATTGTTCGTCATCTAGCTCCTGAGACCACGACGTGATTTTTACATCATGATTCGTCGGACTGAATTGTCCCCCCGCGGAAGCACCTTCCGCGATTGTCGGCATCTCTGGGAGGAGCAAGGGACCGTCGCCAGCTACACCAGGCGCACTCGTTCCTGCGAAAAGAGCTGTCGCATTTGGCGGCCGAAGGTCGAAGAGCTCCTCATTCGAAAAGCGTGTCGCAGGTAAACTCTCCCTGCGAGTAGTTCGGGAAACGGGCGTGGACGTTCCCGCAGTAGCGAAGCCTAGGTTGATGTTTTGTGGAAGATAATGTTAATACGTGTTGCAGGACTCATCTGACCACCGCGAATGACGGATCTTACTGAGCCATATTAACTCCGCATCTCATCTGTCCTGACCTCTCATTATAATATATAAAGCGCATAAACAATCAACATTCAAGTACCCAAAGTGGAAGCCCTTTTGAAATTAGGATCGACATCGATGTAGTTGGTGGTGGTTGCACTGAATTCGGTCGTATGGTGTCTGGGGCGCTTGTTTCGCGACTGCCTCCAGCCATCGAGTCCAGGAGGAGGCGGCACTGGGCCACGAGGTGGCTGCTCAGCTCCAGCAGGAAGTGAGTGTGCACCAGGAGGAAGTGAGTTGTGTGTCTGGCCTGGAAGGGTTGGGCCTCCTTGAAATTGGGGCGGCATCTCGATGAGTTGTCCTCTTGATGTGAGACCCTTCGGGGTCGGTGGAGAAATTCCTGGAGGAGGCATTGGAGCACCTTGTTGTGGCAACGGAACACCTTGTTGTGGCATTGGAACACCCTGTTGTGGCATTGGAAGACCCTGTTGTGGGATTGGGACACCACTTCCCGGACCCATCGGCACACCATTTCCCGGAGTTGGCATCTGATGACCACCTCCTCCGCCTCCATGTACCGAAGGCGCACCAAAGCATTGAGGATGATACTGCATCGAGGAATGAGGTGGCGGAGTTTGCGGCATTGCGGTAGTCGGCATAGCGGTAGTCGGCATAGTGGTAGTCGGTTTCACAGCCTGCGGAAGAGGTAGTGGAGGCGGCACTTGAGCCACTTGGTCTGGTGCAGAGGATGGTCCTCCAAATGCATGAGGATGAGTAAGTCCAGAAGTAGGTGCATAAGCATACGCCACAGGCGGTGCGAAATCGCAGAAAGCACCAGGATGAAGACTGGGAAAGTTAGAGGAGAAGATTGTTGTAACGTGGAGATAACTTACAGTCATTGATTCATTTTAGAAACGTGGTGAAGAACAGTTCGTATCATCGAAAGAGGTGCCTGATGAAGCCTTTGCGAAGCTGTTCGATCCCTCGTCAGATTCTTAGAGATGATTATATGCTTGAGCAGAAGCTGTACAAGAACATAATCATGAGATAGTGCATTATTCATGCTAGTGAATCATTACAGTTTCAACGACGTATCTATGCTTGTAGCAAGAACTACGTTGTAGCAAGAACTGCGACTGAGCCGTCCTTAATATTGGTATTCCGCATGAAGCTGTTGCTTCGACTGTGGGGGCTCTGCATCATCGAGGCACTCCTGATGCTTGTAGGCACTCCTGGTAGTCCTGGTGGCATTGTATAGTTGTTCAATTGTTGTATCGTTCCAGCACCAAGAGTGCTGATACCATGATTCGTATTTGCAAGTTGCACAAGATCAACTACACCAGAAGTGTTAGTGTTACCACCAGCAACGGGTGGTCCAGGAGGTAGCAATGTCGCATTTCTTGGCGTTACAGAAGAGGTTCCGTCTTGCTTCATCGAGTTGGGCGTGGTCGTCGCGAGAGGAACCGCTGCTCCACTGGTCCGCGGACCTCCCGGAAAAGCAAGGCTGGCTCCGGGAGTTTGTGTTCTATTAAACAACATATCTGCCGAAGCAGCGAATTCCTGTGCCGAGACACTGTTGCTAAATAATCCCTTTTCTAACCTGCCGACAGTATTTTCCCCCTGTTCCAAGGTTACAGGACTGGCAAAACAAGTGTTAGTCTTGGACTTCAGGATGCTTCTTTGCTCCTTGATGAGGAACTCCAACGCCCGATGCATTTCGACCAGAGTGGTTGCCTCTAGCGTATTGTTCATACACTTGAATTTGCCGGGAACACAGGGCTCCTCGACCAGCAGCTCACCCGGGGATTAGAAGTAGGAGGATGCTTGTGCTGGTTGCAAGAGCTCTATTTCACTTCCTAGAAAATATGTCATTTTTATCTTCGTAATTGGCTACGTATAGCGTGGATTACTCGCGTCATACTAGCCGCGTACTTTTCAATAAATCTGAACAGTCAATGCGTCACGAGCGAGTCCAATCTTGATTGATTGATTGATTGATGTGCCTGGCAAGAGGTCTCCTGTTTTGATGAAGGATTTTGTTATGCTGAAAAAAATGCAATCATATGCCCATAATTATGTCGACCGTGTGGCCAGCGACGACGTGTGTTCGGCAGACTCTCCAAATAGCGGTCTGAGAATAAAGCAGATCGTCGCTCAGTTTTCACTTGTGCGCCACCTGCAGTCAGTCGTACAACAAAAGTGCTTGCGTTCATGGATGGAAGCAGCACACCTTGACTTTGACTTTGTTGAGCAGCAGCTGCTGATTTAGCAGTTGTGGGTAGCGCTAAAGACGCCATACCGTTGTTGCGAGGAGTAGATGTAGACGTCAGAAGGTTGTCGCCAGGAACTGATGTACTCATGTTACCGCCTGATGTGCTGTTACAACCATTGCTCTGGTCACACACCAAAATAGAAGCTCCCTCCAAAGAGGGGAACGCGGAGAGCTCTTCGCTCACTTGACGCGAATAAAGGCGTTCATCATAATCGATCATTTCCGGCACTATAAACAGATCGTACAATTGCAAGGACCGGGGTAGCAGCTGTCCCATGTAGAACCGGAAGAAATTCATCAGATCTAAGTCTAAGCGTTGCGGCTGCTGTCGTTGAGTTGTAAGTGGCGGACGCTTGTCCCAGTCCCATGGGCGTCCAGGCTTCTGCAGGCAAGGCAATCGTCCCTCACTTTGCAGGAAGAAAATCACCTGATTGTGTGATGGAGAGTCAGTAAAAGTGGGCTAAAAAAACATATATTATGAATACTCAAATTAATCTAGATGAATCTTCTTGATAAGTAAGTATCTATTCGAGTGAACAAGCTAGATCAAGATCTTCTTCTACTCATCAATCTCATGACAATGGTGAGACGGACCATTTCCACCCACGCGCAGCTAGGAAGGCATCCTTGAATTGTGCTTGCTAGGGATCGCGCTTTTACCCAATGCCGCACGACTCTCGCGAGGGCTGCACAGTCAGGCGACATATCCAGGTAGTCCTTGAGCAAGCGACTCTGCTGTAATCCAAAAATATTGATCTCTTAGAGGTAAAGACGGAGAAAGTATTCTCGTGCTGTCCAGATGGAGCGGAGCGTGACGAGGATAAAAACGGGGAAGAGAGAGCAGAGAGAGAGAGAGAGACTCCTCCCATTTATTGTCCCTTGTTCTACGAGTCTTAAAAGCCCCATGATGATGGTGACAGTGATGGTGGTGATGATGATGATGATGATGATGATGATGATGATGATTGTGCCTATACTAGAGGTGGTAAAAAATCATCTCTAAATTATCCTAATCTGCGCCATAATCAACAGTGAGGTCGATTTGAAACCCGGTTTGGCAGTCTTTGCATTTCACCAAAGGCATCACCTTCGCGCAGGAGATGAAGTCAATTCCATCGTATTTTTTCTGTGCAGCAGACGGATTTTCAACACCGTCAGCAGTGACATCTTCATCCTTTGGTGCCTTCATCTTGTTTTCACGACATTGCATTCGCAGTATTTGGTCGATTTTCGACAACTGTTCCACCATCACCCCTCGCGTCTGGATAGACTCGATGTTATCAGGATCTAGGAAAAAGAGACTCTGTCGATGTCGATCCACGTATTGATCGACGACTGCATCATCGCCAGGTGAGGATTAGAGGTCTCAGATGAGTTGTTGTAGAGAGGCTTGAAAGTAGAATGTATGACACAGTTTATTGTTATAGACGAAGCGCTAGAAAAAAAAGTAGTGAAGCCCTTCCTGTCAACTAGGTACTCACTCTAGTACATGTTCATACTATAAAGTAAGTTCGATCTTTCGATTGGATTTAAGTACTTCGATCTAGCGATCTTTCGATTGGATTTATATAAAGTAAGTTCGATCTTTCGATTGGAACTAGGTACTCACTCTAGTACATGTTCATACTATAACAGAGAAATTTATAAGGTTTCCCTCCATGCTACTCCATGCACCACGCGTGCTATAAACTACTCTGCTATAAAGTAAGTTCGATCTTTCGATTGGATAGTTTCCAGCATCTCTAGTTGCACGGATAGTTCCCAGCATAAAAAATGGTGACATCAACATCGCAGGCGCCGCGGGTCGGTGACGCCTCTGCCAAGCCATACAAAGCACTTCCAAACAGCGCGACTCGTGGCACGTTCAGTGTATTTTCGAGATCTTCTGTCAGGTTTCGGTCTTCTAGAAGTTTCGTGAATCTTTCTGAGGCTTTCTCACTTCGCTTCACAATGCGATGGAGAAAAAGATTCATTTGTGTCTTGTAATCTTCTTTGTCTTTCATATTTTGTATGAACACATGGGCTTGGTGTTCAGATGTTGGGATACTAGGGTTGCTCCAATTACTCGGACCACGTAGTTCTTTCTCTACCTCAGGCGGCGTTGGTGTTTCTTTTTCACACTGCTGCTTTCCTGTTTCGGTTTGTTGTACACTCTTATAATTGTCGTGGCCATGATCAACTTCCTCACCGCGCAAAGCATCTTTCTCCTCCAAATCTTGTTCAGCAGGGAAAATGTTACGACCAGCTCCAATCTCGACCTTCTTATCTTTATTCTTCACTGATGTTGACGGCGGCTCTGTCCCCTTCGAAGCCGTGGGACGGAGTGGAGTACGCTCCACACTGGATGTCGAGGTATCGCCTTGCATGTTCTCTTAGAGCTACCGCGCTCGCATCCCCGAGAACCTCCCTGGTCCCTTTTTCTCCTTGAAAAATGGGCCACGGATGATGTTGAGGATGGTTCAGCGGTAGCCTTAATTCTCGTCGCCTGTCGTGTCTGCAAGCCACACTTGGGATGGCGACCCAGATTCTTCTCCCTCTTGCTGGTCTAACATATTCATCTTTTTGTTCATCTTTTTGATGTTGTTCTTGTTGTGTCCCTTTATTTTTATTTACTTTGTGGTAATATACTTCTTTCCTTGTTGTTCTTGTTTAGTCTGAATGGGTCGTCGTCCTTTTACTTAATCTCAAATCCGCTTCAGCAATCTTCCGTGATAGCCTCAACTTCAAGTTCAATCTGAAGAAGATTCCAACACTAGTACAGGTCCTAAAAGTACAATCACAAGTTATGCGTTTTTTTGTCATCGGTTGTCAAAAAGTGGCTAACAAACAAGATCAAGAGTGGTTCATTTATGGGTATTTACTACTGATCTTGTATCATACGATGTCAACAAATGACTAGAATAGTCTTAAACGTTTTTCAACCACTATTGCGGCGACCTCATAGCGACAAATTGAACTAATAAAGATAAATCAAGTTCAAGACATATGAGGTGGAAAAGAAATCTTTAGCAAGAGAAGATCAAGATAGACCTTGTTTGAGAAACCACACAACTCGAAACTACGAGAAAGTTGTGATTTCCAAAGGTGTTAATGAGTGAAGACAGGTTTTACCTCTTAAAAGGGACATTAGATAGTATAAGCACATGGCCACGAAGCTTGTGGCCATCTTATGTCACAGAAACTAACAACTCACTATCTATGAGGATGTCATTGATTCCTAGCTAGAACTCCTGTGTCCTCATCACACTTACTTCATATCACACAGGATAGACACACAATACTCATTTGACTTTGAAAAAAACCACACGATGATGATTGTTCTATTGATTCTTCTGTCCTCCCTTTTTATGTAGGAATGATATACGCAAGATACTGATGCCAGTAGAAGACGAGGACTGGAAAAACGTTTGTAGAAAATATCAAATCTACAGAGATAGAGATATCTTTTGCATTGGGATCTAGCTGCTAGTGCGCGTGAGTCTAGCTAGTCTTCAGCTTATCTTATTGTTGTTGCCTACCTAGCTTCAGCTTCTTGGTACCAGAAAGATGTCGCATGTTTGCAACTGAAATCACCTGGCTTGTTCCTGTGCCCTGTGGAGGTGTTTCATCTAAAAAAACAACAAGGATGTCGTGTGCGTGGATGCCTCAAGCAGTTCTGCATGAAGATTTTTCAGGAAGAAATCGTACGGGTACATTTTCTTGGATTTTCATCATGTGTAGCCAACGCAAGTTGTACCATAATTTACAGCAAGAACATGAAGAGAAGCGAGCCATGTTCATCTGTCTTTCTTCCGCTGGAACTGAGTCGCTGATGCAAGACTCTTATTTCAAATGCAACATATTTTCAGGTTCTTGTTGCGCATCCATTTTACTTAATCATACATAAGTACAACCTTTTTCAGGTACATTGGGACGATACTAGTCATTGCACCGCATCATGCACCAACTCCTGACACAAGCGAAGCATATTCCTGCGAGTCACAGAAGCCATTCACCGCTTCTTCAGCATGTCTTCTTCATAGGATCCTCGACATACGATTAGTTGTAGAAGAGTCAGACTGATCGTTTCACTTACCTTCGCAGTGTGAATGAGCATGAGGTGTCGATCCAGCCATTGCATGTTTTTTGGTCATATGTCCAATAAAAGTCGTATTTCTGGAATTTTTCTTATTGTGTTCTTCTTTTTCTAAACTCTATGTCGAGCTCGAGATTTAGAGTAGTAGAACACATCACAACGTTCTGGGTTGCATGCCGAAGAAAGCAAGGGAGCGACACTGTTCTTTTCTTCATGTAAGAATGAGTACTATGTTCCAGGCTTGTACTAATGATTTCCACCACTGGTTCATGATCCTTTCCAATCGCCGATGCCATGGGAGCTTCACACTGATGAGCAGACTGTTGAGAAGATAGAGGGTCTAATAGAAAAACCAAGACCAAAAAAGAAAAGATCATAGGACCGCTTGCGTTTTACAGACATTTCGCACAATTTGAAGTTCATGCGTGCGATTGGGAAAAACTTCTTTGCTTTGCAATTAGACAGACAACAAATTTAAACTAGAACACTATATTCTTTTTCTTTCAGTACATGATCTACTTAGAAACGATAGATTGTACTGTTGAAGATGCTTCTTAGTGAAAAAGTTCACATCTTCACTTAAACAAAATTGGCTTGCTTGGTTGTAATTTCAATGCTGATAGACAGATTGCGTCGCGATAATTCTATTCGAAAAACTGAAATAAGCGAGCAACTACTGAAAATAAGCGAGATACTGAACAAGGAAGAGTAGCCCTGTCAAAGCTACCTCCCTTATTTCAGTCAGTACCTCGGTTATTTTCAGTTTTCGAGTAATCGGAAGCAAAATTTTGTTCTTACCAACCCCTTAAAGATGAGAAATCTAACCCATATCGAACATACTTGATGCAGAAGATATCGAAGGAAGCAGATCACCGCTCAACATGACATATTGCCACGGATCATTTTCACATCCTTATTTGATGCCTGGTCCACTAGTTCACGACTAACATGAGAAAACTCGATTGCTCTTCCTGTCTCGCGCTTGACAAATTCGACACCCGCACCTCGTATCGACTCCACCGCAGAATGAGTATGAAAGCGTTGGATTTTTATGCAAGTCTCCGTTTGTTGGGCGAGAGACAAGGAACACAGCCAAGGCACAACAGAACCAGTTACAGGTATTTTGAGTCATTCACTCATTTGCGAACCACGCGACAACTTAACCTGCCTGATTCCGTAGCGACCTTGTGCTTGTATATAATGCTATTATTTTACACATAATCATGTATCATAACGTAGGTCGCCGTTTGGGAGAGACCGCACGATTCCTTCGTTCCAAATCGCTTCACAACATCGCGACATTGTGTTCTAAAAATAGGTGGAGGAGGTACCCATTCATTCATTCATTCATTTACCTAGCAAGAGGTCGTTCCCAGATGTACATCCAGGTCCTATGACATCTTCGCCTTCTGTAGCAGGTTTACTACAAGATGAAGCACAAGATGAAGCTCTGGCCCACACCAACCTTTTACGCCAGGAGTACAGAAGGGAGAGGTGCAGGTGACAACGGATCCACCGATCTCCATGGCAGACCCATCGTCCAGCTGTAGGTACTCCGATGGTGTCACTGTGGTCGTCTGCTCCAACTACTCTGTCCTGATACTCCCACAGGTCGACGGAACATCGGTCTTGTTGGACTGTGACCGAGCACGCGAAGAAGGGGTGGCTGAAAGAGACCGGAAGATGTGTGCACTTCTGCTAGTTGTAGTTCCGTTAGTGACGGCGGTCGAAACAGAATCGGAACGTCGTATTGCTCCTGCTACAGTTTGAGTTCCCGCGCGATCTGGAAAAGGAAAAGGGAGTCTTGTGCGATTGAGAATGGCTCCTCCTCCTCCTCGTACGGCGTTGTTACAAGAATCTCCTCCTCCTCGTACGGCGTAGTCGTGCTAGATGTAGCAGAATACACAACTGCCCTCGTTCTGTTTCTGGGTGTAGTATTGAAAATTCTTGTTCTGGAGGTTTCTGCGAGTGGATCGGGAGTCTCGTAGATCGTAGGAGTTGGTATGTTGTTCATTTTATGACTGAGATTGTGTTGTTCTTCCATGTTGTAGTTGGGTTGTGTTCTTGCTGTTTTTGTAATATTTCTAGAGACAAGCTGGTCTACAGGTCGTGCTTGCAAAAAAGCTGTGTCCTGCTGTCTACCATCGAAGTTCGAGAAAGCGGCCGCCTCTTCTCGCGCAGTGTTCAGCGCTACTCTTCCCATAAGATTAAAGACTACAACTTTGATACATTCCCAATTTCCATCCTACTTGACTTCTTTCCTATGAAATGTTGAGTGCAATGTCATTCGTGCGTCCCTGATAGTGCTGTCCGTCGACTCTGATATACTGAACTTCTCTCCAATAATATTTGACTATGAAGGACAGGCCAAGTAGAATGACGATGAAGTGAAAGTGAATCAATGCAGTGTAGTTGTGACAAGCCGTAATAACATAGTCGAGACCGCCGTAACCCAGTCGGCAAGGAGATGATCGGCTGTTAAATTCAGGTTGCAAACTTTCAACTAGCTCACGTAAAAAAGATTTGCTCAGTGGGATGTCCTCCTGACTTTGACTTGTTTGTGAGGGATCACCAGGAATGTTTAAAACTTGATTTTTTGCTCTTTCAGAAGAAGAAGAAGGGGGAGGAGGCGGCGGCACTCGTTGTCGTTGTTGAGGAGTCATGTTCTTGATAATGGATCCATTATAATGATGTAGTTGTTGTTCTTGGGAAGCAGAAGCTGTTGAAGGGAACGACCCAGCGGTCGCGGATATGTTGAAAAACACTGATGTAGTTCTCGGTCTTGGAAGCGCTATGGCATTTCCATTCTTCATCTTTGCTTCCTGAGTCCTCGCTTTTCCAGTGCTAGTTCCTTCTCCCTTGAACAATTGGCGGCTGATGTCCCTATCGATCTGCTCCCTGGCACTCGCTTCCTCGCCTCTATCATCACAGTGTCAAGTATAATTCATCTCGTCCGAAAAAAAATTCCGAAAAAAAATCATCTAGGAATATATTCCCTCCGTAGACGAAATGAACATTGACATTGACATGAAGTCTTTGCCTTTCCAAGTACTGTTCCTATTGTCAGCACCGCTACAATTCAGCCCTCATAAAATCGATTGTCTTGCGCATCGTGACGTCACCTCCAGAAAGCGGATGGATACCTCCAGTAGATCGAGAAAAAACTGCAGATTGATGTGGTTCTACTAAATCACGCGTTCCCTCGAGAACGACATCGCCGTGTGCTGGGTAGTATCCAAGCTGCTTAGTGTGCTGGGTAGTGATGCTATCTTGTGCAGAGCCAGCTGGCGGCTTAGAAGAAATGCTCACGCGGCTCGGACCATATTTGTAATCTTCTGGCGCATCTGGCTGTTGTTCTCCTGCCAATGTGCTGCTATCCTTTGAGCTTGATTGATGTTTTTGTTGTTTTTGACCGTGACTGGTCGTGAGGCCTCCTCCTCCTCCTTCTAGTAAGTTGGGTGTGGGAATCAAAATGCTTAAAAAATAATTTTTCACTCGACGTAGTTCACAGCCTGCCACTGAAATTAGAGTGTGTTTAGTTTCATCTCGATGATCCCCATAGTACCTTTTCCTTTCCATTTCATCGGAAAAGGGTTGTACCAAGATGTTGATGCTGAGAGAGACGAAGAAAAACTGACCACAATGAAGACTCATCATCATCGCTACTAGGTTGTAGAATTGTACGGATACCTCCAAACGCTGCAGCGTTTCTGCTTGCTTGCCGTGAAGCATTAAAATCTTTGCCGCTTTGTTGCATACTTGAAGTGGATGGCGCAGCTCCACTTGCTTTTTCCAGACCACTTTCTTGGTGCAACGGGTTATAGGGAGTAGCACCAGACCACCCGCGGGCATCAGACACACCTCGACCAAGAGCTTGAGAAGGCACTAGCCCAATTACATCTTGAAGATGTAGCTCAGGATATTCATATTTGTATCCCTGGCTGCAGTCCGATGACACGACTACCTCCCGATGATCCCTACTACTGTAGCAAGGAGGCATGTTGTAGAAGGCGTTGTCGTGGTTTTCCAGACGAATCGTGCTGTTTATCCTTGTTTTCCTTGTGTGGAGGTCTTCTCCGCCAGGCACTGTAGAAATTGTCACAGGCGATCGAAGCGTGCTGTTTATCCTTGTTTTCCTTGTGCGGAGGTCTTCTGTAGGCATTGTAGAAATTGTCACAGGCGATTCAGCGTCATTCATCTCACCACCACAAGGAGAGGCGCTGCAATCCACCTGATCAACACGATCGTCTGGAAGAGCATCTTCCTTCGGCGGTGATGGTGCATCTTCCCGGCCAAGCGAGACTGCGTGGAAATCGCTCATTATTGGCCCAGGAGGTTCTTGTACCATTTGAGATGTTGGCATTTGAGAGTGCTGCATTCCCGGTAGGGGCATACTTACGGAAGCTGCATGCTGCATCCCGTGCATCTGTAACTGCTGCTGTTGGTTATGAGGTGCCACTTGCTGCTGTTGGTAGTGCTGCAGGTGCTGCGGGTAGTACGGATGTTCATATGGATACGGAAGCTGTTGTTGTGGCGCCATAAAAGGGAGAGCACTACTGGCATCCGTATCATGGTGCGGATGGGCCAAATTTCTCACCATATTCGCTTCATGATACTTGTTCGCGAGTAGAAACTCCGACTCCTCCTGTCGTGCTGAATGGGCTGAATTAGCGCTATGTGTTAATTTCGTTTATCCATCTCAGCAAAGTAGGAGCTATAGTATCCTTTCGCATCCATTTCATTCTTCCAGAATAAGGTTTAATTTTCCCCTTACGTGCAAGGCCCAATGAGTACTTCAACTTCTCTTCAAAAAAGATCTGTATAGTACATAGTGGAGATAATGAACAAAAAAAAACACAAGCCTTAAGTGAACCACCTAGACTGTGTTGTGCTGCATCAGGACTCTGTACGACTGGCAGTCCTTGTCTGTTTGCCTCAGACTGTTGAAACAGCGAACTGTCCATGTCGTTTGGCCACGTCATGTCGTCACGTGATATCTTTAGAGCCTTTCTCGCGGGAAACAACCATTTAACATTTACTGTGATAGAAACGAGGAAGAGAGGACACCAGGCCTAAACTTTGAGGTCAAAATCAAATAGAAAATTAAGGTGATACGTACGCAGTTACTAGCCTTAACATCTGAGATGGGTGCATGTGCTGTGACGGCGTATGGTAGAATCCCAGTTGCCGTGCGTAGTGAGCAATGCGACCGCTAGAAACGTGCTTCCGAAGAGGTTCAAGGTGCGCTACGGATGGTGGAGGCCGAGGGGCGGGCGTGACTTGCGGACTCGTCAGGACCTCTCCCGGCGTGACGTGCGGACTCGTGAAGACCTCGCGTCTACCAGAGTTGGTAAGCTCCTGTTGTTGCTGTTGGAATGAATTTTCCAGTGAAGTAGACGGATTCAGCATTAGTCCTTTGTTAAAGGACTCGTTTGGTGCTACCTGATTCAGCGGCACCGGTGTCGCGAGTTGCTGCTCTTGTTCTTGCTTTTTCCGCGCCTTCATCTCTGCATGCTGTTGCCGTGCCTGCTCCACTTGGCGTGCCCGCTCAAGCTGCTGCAGACGTGCCTGCTCCACCTGTTGTTGCCGTGCCTGCTCGAGTTTCTGTAGGCGCGATTGCTCGACCTGCTGCAGACGTGCCTGTTCGACCTGCTGCAAACGTGCCTGCTCGATTTTCTGTAGGCGGGATTGCTCGACCTGCTGCAGACGTGCCTGTTCGACCTGCTGCAAACGTGCCTGCTCCGCCTGTTGTTGCCGTGCGTCCTCAGCTTGTTGTGGAGCATACACGATTCGCGCCTCTGGGAGGCGGTTCTTGAGAAGGGCTCCCCCGTGGGGTGTTTGAGGTTCAATCAGCTGATGCCGTGCCTGCTGCTGTGCAGTATAATAGTCTTGTAGTTGCAGTTCACTCGCATACTTTTTTTGCCGTTGTTCGTGCACAGGATACGCATGCGAGCTTTGTTGGTTTTGCGCATTGACATGCGCCTGTTGTTGCTGCTGCTGCCGCTGCGGCCATTGAGTCTGCTCATGCTGTTGCTTTCCCTGTTTCGACGCATGCGCTTCCTGCTGCTGATGTTGCTGTCCTCGTTGTAAGATGTTCTGTTGTTGTCCCTGAGGCTGTCCTGCAATCTGCTGTCTCTCCAACAATAAACTGTTTTGACTTATTAGAAGTAGGTTTACATCAGCTGCAATCACATTGCTGTGTAATTAGATGTTCCGTGCCTTGTATCTACTTCTTTCCCTTGTGTCTAACTTCTACTAGTCTATGACCAAGAAACCTAAGAACATATCAGAAATACAAATGCGTTGCGGGACTACTCCTTAATTGCAAAATAGCCGCCTCTTGCTGTGTTGGCTTAGGGTAGTGCGGCTGTTGCGGCACATGCTGTTGTGGCGCATGCTGCTGCGGCACATGCTGTTGCGGCGCATGCTGCTGCGGCACATGCTGTTGCGGCGCATGCTGCTGCGGCACATGCTGTTGCGGCGCATGCTGTTGCGGCGCATGCTGTTGCGGCACATGCTGCTGCTGATGGTGCTGCTGATGGTGCTGTGCATTTTGGTAATGCTGCTTCTCCTGAGCCGGTTGGTGCTGTTGAACCTGCTGGTGGTGCTGAAGGTGTTGCTGGTTCTGCTGAGGCTGTTGATGATTCTGGTGAACAGCTGGGTGCTGTTGAAACTGTTGCTGATTCAGGGCCTGCTGCGGATGTTGAAACTGCTGACCGTGTTGGGCCTGTTGCTGGCCTCCCGCGTCTTCGACAGCAGTCCTTGTCTGCCTCTCTCTATCAAAGTCGGGAGGATACGGGCGACCAGTCCCGTCGTATCCACCAGGGAAGCCACCACCTAGCTGCGAACGAATACGACGCAGCCCCGGATCAAACGCAGCAAAGCACGTTGGCAATGCTTGAAACAAGGATGACAGCACGATAAAAACGAGCATGATGATGTTGTTTGAGGGGTGACAGTGTAAACACTGCAAGGTGCTGCTCTCTGAGCAAGGGTGTGTGTCCGTATACAAAATAAACAGGGAAAAGATATTTACTCAGTCCACCCTGGTGCGATCAGTCAACCCCTCAGTCCACCCTGGTGCGATCTACGCAGTTAACTAAATTACCCAAGACAGTGATGAGGAACAAACAAGCTGCAAATTGCTAGTCCTCTGTTGATGAAAACTAAGAGTCTCTCACTTTCCAGTTATTTCCGATAGAGTGTCGGGTCGCAAAAACTCCAACACTCTTTTGCAAAACAAAAGTACGTCACGCAGGCACGCACAGCCTCGGCTCTTTACTTGTAGAGACGCTCTACGACTGTTGGGAACTGTCCACTTGGTGCGTAGAATTTCAATCGTAGTGGTTGTATACATGGATTGTATAATGCGCAATTAGTAAGTTATTTGATATTGATTCTCTCCCAAAATATGTATATGATTCAAAAAGATATGATTCCCCATCATGCGGTTCGTTTTTAGCTGAGTGACATCATTTCCCTTTTTTACCTAGCGATAGTACTATTCAGTGTGCTTGTTCTTGTTCTATATTGAGTATTGTCATTTCTGTGTGCTCGTTGTGTTACATTCTTGCCTGTGCTTGTCGTGTTACATTTGAGTGTGCTCGTTGTGTTACATTCTTGACTGTGCTTGTCGTATTACTTACATTGAATAGCATCATTGTTATGCTGTTCGTGTGGAGTATGTTCGTCGTGGCAAAATAGTGTCGTATGCCTCTTGTCGTCTTTCGTTATAACAATCGTGATGACGAGAATCACAATATTCTCTGCATCTAGTAGTTCCAACCGCAATATACATGTTCTTCTTTCTTGGAAATGAGTCGTGTTTTTGGCGTCATCTGCCTATGAAAGTCCAGCATCTCACCAAATCATACTGCGTCTTGTTCATTTGGTTGTATTAAATCTCACAAAATGTAGTCTATGCACAATCACATAGACTCCTCAAACCCAACCTCGAACTTCTTCAACTCTCTTCCGACCCCGTTCTTGACAAAGAACGGAGCCACTATCTTCTCTACGGCATCTTGAGCGTTCCGAGATACTTGCGCACATTAACTGTTAGAGCTTTGCTGAGAGAGAGTCTTTGAATTTCAACGGCAAAACACTACTAATCCACACGCTGACGTTGACAATTCAAAAGAAGATTTTACTTAGATTATAACACCGAGACTCCACATGATCAACAGGCGATTCTCTTACTCACTACCAAGGATGCATGCCATGCATGGAATAGATCAGGTGAAAGCAGTGCTGAACGCATAAGAGCATTCGTTCATTCATTCATTTACGACCACTTCTCGAATGTAGTACAACAGGGACAACTCTTCTCTATGTACTAAATTGTTTGAGTCGTCCATAAGACTAGAGTCAGTCTACCAGTGTTCGGATTCTGACGCATATCAGCGACTTGCACCTTGGTGGTCGTATCCGTGGTGGTCGTCTCCACGACTGCTTCACCCTTGTTTGTCTTGTTGGGAATGTCTATCCAGTCCCAGCCCTTATCGTTCGGGTCGCTCGCTACGGGATCCTGTCTCAGTACGAAGTCTGATCCTAGCGGCAGGACAGACATGAGGAATAATGATTAGAGGGCGCACAAGGGAAAGGGTGAAGACGTGCACTTCGTTGTCATACTGATTCGGGTGATGTGTCTTTGTTGCTACGCTGGGATTAGCACTCGTTTGGACGACGCTGGGACTAGCACTCGTTTGGACTACGCTTGGACTAGCACTCGTTTGGACTACCTAGTTTTTCGCCTGTTATAGCGGTTCATGCCGAAGTATGTAGAAACTGCCTGGCACAAGTATTTGACTCCAGGAGATAATTCCCCGTATATAGAATGTCAGTTTTGCTTCCAGCCTTACGTTGTGAAGACTTGGCAGTGTTTCGCCGCTCCGTTCATGGCACGCTCGATCGCTGCCTTCAGCGATTGCATGAAGAATCGTCGTGATAGGAAGTATCTTAATAACATGTAGCTAAAAATGATCATAGGGGGGCAGGTTTATGGGGTTGGACTCTATATTACAACTGGCTAATTTTCTACGTCGCTACAGAGATCAATTCCTTAGGATAGCATAGGATCTTCAAATGTACATACATGCAACACTAATACAAGAGGATGAGGCGTCAAAGGCAAAGGGACCCTTTCTCTAACTCTAACTAAAGAAGTAATTGGATTAGCTGCGCGGGCCCTGCATAAATCCGGCGGCTGCGACCAATCCGGCACAGAGTTAGAGTTTTCAATTTTTGATCCGTGTGAGTGAGTGGGGACTGTGCCTACTTTACCAAATCATGACGCTTTTTAATTCCACACTTGAAGCGATTGGGCAAAGTGCCTACGATTTCGCTGACGATTTCTACCAGCTGGCCTAGCTTGTTGTTGTCAGTGTTTGCGCGGCTGTTCCTCATGATCTTGCGATTGAATGACTGCTGGTTTTTTTGCTGAGGAAAACAAAGAACCAGAAGTGCACTCCAAGAACCCAAACTACAATTTCAAATATAACAATTTTGAGGAGTGTAGCCTTAAATCTCCTCGGCAACTCGGGCAGACGCTGCCGTCGCCTTGCGGTAGCCAGGTAAGCGAGCCAAAGCAGGAGCGACTTTTGCCGATAACTTTTGCAGTGCTGGCGAGACTGTTTTTAGAGTAGTTTTGCCTTCAGACATTGCAAGCGATGAGTAGAATATTTCTACTATAGTATCTATAGTGATGAGGCGAACGACGCTCTTCGGCCACTGAAAACATTTTGAGCACAGCTATTATAACTGATTGAAAAAACTATATCCTTAATTTCTTCTTCAAGAATTTCTTCCCATGGTCGACTCCAGACTTCAGCAAGGACGCGGCTTTTCTCGAAGCCTCTTTTAGTGCTGGCAGCGCGGTTCTTAGAGTAGCACTGAAAATATTTACTAGAGCACAGCACGAGAAGTTAGATTACTTTAAATGTATCTTTTATAGCGAATTAGAGAAACTGCGTCCTCCATAATTTTTGCTCCCAGAATTTCCTTCCCTTTTTTGCTACGTGCGTCATCGCCTTGCCCGCTGAAAGCATCCCGTGGCGGACTCCACCCTTCGCCGTTAGAGACTCGAGATCCTTGTGCCCTCTTCACCCAAGTAGAGAAAAGAAGCAAAGGATCTCGCGCTAGAGATCAACTCCTGTTTCCTTTCTATTTCTTCAGGATGTCTACTCTTGAAAGCCTTAATGCCTCTTTCTTGTTCAAGAGGTTTCCTTTACTAAGGTCTCCTTTACTAGGAGCAAACTGCAGAAAAGACGGCACCACGGCATCTTCTTCTTAGAAAACACTGAAGCATGAGTGATGCGCTTTTTCTTGGCCATAGTTGTCATTACACGTACTTATTATCCCATGACGTTCTGTCGTCGACAGAGTACGTAACTACGACTAGATCTTTGTACATGACCTATCGCAGATGACTCAATCGACTCTACCACCAATTAAGCCTACGAAGAAAATAGTCTGCTCGTGAGCTACGAGCTAGAACCAATTCATTCAGGTGCTCTGGCACAGCTTATACTTCGGTATACTTCATCGCGGAAGGATTCCACTAGTGACCCAGTAATAGCATGCTCAAGAACTTGAAACAGCAGTTTGACACCCCAGCAATACCAAGAACCAACTTCTACTCTATCTATTAAACTACTATAGTTTTGTTTTCAATTTCTGGCGTAGCTGGCGTGCCCCTGTAGTGCTTGTGGTGGCTCCTCCACAAGGATCTGCGGGTCCTCGTCTGGAGGGATCTGTAGGAAGTAGCTTCCACCGCGAAAGCCGTACCAGAAGGAGAACATTATGAAAAGAAGAAAGAGTTTTCGAAGTACTACTGAGTTGTAGTGCTGCTGAATTGCAGCGCTGCTACTGATACTAGGGGGATAACGTCTACGAATTTTGGAATATCCTAGCAGTTTATTCGTCGTCCACAGGGCAAATCTGTACTCTCCGCCGAGTGCATCATCTCAAGATTGATGTTGATGAACCCGTGAATCATTATTCCAGTTGAGCGGCCCTAACAGAAAAAGAAGAAAGTCAACGACCAATGAATTAGCATACTTTCTTAGGTGTCTGACGAACAACGAAGAGCAAAGCTTCATCATAACCGTGAGAAGTGCGGCCCAGTGGTGCCAGGTAGCCCTCGCTTTTCCAGACGCCAATAGTTTTCCCTCGTCGTATTCTATTGACCAATACTTAAAGCTGTCTCAAGTCATCTACTTATCAACTTCTACTAGAATAAATCTAATTATAGTCATTATTTCAAATCTACGCATACATCACTTAGTGTCTTAGACTTCATATTACTTCTATTTCTTGGCTCTACCAGAGGTACTTCGAGAGCCGCATAGAATTCTTATGTTAAAGTATTTTAGCGGTAGGCTTTTGGTGTTCGTTTATCCCGCTTGTTATGGCTGTCTCCCTTAGGAGAGCCATAACAAGCCGTAACAAAAGCACCTTTAACCTACCCTTAAGTATTGTATCATCTTCAAGATAGTATAGATATAAACTACTTAAAATCCTTAACCTTGACCTCCTTCTCGCACATGCTTCCACCTCCTTGCGCCATCAGCTTCCTAAGGCGAGGGTCCATTATCAAATTCAAAACTTAGATCAAGAGTTGTGTACCAAGTGTAGTACTAAGATGCCGAGTATGATAATATTAAATCATAGTGTGATTCCACGACGCGGCAGTGTCTTTTTGCTGCTCCTTCCAGCGACTGAGTCCTTTTCGCTTAGCCTTTCTTACGGAGAAAACAAAACATCTTCTCCACTCGATTCGGTACAAGCATCTTCACTTTGGTCTTTCACCAAAAATTACTTTCACTTTATACTAGTAGGTACAAGTAGTATCAGAATCACGCTCGTCATAAGGTGGCTTGCGTTCTAACGTAGACTCGCAGAGACGCCGAATGACAGCGAAATCCGCCCGTTCTCGCTGATATTAGAGGCTCCGGCATTACATTCTTCAAGACAACATCCTTGACCTACCTACTTCTGTTCTCTTTGGAACGAATCTTTTTCCCGGTCAATCACGCCTGAGTAGATATCTTTTACTCATCAAAAAGGTCCAGATGAATTACTAGCATACTTGTGAATACTAAATTGTCAAATACTGGTAAGAGTGGAGGCATGCTCACGGGGGGAGTCATTTTTTACTCATCAAAAAGGTCAAAGAAGAGAAAAATACTGGTACGTAAGAGATGATGCAATAATGATGTATTATACATGTCTTATAGAGATGATGATTACCTCAGATGTAATCATCATCTCTATAAGAGATGTGTAATCATCATCTCTATAAGAGATGGTGGCTTAATGATACTCTTTCACCAGGTCTGCGGTTTTCCAGCCGCGGGTCTTCTTATACCCGTCCGGCATTCCATAGACGCAGTCTATCCCTGTCATGCCAAACTGGAGACCAAGCACAGGCGACGGATTAGACGACCTTGAAGCAAGTGGTAGTAGTAGTTAGGAGGATTGATTCATTGCTTGATTGATTGATTGATTGATTGACTGATTGACTGATTGCTTGACTGATTGCTTGACTGATTGACTGATTGACTGACGCGCCTGGCAAGAGGTAAGTCTAATTGTGTTGCAGACTGAGGCTAAGTTTTTAGGTTACTTAGTACGATGATCCAAGGCTAAGTTACTAGCTTAAGTTTCGTAAAGCACAGCATGTTTAATCAATGATGAGGTGGACCCTGGAAGACCAAAGGACATAATATCTTCTCAAACGAAAAAAATCTTTCTGAGCTTAGCAGGTGTTGGCTAAGGGCTAGGTTGCGTACTGTCGAGATACCCTTTTTTTGGGTCAGCCACATTTTGCTGGATTTCCACCCACGTGTGCGAAATAGTGCCAAAGCCGCAGCTGCACTTAGACAACAAAGAAGTAACTTCATCTAGTTAGCACCCATTACGTACCCGCAACAAGCAAGTAACTTCTAACGTGCCCTCAACTGCGCAGTTGGCTTAGTGGTTTAGGCGTTGGCCTGTTCACTTATCAGTTAGAAGTACCTATAATTCTCGACAAATACCCTGAAAGCATAAGGTAGGCCTGGACCTGGAATTCCACCTCCTGAGGCACTGGAGCAAGCCTTTGCGGCGGAGGCAGCGTCCACATCGATAAGGAGTTCACCTGTTGTTTTCCTATTCATGAGCTGCATCTTAAAGAATGTACTAATTTACTGACGCGGATTAGGATTAGGATTAGGGTGTGATCCGCCGTCCGCAGGGTTTAGCTGGCTGCATTCTCAAGCGGATTAACGCAGCCCCATTAAGCAGACTACCAGATGCCCTGGGTCATATGGACAAAAGAATAATCATAGGGACGCCGTGAATCTCCTCGGCAATCTGCCTAAGATTTCCCTGGCGACTTGAAAAATGAACATAGCGTGAAGAAGAGTAGTTGGAGAGACGTTTCCTCGTTCATTGAAGGAGAGAGTTTCCCCATATCGTACTATACGAAGGAAGGACTAGTAGCACCAGATCGAAGTTAGCGCAACATCAAAGTAAAATCATTCCTGCTGCTGTGTTCTACCGTACCATTCTCATACAAGATGGGTGCATTCTTGTGGTTGTTAAACAGAATCAATGGGGTTATAAGATTACACCCCTGGAGTGGGTACATTCATTCACTCATTCATTCATAATGTCGATAAAAAAAAACAAAATGAAAATTTTGACATACATGATCCTTCATCGGTGGCCGATGACCAGGCAAGAAAGAGGCACGAAAATCGGTGACCAGTTTTTCCCAATAAGTTGCCCCTTTGTGCTCGTCCCAAAGGATTAGACGTCTGTACAATAGATGACATAATAAGTGCACGTGGTAGGTGCTCCTCTATGTCGACGCAAATGATGTACTATGGACTAACGAATTTATTACATGGACCAAGTAGAAGTATAACTATATCAAATTGTCCTCGTATGGCCCAGCTGACTGTGACTCAAATGAAATCCATCGCAATTACTTGCGTCGCAAATGGGCCAACTACTTAGGATAGGATAGGAATTAGCTCGCCTGCAGAGCGGTGAGCATTCACGAATATGAAAACTTACCAGACGATAATTGAACTCAATTTTATCTCCTACTTATTAAAACTTATCACGCGATAAAAATCAATGCAACCCAATTTTATGATAGATCCCCTTAGCAAAGTAAATATCTATGGGGAAAACAATCATCGAGCCTTACAGGTGACTCATCGCCGTGAGCCAGTGCTGCTACTTCCGGTGGCACAACGCAAACAAGGGCACCAATTTCATTAGACAGTGCGTCTTCATGTCATGTCATGTTACCTGTGTGTCCGTCCTAACTAACGGTGGTGAGGCCTCTCCGTCACCCTCTACCCTCTTCCGTCTCATCTATTATCGGGTTTGAAGTCAATGTAGAGGGACAATAAAAATGCGATCACTCAGTTAGAGCGGCCCAGAGGCCGTCGGAAAATGGCCAGAAGAAAATACTAGGGTAAGATCTGCACAAAATCAAAGCCCCCGCGCCGATACCTACATACGCTCACTAGAAAACTTTAAGGGAAGGGAGGGCGGGAAATTTAAAGCACGAAGGCTAGCGTTCCCAATTCGTGATCACTCATACGAGAGGAAAAACTCAGCCTTCATTCACTTATTTTTATCAGTCAGAAAGATGTTTCTTGGCCTCTCCGTCACCCTCTACCCTCTTCCGTCTCATCTATTATCATGGCAGCACAATGCTCCTCAGGAGCATGCAGTATACGAATTGAATTGATGTACAAACAGCTCTAACCCTGTGTTTGAAGTCATTGTAGAAGGACAATATTTACTGGTCGCTTGCAGAAGGCCTTCCTTAATGTCCTGTAACGCATCTTCGTCGCCTGCTTTCGGGATTAGCGCATTTTCTTCGACAGCTTTCCAGATCACGACGACGTTGCTGTCCATCTCCGCATTCTTGTACGCGTTCCAGTCTTTTTCGACATCCTGCCGATCCAGGCTGGGCAGCTCCTGCATCATCTTGTTAAGAAGGTTTTTTTCCGCTAACGCAGCAGGAGGAAATTTGGTACAACGATTAGAGGTCATGATGCTGCACTCTCGTCATACGAGCTCTCTCAGATAGTCTTAGGGTTTGGCCGTTGTGACACGGTCTTCTTGCTCCCCCGGTATGTAAGTTGTTAAATGAGGTTATTTAAGTAGTTGAATGGGAGGCAGCATGTAGTCCTTCCTATGGAAAAAAAAAAAAACATACGGATGACGGAGTGAATGAATGAATGAATGAATGTACCCACTCCAGGGGTTTGATAGACACTACTACTTCTTTCTACATCGCGGTGATGATCTGAAATCGAGCCTATTGTTGGATCTTGAGGACAAAACAAAGAACCCTATACTAACTTTAATGACGAAAAGTATTTAGTAATGTACCACGCACGAAGTTGTAGCTCCGTAAAATCGTGGCGCTACTCTGGAAATATGTATGGATTGGGAATTTACTAAGCTAGTAACCCGCCTATGATAATAGGGGTGGAGCCAACCTACTAACCCGCCTATGATCATATCAAAACACAAGAATTTCTTCAATCATCATTCCTACGTCTCTACCAGCAAGACAAAAGTAAACTAAAGGTTCTCATAACAGTATATTCCTTGAGAAACGCCCGGTTCTGCGTGCAGTCGTATTCTCCCATGGAGGAACGAACCAGTTCCCGAAAATACTTCGCAAAGAAGCTATTGCCTTAGAAGGAGTTGTCATGACGTCTATCCTAGTACTACTATCGAGCTACTACATAGTACACGATACTGCTACGGACACCATTGATGTACTTTACCATGCTACTACATCGAACTTCAAATCCACCTAGCACAGGCTGTGTCATCATCGTGCTGGTGTCCCATTTAGTACTACAGCTAGAGGTCGTTTTATTTCTAGATCTTCATGATGATGGAGAAACGACGACGATGTGCCTTAATCAGGAATCCGCTCACGCTTTTCTTCCGACTCGGCCGGGTTTTTGCCATGATTAGATGTTCTTGGCTGATTGATTGACTGGGTGATTGGGTGCATGACTGAGTGCTTGGTTGACTGGGTGGCCTGACTCATTTACAGTTGGTCCATTGACTTGGCTAGGCATAGGCTCTATGATTTCACGTGGACTTGACTCTTGCAGATGGAGAAGAACAATTAGAAGTATCTAAAAAAGATACTAGCTCTGACTGTCAGAGTCTGACAGCGTAACTTCAAAAAATGAAGATTTAGATTCGCTGTCGTCTCCTCCACCTTGTACCGATTCGCCCATGCTTTCGATCTCTGTGAACGCCGCATTTTTCTGCGTCTTGCCACGTCTGGCTAGTAAGGGCTTGGCTCCTCGGTTTGATTTTTCACCTGTTTGCGAATAGATTGAGGATCGGTATTGGAAGAGGCTGCGTTAGGCTAGGTTAGGTTAGGTTGGCGACAGAGTGAGTGAGTGAGTGAGTGAGTGAATGCCTGCAGGCGTTGATGGAAATAGATTCGCTCTTGCCTCTTCTGCTTCTTGGGTGTAGCGTTGAAGTACCATGAGGTAATGCAATGTCCTGTCACAAACATTAAACTAGCCGAGCTTGTTGGAAAGCAGACTCTTGACTCGTTCACTTTTTAGATAGCCTTGTTGTTGTTTCCTCCTCTCTCTGCAGGCCTCTCTTGGTTGACGATAAGACGGGTCAATGTCAGAGCAAATACCGCTACGCAACACCAGTCCTGGTGCGCCCTTCCGGTCGGCAACAACGAGGAGCAGCGGAGGTAGCGCGCAGCGGCGTCTCATTTTCGACATTTTCACGTAAACATAGAAAAATCTTGATGCGAATATTATCGGTGCAAAGCAACTCGCATCATGCATCAATCTTTGGGGGGTAGGTATGTACGATTCTGACACAGCCTGGTGATGTGGTAGGTTTCATATTCAGACCCTTGTGATAAATAATATTTCTCTTACTTGTTACACAGGAATGAGATTGACTGCAGGCATAGATTGGCTGCAGCCCAAAATTAGTGTATAGACACAAAGAAGCTTGAGGACGGCATGAAACATGGGGAAGAGCATGAGGATAGATTTGGCAGGACGCGGAGTCTCAGACTCAGTGCGCGGCGTCGGCTGCCCTCCCGAAATAGGCTAGCTCAAGTTCAAGCTCAAGAGGTCTCGATCGACTCAGGATACCAGGTGCATCGACCGCACAAGAATTACTTATAATGGAGATCTGCTCGACAGTCAAGAGAAATTGCAAAGAGATCATTATGCAGAGACCGATGGCTCATTTGCTCGCTCTCTCGTGTGTGAGTCAAACCGATGATGAGTTATCTACGGGAAGAGACTCTCTCATTTGCAGAATGCGTGCAGCACCGATAAATATAGAATACGATATCAACAGATAGACCAACGAGGCCAGCACAGAGAACTAAGCTGAGTGGAAATAACCAAATTCATAGCCACACATCAGTAAGTAGGCTGCTCCGAGAAAGTAGAACACATTCCTTAACAATAAGTGGTCTTTGCATGTCGACCCCAAATCAATACAATGGTAACTAAATAAGATCCGCTATGCAATGGATCGATACAAGTAGCTGACTCTATACAATGGCAACCAAAGATATATTATTCAAACATACCGAAAGTTCCACGTTGAATGTTGAAGAGAATCTTGTTGCTGAAGCTGCGATACTAGTCATGCTTAAGGCTACCGCTGAAGCATCCTCAACGTCATCCTTGGCTCCTTTTCTACTTGAAAAAGGCACCAAGGATGCTGCCAAGGATGCCCATGCGGTAGATCTACATCTAACATAGGTCAACCCGATGCTAGTGATAGGTCAACCTTATTTCATCCTGTGAATAGCAATTGTGCTGTACAGTCAAAGAATCGAGAGCGATATTCATAGCTTCAAAAATTGCAAGGTCTCATGGATCTTCATCTTCTGCCTGTTCTACTGGTCTGAATTGAAGAGTAGAACCACTGGTCTGAATAATTACGTGAATGAATGAGTAGTAATGGAAGTCTCATTGTATTCTGGTAAGAGTTGTGTCTATGTTGAATAACAATACTGTGGTACGACATGAGTGGATTAGTCAATCAAAGTGGAATGTCAGTGCCTCGTCTGTTCAAACACTGATCTGTCTGTTCAAGTTTTTTTTTTCTGTTACCTGGGTCTACAATCCTCGCATACTATTGCACTTCCACCCCTGCGAGAATGAAGCCTGAAGTACTGAACTGAGGAATTCAAAACAAAAGTGACCGAGAGCTGTCTGTTGTTGTGCAAAGAAACAGAGTTTTGTCCTGTCTGTGCAAAGAAAGATTAAGATTTCTTCTTGTAGAAGTTCTTGTAGCGTAAATCTATGAAAAATTCTTTGCCGTGCGTGCATAGCCTGCTTTAGTGATCAATAGTCCTACTTTTCTGGTACGATGCTGTTAATGTTGTAATTTGAAGTGAATCCGAGAGGGAGCGAATATCTGTGACCATTAATGTCTTCGTTGAAATGCGATTTGTTGGTTGGTAGTTCTATTCTATTCTATTCTATTCTACTCTATTCTATTCGATCTATCTATCGCATCCCTAGTAGCGAGCATTTTGTTAGTCTAATTCAAGTGCATGCTCCTGTTGAGAAGTACTTTCTTTCTGCATGCTGTAGACCTGTAGCAATGCATGTCCTGTGGAAATGTATAATCCTGAACGTAGTAGTGCCATTGTTGATAGACAAAATAATTCTTAATTTACTTAATTTCGATAGAATTCCCCTCCCAAGTTCTCCCCAGCTATGGATAGAACTTCCCACCCTCCTCATAGTAGAACTTCTTCCCCTCCTACATCGAAGTTCCCACACTCCTCAAATAGACTTCTTTCCCTAATGGATAGAAGCTCTTCCCCTGCTCATTCTCCTCCCAGCTTTGTCCTCCTCTTCCTCCTCCCAAGGACCGCATCAGTTGTTAGAGCGTGCCCAAATTCCTCTTGAAACTCTTCTTTCTTTGACTTTGATGACGCCTGTATTCTATCCCCCTTAGTACTGAAGGTGACTATGACGCGTGTATTCTATCCCCCTTAGTACTGAAGGTGACACTAATCCTTAGGTGACACGTTCTTAGCCAACTTACCAACCTTAGTTTCGTTAGCCTAACCTGAAATGTTTCTAAACTTGTTACCTTACCTAAACGTTAGGTAAAGAAAGGCTGGGTAAACTATAAAAGCCTCAATAACTGTAAAAGCCTCAATAACTGTAAAAGCCTTAATAACTGTAAGACCCTTAATAACTGTAAAAGCCTTAATATAACTGTAAAAGCCTTAAGACTGTCAGGGCAGCCTAATGGACCTTGCCAAGCCCTTGTAGGCTTTTCCCATGCGAAAGTCAAGGACGTTGACTTTCTCATCCGCAAAAAGTTAGAAGGCCTCTTTCATGCGCACTGCAGTACTCTAGTACTGCTACTACAGTACTGTAGTCTTGCTTTTGTAGTACTCCATTACTGCTACTGCAGTGCTACTAGTGCAGTCATCAGGAGAGCAAAAAGTCGAAATGTCGAGAAGTACGAATAAGAAGTAGTGCCTTAACTCTCCTGCCTACTGTCGGTCTCCTTGTCGGTTGTCTTCTTCTTGTAGGGAATTTGGAATGTGCCTGGCAGCTTCCCGCCTTCGGGCGCAGCCCAATTCTCCTGGGGCACAACCGAGAAAAAGAAGTCAGATTAGACTGATATTCACTATGGTACTGATACTAACTGCAGTACTGATACTCACTGTAGTACCGGTGATACTAACTGTAGTACCTATACTCAATATATTTCCAGTGGAGCTCTACTTCGAAAAAGAAGAAAATCAATCAAAAAGTACTTATCTCGATCAGTCCTCGATTGAAAACGATAATGCTGCTCGAAAAAGCATTGCGTCATGCAGATGAGGAAGAAACGCAAGAAGCCTTGCGTCATGCAGATGAGGAAGAAACGCAAGAAGCTTTGCGAGATGCAGATAAGCGATTCTGGTCTGCCTAGTAAAGAGACAGACTGAACCGTCGTAAAAAGAAAAAAAGACTATCTGAGTATAGATACTCGGAGGACAAGAAAACTAGTAGAAGACTACTTAACTTAGTAGCAATAGATACAACATGATACAGACCTCTACATTGCAAAACTCCAGTGCTTTACATTACACTTTACATTACACTTTAAATTATATTGCATTGCATTACATTTTTACTTGACACATCATTCAATTGCTGCATTACATTAAATCTATTATTAAGCTATAAGTTTTCATCTTTCTAAGGTGCAAAAACTGTAACGCGCGCGCGCGCGTTACGCGCGCGGGTTACGCGCGCGCGCGCGTTACGCGCGCGCGTTATAACGCGTTACGCGCGCGCGCGTTACGCGCGAAATAAGGCGCGCGCGTTACATGCGCGCGGCGCGCGCGCGTAACGCGCGCG